AAAAGGATGATTACATCAATGCTTTTATTCACCAAAAAGGGGATCACCCTGTATTATGCAACATAATCAAAACAATTATTTTCACCCATTCGACTAATTGGTCAAATGTTGATTGTACAAGTGAAATTTTCTCCGACAGATAAGTATCCGGTTTTTTTTTCTATTATTATCACAACGAATGGAAGAAGACATCAATCAAAATAATCAACTGCATGCAGAGTTCCTCGATGCCGTTTCGTGTTATCAAATGACTTGGCCTCAAGGAACTTTCAATGCAGCTGATGATTATCATCACCACCACGAGGAGTTTTCAAGAAGAAAGAAACATGTTGCTTTCTGTTTGAGATCCTCGATTCTGAATTTAAGTTAGATAAAATTCAGTCTCAGGATTCTCACACTGAGGGTGATTTATTGACTACGGATCATCGGCTTTGATTTTTGATTGATTTCACAACTTAGTTTTGTTTTTAGATTCACTAGGAGCAAATTTTGGTAACAAAAAGAAGATTTCTACGATTTTTTTAACTAATTTCACAATTATTCTGAGAAATACAATAAGGTGTATCTAAATATTAACTACTCGTAATGTTATTTCCTAATTTAGTTTTGTTTTTAGATTTACTGGATGCTAATTTGGTACATTTTTCCACAGCAAGCAGGCAGGATTTTTAAGTTTTCGTTGAAGATTGAACATGTTGATAAGTCTCCAGTTTGGACAAGAATTTTAGAATTAATTATTTGAGAGTTTGAGATGAAGTTTGACCAAATGTTTGATTGAGAAACATTGGCAATCTTCCTCTTTAATTCTCAATAATTAGGAGCTTTACAATTTGCCTTTCAAGACAACTCTTAGGTTTTTGTTGAAGATGTTTTAACCACAATGTTTAGAATTGTCCAGTTAGAAGAAGAATTTCAAAATTAAGAGTTAAGACGATGGTCGACTAATTTTTGTTTTGAAATAATTTGTCGATCTTCATCTTTAGCTCTTAATAATTACCTATAAGCCAAAACTAGGATTTCTACAACTTAGAATTTAATGCACGTCTTACCCAATTTTTAATATTAGGTTTTTGTTAAAGATTATAAATATAAACCACAATATTTTGAATTGTCAGTTACCAAAGTGTTTGTTTTGAAATTGTTTGGTGATATGTATCAAGTCACTGTTTATTTGAATAAATCCAAAAACTGTTTATGACAGTCCAGAATTTTGTTTTAAAGTTTTTTGTAGATTGTTCTGTTTTGTTAGAATTTTCCTATTTTTTGTCAGACCATTTAATCAAAAAATTATATTTAAGGACCAATAAAAAATTATTTGTAGCTGGAGATTAGAGTGATCAACTGGTTGAATCTCAAATCCATTGAGTACTCTTTACTTCAGCTGTGGATAATTACTATCATTCAAAAAATTTTAAACTTTTTTATGGATTATTAACTTTAAATTGGATTAGAGCATCATTCAGACCATGTCTGATTTAATAAAACACTCTTTCATAAGTGAATTTGCTTGGGTGAGGATCTTATCAAAAATACTCAAAAACAGGACACCAACACCGAGATTTTAGATTTTTAGACTTGTGGACAACAAAAAACGCAAAAAAGGTGTATCACTTTAAATCAAATTTGAACCGACTTGTTATACCATTTTGTTTTAGCGGATACCAAACGATTAAAAAAGGAAAAATGAAGACAATTTTCAAAGGACTTTTATCGAGATGAAAGTTGTGTACATTGTGTCTACAGCAAAAAGAAGACTGGTTATTTTTGTTTTCAGGACGAATGAGTTAATGATTTAAGTTTCTGATCTGATTTTCTACAGACATAAGTTATTATTGACTAGCTTATGTTTAAGGTAAATATTGCAACATAAAATTTGTTTTTACTTTGTATACATAAGTATTTGAAGACCGACAGTATCTGTGGTTTGTCTCAAGTCGTGGTGGGTTCAATATTCGATTTTGATGCAATATTGTCCTTACACGACTTGAAATGCGCTTCGGATTTTCAACGATATTGGAGCCAGTGGAGCTGAACTCATTTATTTTTGTCTTGCATTTGTGATTTTCAGGGTTGTGACAATAACTGAAACCTGTTTCAGGACGTGGTGGGCTTAATATTTTATTTAAGTAATATTATTGCCCATTCACTTCCTGGAATTGGTCTCGGTTTCTCAACGAACTCAAATTTTCATCAATTTTTGTTGGTCGACTACTGAAACGCTAAGAAGTGAAATCTGTGGTGTGCATTATTCGGACTTACTATATTTTGATAAGTATATAATTTTCTTCTATTTTTTCGGGGTTGTGACAACAGCTGGGGCCCGTTTTAAGGCATTTTGTTGTCATTATTTGGTTTTGAAAATAATATTGGCACACATTATGCCCTAAATTGAGCCGTAGACTTTCATCAACTCTCAAATAATTTTAATCAACATCGGAAAAATTAAATGACTACTCTACATTTTTTTTTTTTTTGGTTCGATGCTTAGAATAGTAGTTATCTTTAAGTCAATAAAATCAGTTGTGCTATTTTACACCATTATTTATTATTTGGTGCATAATTGTCTTGTTTCTGTTTTACAGAGCAGTGTCAATAGCTGTGTTTCGGTACAAGGCCTGGGCTTTAACATTTAATTTTTTAAATAAATGTGGAGTCTCTGCCTTTTACTGAGGCTCAGCTTTTCAACGAACTTCAAATTGTTGTACAAGTAAAAGAATTGGACGAGGATTTTCACTTATGATTATTTTTTTTATTTTTGAGTTAAATTGTTATTGCACATTTACTATGAATGAGGGTTTGGTATAGAGTGGCCTATCCCATATTTATAAACTTAGTTTTACTCTCAGACCACCTGCTTATTGTTCAAAATTTAAATAAAACACTGGCCTCACGTTTTAAACAAAAAATATGACCGGTAAAGTGACTGTATTTGAAACAAAATAAAATTTTGAAAGTGAAAATATTAACTTTTATTAGGAATTCGCCCAATGTGGGTTAAGCCACTTTAATTCTCAACACTTCACATATATGTATAGACTAGTTAATGTATCATTCAAAGTTTTTCCAGAACTGTGTTTATTTTTAAAATACTGTTAAACTATATGTTTAACGATTGGGGAAGTACTGAAAGTCAACTCAAGTACAAGGAGGTTAGTTTTAAGTAAAGAAATTAACTTCTCTTGTGCTTAGGATTGAAGGTCAGTTAGAACATCATTGGGTATTTTTACTTTAATTGTGTATTTTATACTATGAAAATTAATTTGAATTGATATTACTGTTTGAAATCAGCTTTAATTGGTCACTAAGTACTGAGACGCGGTTCAGAGGCTGAAGCAATTATTTTTAAATTAAAAAAATAATCAGCTTTAACCTTTGGGCTGTTGATCAGTTTATGCATCATTTGGACATACCATACTTTAAGATATTGTCTTGTATTTTTTTTAGAATTGTGACTTTTTATAATAACGTAGATACATTCCTCATAATTGATTTAATTTCTACTTTTCAGCGTTGTCTGTGATAAAATCTGTGTTTCATTTCAAGGTCTTGGCTTCAATATTTTGGTTTTGAAAAAAATATTGATCCAGAGCCTTTGACTGACGCTCAGTTTTTCAACGAACTTTAAATTGTTATAACAATGTATTGTTTTACAGTTTAGATGAATAGGACGAGGATTGAGTCGCGGTTCTCACTTGTGCCGACTACATTTTTGAATTCTACTACAGGTTAAGTATAGTATCAGATAATGCATCATTCGGACAATTTAAATTTTGTTTTTTTTAGGACTGTGACTTTGCTTCGACTCGTCTTCAGGCATTGGTCAAGTACTGATACTCGGTTCTGAGTGCAGGGAGGTTAGTTTTAAGTATAAATGAATTAACTTGCCTTGAACTTAGGACCGAAAATCAGTTAGAGCATCATGCGATTTTTTATTTTTAAGTGCGAAAATTCTTTTTTTGATACAAACAAGCTGTGTCTCGATTCTGTGCTTGCTGGTCTTATTTTATTTATTAAAAGAAAATACAGACCTGCATGCCCAGTATTGAGCTGCCGTTTATCTCCAGCGTAAAAAATCTGTTTTAATTGAACAGGAGTGTAGGTCCATTTATTGTAATTTTTCAATTTAAATGTTATGAATTTAATTACACTTAACAATTTTGTTAGCTATAGGTGTATAGAGTGCAAATGTATTTTATTTTTAAGAGGATTTTAATCAATTCTTAAGTCCTTTACTTGCGGATTACATATTTTGGTTTGGATATTAAATATGTACCGTGAGTAAGTCTTGAGTTTTGGTCCAATCGACATTCACCGCCGTCATAATTTTCTTTTTATTGTTTGACTCAGTTGTATTATTCGATTTTTGTGTAATACACGTTGTTTATCAGAATTGTGATCGTTATCAGTGTCTGTTGTAGAAAATAATGTGAAAGGGCATAAAAAAGGTTTTGCAAATAATCGGATAAATTTTCCAATTTTTCAAATTGAGTTTAGCGTAATAAACTTAGTTATTATTCTGAAGTTTTTCGGAAAACATGAGAAAATAATCAGTTATTGGTTTTCCTTGTGTAAGCGGCAACAACAAAGTCTGTTACAAAGTGGTTGTATGGCTTGTTTTGTTCAAAATAACTCATCAAAACAGTCTTTGAGCGGTCTGGCTCCCCGACGTCGCTTATTACAGCATTTATTCTACCTAACGAAGACCTACTTAGCATACATTAGGGTCGCGTTCTCGCGTTTCCGCATATTTACGAATAGCTTCGTTCCAATTGTGATTTTCCATATCGATCATCGAGGACAAAGTCGACGATTTTGTGCTCCAACGCCGAGTGTGAACCGTTCTTTGAGCTTCGCCGTTGGCGGGGATGGAGGGCGAGCAGGGCGGAAAGGGTGGTTGAAGCCCCGCCAGTCCCAGGGGATGCTACTAGTCTGTAATTAAACTCCCAGCTACTGGCAGAGCTGACTGTAGCCCGCTGGCTTGCTTCCCCTCCGTATCTCTTCGCAACTTCACGAACAAGGATAATGTTATACAACCTATAGCGAAATTGATCGCGGGATTCTGGCTGTTGTATGTGTTGCATAGACTTTAAGCGGATCGGATTATGGATTTGAACGGATTTTTCCCTTTTTCATACGCTTGTGTATACCTACTTAATTAACGAAATAGCTCATATGGCTGCCGCACGACCAAAGCCCAAATCTCGCTTCTTATCCTCCTAATCCCCCACGTCAACAATACCAGAATACCACCCAAACAATTTGCAAAATTTACAATTCCGCCATGCACCGCGATGCTTTCTTCATCGTTATTGCCAATATCGTTTGCACCAAATCGGGCAAAATGGCTGATGATTGCCGTCTGGCCTCTCGTTTCGTGCGTTTTATTCGATCGTGCGGACATATCACGGACTGACAGTGTGTTTAGGAACACAATGCGTGACACGAGATACGGTCAGAACCGTGACCAGAATCAAGTACAATAGTTTCATCGATCTATGGACTATTCGGACGGAAACCACGATTGAAAATGCACTAATACGCCTAAATTAACTCTAGTGCTTTACGGCTTTAGCTTTCGAACAATTTCACTAAAAGAGCTAATTTGATTTTTGTTTTATTTATTTGCCTGCCGTATTCAAAGTGACTCGTTTTTACCACTTTTCAATGATTAAACAAAGAGAATTATTTATGCTAATTTTATTTAATATTTAATCGATAAATGCATTACGCCTGCTACTTTATTATGTTCACCCTCCTACAAATATTTACCGGTCATATATACTAAAAAAATTTTCGTTATTTCATTTATTTTGCACTCAAACACGTTGTCTAAACACTGTCATTTATGATATGTTTTCGGCACCCCCTAAATACTTTGGTACACAGGCAAGGGTAAGGTTATATTGTTGTCAAAAATGCATATGGCGACGATAATAAAATGAAAGACTTATTTAAACTGTATATGGGCGTTGTTACTGTTACCCTTCTCTGATGCACACAATGAATTAAAACATCTACAACCAACTACAACTTTGTCATGTTTTTTGACGAAGCCATTGTTTGGCGTTTAGTCATATGTCTCTATTTAAGTATATTTACAAAAACAAAATTTTTAATAATAAAAATGGAAAAATGTATTTATGTTGATACTTACATTTCTCGGTCAAGTAGATAATTGTTAAAAAGTGTATTTCTGTATAAGTAGAGATTTCGTAAAATAATAGTGATAAAAGTCGAATAGTCGCAGGTGCTGTCATCACAATGGGAGAGTCTTTGAAATATAAGAATAAAATTATTTAAATAAGGCCGTGATTGAAATTCAACATGGCGCAGCCTGGCGTCCTTTTAATCCAAATGAATACACTTATTGTCTATTGTAAAGTAGGAATAATGCCAATATTTAGGCAACAACTGCAAATGTACAAGAAACAACTGAGGGTTTCTGAGGGAGATTTTCATTTATTTGGTGGGGGTTTAAATGGGAGGTGCTTATTGCAGAGTGTGGCAGTAAGGTCGCCATTTTTTTGAAAAGTCGTGATTTTTTTTACGATTTCTCAAATTTGTAATGAAATTGGTTGTGTCAAAATTGGTGTATGCAAATTATTCGGATTTGTACGAAGATTTCGGTCTATCAGGGTAGTTGCGAGAAGGACAGTTGAACAACATGGCTGGGCGTGTCGTTTGATTTTTCCGGAAGGGCAGACAAGCTCGCGATTGGCCGGAGTTGGCTCCTCCTCGCGACTGTTATCAAATATTGGTCCACAAATAGTTCGTGTTTGTTACATGTTTAGATGCCCAGATGGGTCTCTCACTAGTATAGTTTATTCAGTCGGCGGGTCGGTACATAATTAATAATCTGACCCAAACTGATAGGAATTCATAGCCAGTTTGTGTAGATGTGGTGCCGCAGTGGTCGCAATGTGCAGTAACGAGACTCCGGCTAACACCTCGCCGAGGCTGCCCATGCCGTTCGCCCTCGAGAGCGGCCCCCGGGCCCTTCTGCCCATCGACCAGTACCGGCTGCAGCTGTACCAGTATGCCGTCGCCGAGCGGCTTCGTTACCCTCTATTGAACCCTTTCCCGACGCCGCTGACCTGCTACCCGCTCTTCCCCAGGGCTCTGCAGCCCGAGGAGCCCAAGCCCCAGCACAGCTACATCGGCCTCATCGCCATGGCCATCCTCAGCTCGCCGGAGGGAAAACTCGTGCTTTCGGACATTTACCAGCACATCCTCGACCATTACCCTTATTTCAGAACCCGAGGGCCAGGCTGGAGGAACTCCATTAGGCATAATTTGTCGCTTAATGATTGTTTTATCAAGGCGGGAAGAAGCGCCAACGGAAAGGGACATTACTGGGCCATTCATCCCGCAAATGTCGACGATTTCCGAAAAGGGGACTTTAGGAGGAGGAAGGCACAAAGAAAGGTGAGGAAGCACATGGGGCTTGCCGTCGATGAAGATGGGGCTGATTCACCCAGTCCGCCTCCCTTGTCCGTCAGTCCGCCTGTCGTGCCGGGGCCCTCCACCTCCGTTTATCACACAGTAAGGGTTTCAAATTTATATCAGCTTTGAAGGTGCAAAAAGCAAATTTGCCTTTTATTTCGTCTTCAAATTCGGACAGAAAAATACCCGGAAAACTCTATACAATACTGGCATTCGCCAGATCTTTTGTTTCAATTAAAATTTGCACTCATTTCAAAATAAAAAACAATATTAAAACTTTTTTTTTTAATGTCGATAAGTATCGAAATGTTACAAACAAATTGTGCCACTCAATTTAGCAAAAAAAAATTCATTTCAGAAACTGTTAAAGAAGAAAATCAGTGGAAAAACTTTTAAAATTTGAAGCTCTTCATAAAGGAGTAGATAAGCTAAATATTTATAAATATTCTTGACGTTTATGATAAATTGATAATACCTAACAGAGAAACTCTTCTGAAAAGAACAAACAAAAAATGTAATGTTTTCAGCACAACAAACTTTTATTAACGAAATTAATTGATTAGTAAATATGTATTTTAATCGGCTTAAATCAATGCGCTACCTTCTGTTGCATTTTATATTTGTTCTTTGATACATTAATAAGAGAATGTTTTGGTTGAGAAAAAACGGTGTTAAATTATCTGAAAATTTTCAATTATTCATTTAATCAAATATTTTCCATATCTTAGAGATTGTTTACAAAATTACAAATCAGTTGACAAAACAGCATTTTTGTAAGTTCAAAAATAATTCAGTGGCATATTGTCTATTGTCAAGCTAACTACCCAATCATTTTTTTTTTGAAAACGGTTAAAGGTAACAAAGTCGCTTCCCTAATTGTAAAATTAATTATTTGTATTTTTTTACAATTCTTACATTTTTTAGCCACAGGAATAACGGGTTAATTCTGTTCCTTAATATACCTAAGTAATTTGGTTTCAAATTCAATTTTAGAATTTTTTTGAAATCCAATGTATGTAATTCAAATTTAGGTAAAAGTCGAAACATTTTCCTACAAGATTAAATTAAAAAAAATACAGTTGTGGAAGCGACTTTGTTATCTTCAACCCTTTTCAATTTCACCTAATCCCCTTAGAGAAAATGGATCAAATTCATCGTTCAAATCTTTTTTTTTTTTTGATTAGCAATAGCAAAATTTGAAAATTGTCGAAATTGTGTATGAAAAATGCTTAATTATTATTTACTGGTTTAGGTAATATTCCAAATTTTGTCTTGTTATTTTTCCAACTTTCCACTTGCAAAATGCGGAAATTATTTATGTCTTGGTTTGTTCAGGTGCCGGCTCGGGGTCCGTCTCGCAAGCGGCAGTTCGACGTGGCCTCGCTTTTGGCTCCGGATTCCGGTGAAGATACCAACGAAGAGGACATCGACGTCGTCTCCAGTGACCAACATCAAGAGACTTCACCCAAACAGTGGCCTAACATGTTTCCCATCGTTAATTATTATCAAGCATTGTTACAAGCGAGGCCGGGAACGACTGCAGAAACTGCCACCGACACCACAGACTCTTAAGTGATTTTTAGTGAATTGTGGTTTCAAAAGTCTAAAGTAAAAAATCTACTTAAAGACTGTCCGTTATATACATTTTTTTTTATACGAATAGTCACTGTTCATATTAGATATATTTATTGTTCTGTTACAAAACATTTCAATCAGCGTTTTATTATTTTCTTAACAATACCAAAATTTGTATATAAAAGTAAATGTGTATGAGAACTGTATCTATATTATATGTAAATATATTACGTATATCCACTCATTTTTTAATTTACCAACCATTCACAAACCAAAACAAACCAAAGAAAATGCAAAAAAAAACAATTATATAGTTGCATAGCAAAGTGATGGTGTATCCAGTGAAGTGATTTCAAAAATATACTGAACTTAGAAATAAGGTATAGTGTGTGAAGTGGCTTTTAGAAAAACAAAAAATTTCAAAAAACTGCTAGGCTATAGTACCTCATGTGAAAATGTGAAAATAAGCTATAATCTTGATAAACAAAAAAAAACATAGAAGACCTAATATATATAAAGTGATAGATCCCGTATTTAAAAATTGGAAATAAAAGGTAAGTTTCACTTTTGAAACGACAAAAATTTAAATACATAGTTGATTTAAGTTGAAATCATTTTTTATATCAGAGAGTGTATAGTGCGTTTCAACACATAAATTCTATTTTTTTTTCAAATTTTTTTCAAATTCACAAATCACTGAAACAAATCCCGTATCACACATTAGTATTCTGTTTTATTTCATTGAAAAAAATCAAGCTGCAATTTTTCGAAATTATTTATTAAAAAATCAAATTTTTGACCTGGACACATTTATATTTGGTTGTTTTTTTTTTAATGTGAATGAAGTTGTGTCACGCTTTTGCTCTTGAGAAGTAAGGAATCTGCGGGCAAGTTTGTCCTTTTAGTAATTCGATCAAAAGCATGAATGAAGCTGAAGGGCTTTAAAAAGTACGTACTTAAGCCGTAGGAGGTACAAATATTGTGGGATTTTGACAGTAAGTACTCATTGTAACATCCTAATCTACTTGACATGGGGAATGAGCAGCATTGTGGTCGTGTACCATTCAAGTCTGTTTTGGTAAAAAGATTTAAGACTTTATACCTAGGGATGATTTGGTAAGCTTTTAAGCCTAATAAGAGAACAAAATGGTAAAAATGACTGTAATTTCTTTGGTAGTTGTTGAAAATTATGACACGTGCATTGTGGAGTGCACTTCAGGGGTGAGAAAACAGCATCTACCAAACATCGAACGAGTCCATTAAAATTCATCCCCAAGAAGCGAATACTTTTATGGTGGTAAATGTGATGTTTCATGCACCGGTGCGTTATAATAGCGTAGCAATTGTAATTGTATTTATTGGACTGTGTAAATTAGTAAATAATTGTCGTCCTAAACAGAGGCCCTGTTTCAATGCTTTGTTAGCTGAATTCAGAGTCTCCCGCCGAGACTTACTTACACTTCGGGAATTATTTCAACCCGCCTCGGCCTCAGCCTGACGCACTTATTGTATTTACAATAAGTTACAAAACGCGACCGACCGGATAAATATTTTATTCGTTATTCTTTCCTATTCAACAAAAGCGTCAATGCATTTTTTCGCCCTTTACACTACCATACATTCGACACACCAGAGCTGCTAAACCAAGACTAAATTACCCAAATTACTAACCAAATTGATTCGAAAGCTTTTAAACGCCTACACTTCCTAATTTCTGCTTCCGAAACGCTAAAAGCTTAAAAATTATCAAAAGTCGAGCGCACTTACGATTTTTACCAATCAATTCTTCCCCCACACATTTTTAAAATTCTCATACAACACTCCAAACGCTAAAAGCGACACTAAAAACGCCCCAAAACCTCATTTTCCAAGACTCAAAAAATTAATATAAACCAAAAATTGCAAATGTTTTGATAAAAATAAAGCAATACAGAATATTCCATTTCCTTTTTTTATATCTGTATTATGGTCAAAATAAAATTAAAAACCCAAATGTTAATCTTATTTTTTAGAATTTACCTACAATTAAAATAAGAGTGATGTACTAGAGTGATATACTAGATATAAATATTTTTTTGACAATTCTAATTATTTTTAGTGTCATTTTTATGTAAATGCATTTTGATAGAATACAAACCCTATTTGTACATTTTTCCATCAAAATGAAATAAATCAATACTCAAAATTGTTTATACCTAGCTAATAATAAAAAGAAGAATCGTCTGACAAATTTATTCTGATCTTGACTTATCACTTGAAAACTGTGATCCTCGGTCGATTTCCGCTCTAAAAAATTTCATTTGAGGCTAAAAGCGGGGAGGGAAAAACTGCTTTGTGGATTGAAAATTAAAACCACCTTCTGCTGTAGTTTTTTGAGTTACAAAAATTTGTTCGAAATGATGAGCTTGAATTATGGATAAATCCGACAATCATTTATGTATACATAAAACCGGATGTGGATGAATCTTAATTGGGTTGAATTTTAATGAAAGGAAATAAAATAAAACTGTTGAAAAAATGTGATGGCCGTTGATAATTGGTGAGAATCGGTTTGTTACCTGGCTGGGTATAAAATTTCTGTGTTGTGATTCCAAACAAGAGTTCGTCCGGTTACGAAGAGTTGAATAATAGTGAATATTCAGAAATTGGAAATGAAATGTATATTTTGTAGGGTTTTGTAAACTTAGGAAACACTCTAGCCAACCCACCTGCTTTTACCGAGAATAACCCCAATAATAACACGATGACAAATAAGTTCTATTCATAACATTTGGCAAATACGAAGATCACTTTTAAGATAAGAAAATATTAAATGTTTTTAAAGCACAAAAGGCCTATTATCGTGAGAATAAATTGACTCGAGTCAAACTTATGCACACGCAAGAACGATACCAGAACAGAATAAACGAATTTTGTCACGTAATAACAACAATTACACAATGTCAAAAGACAGTGGACAGTTTTTATTTGCATACATGGACGCACAACACCGGAGGTGTATTGAAAACAAGAAGGCGGCATGTGTCAATATTAGCTACAACTTCAAGTTGGGAGTGGTGCGCTTTGGAGAGCTTCCTGGGGAGGTCGCTTACAATAAACACTTTGAGAGGGCTACCATACTCTTCATCTTAGTTTACTGTGTTTACAGTTTCATTGACACCAAACTCAATATATCATCCTTCCAACCACACCTAATTAACCAACATCAGTTGGAGAAAAATGTGAAATAAAATCAATATGTTTCGCAAGTTTGGCCGCTTTTCCTGTTCAGTTTCACCTAGCGTCGAAGTTTGTAAGCGGAATCAATCCTAACTCAATAAAACTTCTTTGGATTGTCTTCCAAACTATCAAGACTGTTATTGTCAGTAACTCCACTCGTGACAAAAAGGTTAAATTTGTGTAGCGTTACAATAGAACAAACAAAATAACACAACATTTAATAAACACATAAACTGCGTAGTAAATGAGTCCATCAAAAACCAAAACGTTCATCAATGTAAGATAGCTCACTCTTTATACTCGAGAAACCAACAAAGACAATGATATTTGAAGTTATTTGAAGCTGACTCCTCAACAAAAGCTCCGATGAGCCGTCAACATTAAATGCCCAAGTGTTTGGACCACTTCAGGTTCACATACAAAGAAAACCGTCACTCAAAATACCACTAACATTCCTATTGTAACATATACAATCATTTTATATACTCTTCTCGGACACAATCAATATTATAAATCCAACTCAATGAGGTGCATTCTTAATTCATGATCATTTAATCACACCTTTTGTCCAATACGCGCTTTTTGTTATTTAAACACCATTCCTTCGTGTTTTCTTACGACCACAGATCAAACATCTAGTGACAAAAAACACACTGTATAATGTGACTCAGCACAATCTCAGAAAATTTACTGCCATATTTAAATAAATAACAGCTAAATTTAAACTTACGACACGCGAAACTTAGATTGATACATGTTTGTTTAACTTTCTTGTTTTATCGATACAACCCATTTATACGAAAATAATTAATGGAATACTGTTAATTAAAAGAATGATTGATAGTGAAGTAAGAAATCTACTTTCGTGACAATTGTTCTGTTAAAATGTCTGTTTTGACATTGTTTCAAACGACAATGAACTCTATCGACCAAACGTATCTGTCCATCACCAGATGCAGGTATGATAAAAAAGCAAGTCATTTTAGTATACATTTCTGACAAGAGGGCTATATAATATAGGCATGAGTGCCGACAAAGATGTTTTATTCTTAAATTTGTGCCACTTATAATTGAATAAAAGAAGCTCGAGTTTTCCGTTGATGATTTATTCACTAAAATAAAAAAAAAAAAAACTATTTGTACGATTCAAATATTTTGAGTTAAAAAAAAATTTCGTTTGATTTTTTGTCGAAATTAGCGGTGTCTGGCAATTCTGATGAAAATCAAATAGGAGAAACAGTTTCTGGAAGCTGACAACTGCCAACACACCGTACAACAACAAAGAGAGTAAAACGTCGCTCAGGGTGGTACACAATTGGTGTTGGGGTGTGAGGTTTACATTATTGCGCGTTTACTCGCTGTTTCACACCACCGTACAGATCTGAATAATTCAATAACACTCTAAATAGGCGGCACTAACATCAAAAAGACGCGTTCAAGCCAAAAGCTGAATTTAACATTTTTAAAGGTAGAAAAATCCACCCCTCGAAAAATATTTTTACGAATTACCGGGCGACAGTGCGGCTGTCATCGAAATTATAGGCATAATTACATTTGCGTTTGTTTTATTTTGCTGAAATACATCGAACGTCGACGTCAAAACGCATAATTTCATTGCGGAAAATTCGCTCTAATTGTCTAAGAGGAATTTTACGCGAATTTTCACATAAAGAAAAAATATAAAACACTTTCAATGGCATTCACTTTTCCATAATTTCAACATTTCGCATTGGAAAATAAATGTGCCATTTTAAAATGCTACTTTGTGAAACCAAAGAAATTCAAATAAAAATAACGAAAATTCCGCGCTCCCCCGCTTTTACCACAGTCCCAGTGGTTTTTACAATTTCGCGCGCAGAGACGCACTCGCCCACGCGCCCTAGCAAGACTTTTTCACACAAAACGATTTTAATTACTCGCGCTATTCTTATTTTTATTCCTTTTTCTAACAGTTACTACTTTTTTTTAATTCCAGTAACCACTACATTTTATTTAGCGATGTTGAAATAACTTTTTGTAAAAAAAAGTAGGTGATTATAAAAACGTCTTAGTTAAGACATTACGTGGCAAATGACTTTTGTAATATTTCTACATGTAAGTATTTGGAACTTTTTTCTGGCGTTTCAGTTAAAATCTATTTGAAAGACTTTCGTCTACGTTTTCAAAAATTAAATAGTTTAAAGATATATAAATCTATTAAAAAAATTAATCCCATTTGATCACTACAGTTGAAACTACTTTATAAAAAAAAATCGAATTTAGAGCCGTGTTTATAAAGGTGCAAAAACCTGTTTTGCTGGTATCTATCATTATTACAAAAACTATAAAAATTTTAAGTATAATTTTTTAAAAATTTTAAAATTAAAAAAAAAGGAAAATTAAAAAAAGTTTAAGCCTTGATATATTAAAACCAAAAGCCGATAAAACATATATTTTTAATTTTTATTTTAACATTATTTTTTTGCTATATAAATCATCTTAGATCAAAATTATGACATATTTTAAAAGCTAGTAATAAGTTTTAAGTAAATAATACTGATTTGCTAAATAAAATATTCTAAATGCTAAGAAGGAATGTATTAAAATAAAATTTACTGTGTAAAAAAAATGGAACAAATTTTTCTCTTTTAAGACATTAAGCACTCAAAATCACTTATTGAACAATCCTATATCTAGATAATATGTAAGGCCAATGCGCAAAAATATAATTTATTATTGGTATTTATTATTACTATTTATTATGATTATTAAGTATGGTGACACTTCAATAATAAACAGTTACCTACAATAATTGGAAGTTACTGCAAAAAAACACATCATTTTCTAGATTAAAAAATTGTTTATGCCTGTTTTCACCATTCCCCAGCAATTGCGACATTTTTTTTTTGTAAATATATGTACAGAGTGCGCCAGAAATCGAGCTCTAGAGAAAAATACCAAGTAAGGTAAGATACCAAGAACATGGAAAAAATGTTAAAAAAATTCTATCTATAAAAATCTCGAAGTTATGAGAGTTTAAATTTTGCACTTTGATTCTATTTATTTCTGTTAAAAAAATAATTTTCCAAGTTTTTTTACAGGCTATTAGAAGAGGAAACAAGCTGTGTCCTCAGTTGTAACTCTGTTTAATTAATGTTATTTGTGTTTTTTTTATTGGCAAAATTTTTGTGTCTTTACTAAATAACTATAAAAAAACATACACAAGATCATCAGTATCAAATGTCAAATATCAAAAAATAAATGTCAAAATTTTTTTACAGATAAATTTTTTTAAACATGGTATCTAATCCTACTCGAAATTTTTCTCTGGGGCGCGAGTTCTGACACCCTGTATTTTCGATTTTGTTTAGTAATAGTTTTTTATAGGAGAAATAAAACTATCTCTCCCTAGCGTTCAGTATTTTTACTTAGGGCTTAGTATTTTTACTTAGCGTTTAGTATTTTCACTTAGCGTTTAGTATTTTTAATTTTTGGTTTTTGTGAGTAAATATCTAGCTGAAAAAGCGATTAACGAGATTTTTGAGTGCGGTCCTGTGGTGAGGGAGAAAGGAAACGCGTAAAACGAAGCGGTACAAAGTTATCCTACGGCGTTTATGTATATATTCTGACGTTTTGCAAAATAGAGAAAATATCTTATTTTCAGAGAGTTACGTGTTACGAACACAATACTTGGTGCAAATTTAATAATGAGGCTTTTAAGAAGCGGCATTTGTTGTAATTGAATTATATGCTTTAGAGGTTATTAAAGTTTCCCTTGAAGAAGCTGAAATAATGTTAGTGTCCAAAATGGAATAAATCCGTCAGAAAGATTCAGTTGAATCACGGATTAGTCTTATTAAATGAAATTTGTAAATTGGTTAAACGAGTCGCCTTAAAATAACATATTTTGGAAAGATGTTGTCGTCAAATAATAGATTGACAAAAATTGTTTTTGATCTTATTTTCTCGCATGTAAAAATTCCGAACACACGTCCTGAATTCAACTGCACACATAAGTGAGGAGAATATGAAAATACATAAGGGGTAAAAAAGTGACTCTTCCGAAAAATACAAATACAAATGTTTCCACTGAAAAACATTGAACTCAAATGTCTGCTAATAGATTAAGCATTTCACAAGCGGCGGAATCAAGATAATTATAGAGCGAAGTGTATCACAACCTTATTGCTGCCGCTCAAACTTGCAAACTCATAACTCGACTTAGAATGTGAAACGGTAGACACCTTCACGACCCATGGAACTAAACCGGCGACCTAGCGACGGCAAATCCTCCTCAAAACACTCACATTAAATCGTAACTCTCTCACTTGAGCCAAGCCAATTTGACATCAACAATTAGGTATCAACAGTTTTTGAAAAAAAATACTACGAAAATTGGAGAGTAAAAAATGCATCACAGTCTACTCCAAATCGGATGCTCCTACAGTGAGTACTCAGAAGCGGTGTTAAATTATAACCTGTGCTATCTACCAAAGCACTCAGATAAAGCCTGAGATATTAGTTAAAAATAAAAGCATCGCAGCGCTAAAAACAACATATGACAGCCAATCAGCTTCTCTTATTAATTATAAAGCCGACGAAATTTCATCGAATGATTCTTTTAGGTGGACGTTTTAACGCGCTTAGTTATTTTGATTGGTTCTATTTGACTCAAATCAATTATTTTCCAACCAGTCCCTAATAAGACCACCTTTTTAAACCACTCAAATCAAGACAAATACAGAATTAATTTAATTAACGTTGAGTAACTCGACTCGTAATTGAGTTGATTGCAGCAGAGGCCCGCTTGTTGATCCTTGCGGGTCACCGGAAAAGTTGCTAAACTACATTAGTCCAGGTACATGTGATGACTTGCTTCCAGTAATCCGTTTTGGGTTTCCTGTAAACAATTTTATTTATGCTTTGTTGCGCATGTGTATTTTAATAAGCCATTAAAGTATATTATTATGTCTGGAAAAGTCTTAAACTCGAGCAAGCAAAAACTCACATATTTCCAGACTTAGTCGCACTCTTGGAAGCTTTTATCGCACCTGGTTAGGCTAAACATCCGATAAGTATACCTATACACGCGCAGTGTGAATATGAAATCATTGCTAATTCGTTTCTTAAATCAAAATGACCCAGTTACTAAGTGAATAAGGTCGAATTCATCATTTGGGATCCTGTAGTTTTTGTTGTGTGAGGTTGAACTTTCTGTCAGTGTCAATGGAGACGAAAAAGAATTTTTGCTCGTGCAGACTTGCGGCCCATCAAGAATCGGGAAGAGTAAGGTATTTAGTATTAATTAAATCACGCGCCAATTAATCTCACGCAAGCGTGTTTTAGATGGTGTGTGGGCCATGAAAAAGACTGGCAAATTAAACTCAAACGAATGGTTTTTGTACCCATCATTCTTCTCCCCATTGTCATTTTTATCGTTTTTCTTACACGATACACCGCTGTTGCAAGTGGCAACGACAAAAATATTATCTGTATTGAATCACCCTATATCGTTTTTTCTGATTCTTTAAAAATTGTATTGCAGCAATGAAAAAATTTGACGAAACCGAACTTTTAGAAGATGAAGATCGGAGAGACCTCCTCAAAGACGCCAGAACGTCATATGCGCCAGAAATTCTAAATAACAACACTGACATTAAAAGAAGACAAAAAAGAGAAGTTACTTTACACCAAGAAAATGTAAGTTATTCAAAAAATTATGTGATTAACAGGCGACTTAAAATTTCATTAGTTCACTGATTATGAGGAATTACGTAATGACACAGATCTAGAATATTACAAACATTTAGAAAGCAAAACATTACAGTGGACAGTAAGTTTTTACTTTATTTTGACAAAAATTTGCATTGTCTTATTTTTGAGTTATCTCTTCCGCTTGATCAGGATGGCAATGAATTATTTGAAACTGATCAAAGCCAAACTACCCCACCTTACCTTAATAATTCGGATGCATTATTTTGGAACAGTCGATTAAATTATGAAGAAATCAGAGAATTGCAAGGTAATTTTTTAAGTAATCAAAAAAATTAATTCATTAAAATGTTCAAAGCTTCAACTATGAGAAAATACATGAACGAATCGGCTGATCCTTGTGAAGATTTCTACGAGTATGCTTGTGGTAATTGGAATAAATATCACACAATTCCGGCCGATAGAACGTCATATGATACTTTTGAGATGTTGCGCGAGAACTTGGATATTGTTTTGAGAAATCTTTTATCCGAAGCAATGGATGAGGTACCGAATTTCCAAAAATAAAATTTGTTCAACGTAAATTTTTAGGAATACTATTTCACAAACACCACCTTCAACCGAACTATGGGGGCTGTAGACAAGGCTCGATTTTTTTACAGATCATGCATGAACGAAGGTTTGTGTGAAACAAAAATCATTTCATTATTTTTACAAAATTGATTTAGAAAGGCTGGAATCGAGGGGTGAAAAGCCGCTGATAAAATTACTGGATGAATTAGGAGGGTGGCCGATTATTCAGTCAGATTGGGACGATACAAATTTTAAACTCGAGGAATTAATGGCAAATTTAAAATTGTACAATAATGATATTTTGATAACTGAATGGATTGGGCCGGATATAATTAACTCGAAAAATTACATTATCCAGGTAAGATTGATATTTTCCGATTTTCTAAATGGGTTAATCTTTCTTGTAGATTGATCAGACGACATTAGGTTTACCTGGAAGAAGCTATTTCCTAGATCCCTCCTATTCAAAATATCTTCGTGCGTATAAAGTTTTTATCCTTGCTGTGGCCTCCATTTTAGGGGCACCGCTAAATGAGGCGATACAGGATGTCAACGATGTGATCACTTTTGAAACAAAATTAGCAAATGTATTGAACACTTATTTGTTATTTTTTAGCCAATTAATTGTTTCAGATAATGGTCCCTAGTGAAAACAGGCGAAATGTCACAGATTTATACCTCAAAACTAGTATTGGAGCTTTGCAAAAAATTTTCCCGCAATTTGATTGGGTGCACTACTTTAGCATCGTTTTAGGAAAAGAGGTCGACTTAGAAGAACCAATTGCGTGCTACTGTATGGATTTTTTACACAAATTGTTTGATATTATAGCACACACACCACCACGGTAATTAAAATAATAAGCAACAAATCTGTGACTCAAATCGAATTTTAGAACAATTTCAAATTATCTTATTTGGAGATTTGTGCGACACCGAACTAATAATCTAGATAAAAGATTTCTAATGGCGAAGCAAAGGTGATTGATTATTCATTGATCCAGGACCGGTTTAATGTCAAATTCCAGGTTCTATCACGTCCTGTTTGGACGGGAAAAATCGCCCCCTCGGTGGCAGTTTTGCGTTTCCCAAGTCAACTCCAACATGGGAATGGCCCTCGGGAGTTTATTCGTAAAAAAATACTTTGACGAAAATAGCAAAAACGATGTAAGTTGCCTAAATGACTTTACTCCAGTTTACATAATTTTATTAGACTTTGGAAATGACAAAACGATTGCAAGAAGCCTTCCGATTAATCCTCAAAGAAAATAAATGGTTAGGCGATGACACCAAAGACTACGCTCGGATGAAAATCGATAAAATGAACCTGAAAATCGGTTACCCCGATTTTCTCCTAGACCAAGACGAGTTGAGTGAAAAATACTACGATGTTGATGCGCACCCACAGTATTTTTTCGAAAACACTTTGAGTATTTTGAGGCATTTGACCAGAATTGAGCAAAAGAAAATTGGGACCGAAGTTAATAAGACGACGTGGGGAACGGCTCCGGCGGTTGTCAATGCTTATTACAGCAGGAATAAAAACCAAATTAGTATGTATTTCGCTTAAAGAAAATTTTCTAACTAATTTATAGTTTTTCCGGCTGGGATTTTACAACCACCGTTTTACCACAAACACTTCCCTAAGTCGCTGAATTTTGGCGGAATCGGCGTGGTGATAGGGCACGAAATAACGCACGGATTTGACGACAAGGGCCGGTTGTTTGACCACTATGGAAATCTCCAACAGTGGTGGAAGGAAGACTCCATTTATAATTTTCATCAACGAGCAAAATGCATGATTGGTACTTATTTATTTTTCTTATTCTGTTTTGTGTCATTTGCTTTTAGATCAATATAATTCGTACATTATTCCTGATGTGGACACTTACATGGACGGGTTTATTACACAGGGCGAAAATATCGCCGATAATGGAGGATTAAAACAAGCTTTTAAGGTAAAAAATAAAAGATTAAAACACATTTAATTATTTATTTCAGGCTTATGAAATGTGGCTAAAACAAAATCCTGACGTCGATGAAACCCTTCCAGGAATTAATTTAACAGGACGACAATTGTTTTTCCTCAATTTTGCCCAAGTATTTTTGATTGTTGTAAGTTTTTTATCTATTCAATATTTTCAGGTGTGGTGTGGTAAACAAAGGATTGATACGGTGAAAAGTCGATTAAAGGTTGCCGTTCACGCTCCTGGCATATTCAGGTAAAACACGTTTAATTTTTATGTTGACCCTCTAGTGGCATTAGTGTTAACCTACCTAAACACTTACATATATGAGCGCCATCGTGTGATTTTATTTAAAAATATTATTTTTCCAGAGTTATTGGTTCCCTCAGCAATTCTGAGGATTTTGCAAAAATTTACAACTGCCCCCCCGACAGTGGGATGAATCCATCCGAAAAATGTAGCTTATGGTAAAATATAATATAAAATAATAATGTTTTAATCAGGAAGTGAAGTAACTAGTCAATATTTTGTTATACATTTAATATTTTTTTGTATAAAATAGGCAATACACTTATTTCAATTGAAGCAAATTTTACTTTCCTATACAAAAATCTTTGAATATTACATCTAGAAGCTGTTCAGTGGTTGTCACGCCAACTAGGTAGCCAAGATGTCTTAGAGCTTTTCTCAAAGACTCGGCCATTAAAACAGTGTCATTTGAAGACTTTTCAAGAGATGAGTTAAGACACTTGAGACAGTTACTTAAGTGTTGTCTGTGTCTCACTTGATTCATACTTGGGTGTTCAGCAGATGGTTCGCCACATCTGGAAAAAATAGTCAAAAATATGAATTGCAAAAATCAAATACTCACAAAACTTTTAACTTATTGCTTATACTGTTGACCAGATCTGGGACCCCATCTTCCGACTTGCATGACAGGCAGTTAATTTGACTGGAATTTTGCAAATTAAGTGAATTTTCCACAAGATCTAATTTATTGAAAACAATAATACATTCTTTGGTAAATATTTCATCGTTACTTTCATAATTTAGTAAATCGTGTAACCCCAGTTTTTCAACGTAAAACTTTAAATAATCAGTCGTTGAGCCAGATGAGTGGTTATGCAACCAACTGTAATACTTCTCTGAATCTATTACAAGAATGACAAGATCAGCACACTCATAACTCCTCTTAGCTCTAATTATTCCTTCTTTTTCTACAATGTCGTCAGTTTCAGTCCTCAGACCTGCTGTGTCCGCTAGAACTAGAGGATACCCCTCAATATTCAAAGTGACTTCCAAAATATCCCTAGTGGTGCCTTCAACTGGTGTAACAATAGCTGCAGGTCTCTTGCAGAGCAAATTCAACAAACTGCTTTTCCCTACATTGGGCTCCCCTAAAATGACAGTCTTGACTCCATTCCTCAACAATTCGCCTTTCCTCCCATCATTTAAATGTTTGTCAATTTCATCCCTCATCGTTTCGATTTCTTTAACAATATGTTCTAAAACCCCTTCATCAATGGTTTCAGTTTCTTCAAAATCAATGTGAGCCTCAATGTGCGCCACTGATTTGATCAAACTGCCTCTCCACTTGTTGTATAACTTGCTTAAGGCGCCTTGAGTTTGCAAAAAAGCCTGATTTAATTATTTTTTACTAAAACTAATTACAATTCACCTGTTTTCTTTGTATTTCTGTTTCTGCCTGCAATAAATCAGCCAAACCTTCAACTTCAGTCAAGTCTAACTTTCCATTATGGAAAGCCCTTCTTGTAAACTCCCCAGGTTCAGCTAGTCTTAAATCAGGAAGAGACCCAAGCGCGTTTAAGACTGAATTAACAACAGCTATTCCTCCATGAACATGAAACTCGCAACAGTCTTCTCCTGTAAAGCTATGAGGACCTAGATTTACAAACATTAGTAAAATTGAATCGATAATAAATGAGTGTAACCTGGAAACCATAAAATGAGCCCCTTATCCAATATTTCGTGATTTGAGGGGTGCTTTATGCTCCTTAAAATTGCGGTTCGCGGTTTGGGGTTCGAAAGGCCTGTGAGACATTGTAGAGCCAATTCAGTTGAAGCCCCTGAGACTCTTATGACAGCAACCCCACACTTGCCTTGTCCTATTAAAAAAAAATGAATCAATTCGCAAAACAAAATTAGTTTATACCAGATGATAAAGCATAAATAGTGCTCTGTGTTCGTAGAAAAAATTTTAAAGTTTTTTTATGGACTAGTAAAAAGTTTTTAAACATTTTGGAGGTTATGTTCAGTGAATTTCATTTTGTCACTAGAGTTGGTGCAAATGAGATAAGTGCAACAAGGTCATTTAAGTCATCTGTGTTCCGTGAGAACGTTCAAAACATTGTGCTTATTTTCATAATTTTATTAATAAAAACATCAAAATGTGTGCTAAAATGGCATTTCAACACCAAGCTGGCACAGCTATGGAGTGTCTGAGTGTAAGTTTTGGCGGGTTCTGTTAAATTTTCTATGGGCGTAGAATTTTCTAAGAATATAGTTTACATGTATGAATCATTAGCATATTTAAACAACAATAAAAGCTTTACAAGTAGTTTATCTATGTTTATACTAATGGAAAGTGCATTTACAGATACCCATCACATTACATAAGGAACGCGATGGGGATACAATGAGATGTGGGTTCAAAATTGGGGGTGGAATTGATCAAGACTACCATAAGAGTCCACAGGGCTACACTGATAATGTAAGGATACGAAATATCTCTTTAAATGCTTGTAACTTTTTTATTTTTACAGGGAATTTACGTTACAGAGGTGCATGAATCAAGTCCTGCCTCTAAAAGCGGCCTACGAGTCCACGATAAAATCCTTCAATGTAACGGTTACGATTTTACGATGGTTACCCATAAAAAGGCAGTTAGCTACATTAAGAAACACCCTGTATTAAACCTACTAGTAGCTCGGAAGGGCGTTACATCGACATAAATATGTTTTATTTTTGAACTATGTAACATTCTAATTTACTCTTTAATATCCCTTTTTGTTCCAGTTACCAATAATTCCAATATTTTAAGTGAGTTATATTTAAGTAAATTTTAAGCATAGATTTTATATGTTTGATACGAAATATATATTTCCGTTTTTTATTAATAGTAAGTTGTTATTTTTTGTAGTAGTAATGTTTTTAATTTTTTATTTAAAAAAGTCTATGTGAAATGTTAGCCTATAGTTGCAGTTGATATATTTTGAGTCAGTATTGCCAAGTGTAGCATTGCAACGGTGTTCAACTTGCTTAAATGGATTTGTATTAGCGAATCAGTGATTAAATAAATCTATAAGCAAATCATGCATTTTTAATTTTCCCGCCTGTGTTCAGTTTTCCCGCCAGTGTTTTTTTTCCTTAGCGGTTGGTAGCACTTTCGCAACTGACAGTGTTAACCGATCTTCTGCCGGCAAAAGTTAAAAACACACGCTAGTTGTTTTGTATTTCAAGTCTTAACAAAATAATCTACTAGAATGTTGTTTATAAATTGATTGTGTTAAATTAATCGGTTGTAACTTTAGCCATATCTTTGAATTCTTGGTAATTCCACCTGATTGGCGTGGTGTGAGTGCTGTGAAGTCCGCCAACCAATCACGTTACAGCAGCCATATTTGTGTTTTAACTTCGCGCTCGTCGGTCACAAAAACCGGAGAAAAGTAAGTAAAATCTGCTTCTAAATCGCATTTCTTGTATTAAATACATATTTGAGACGTTCTGAGTCAGTGTGAGTGTTGGTTTCAATAGTTTCCCTCGATTTTCCTCGGAAAACCACTTCTAACTGGTTTGTGAGTTAACCGTATAAAATTTTACGCATGGTGACCAAAATCGTCTCAAATCTGTAAAATCTGCCCCTCGGAATGCATTTCTGATAATTTTTGGCCCCCTGATGGGTTTTATTCCACGAAATTGCGGCTCAAAATTTCCAAAATTAAGATGGCGTCGATTTCGAATCAGAGCCATCTAGACGGTGCGCGACGGAAACTTTCCAAATTTGACATTCGTTCGAAAACGGTTGAAATTGTTGTTGCTTTTTGAAATTCCGTGCTAACCCCGATTATTTTTCCAATTTTGGTGTTCAGGAGTGTTATCACCATGCATTCGCGCTCTGCAAGACCCAGAGAGAGGTGCGTCTTCTCTTTGATCGTTCTTTGTGTCTTTGTACACATCTTGGTCTTGAAAGCCGCTTTCGACATCTATTTCTCAAGCCCCATCGATTATGGCATGACCCCCATGAAATCAACGGAAGAACCGCCGGCTAAACGCTTGGTTTTCATTGTTGCTGATGGTCTCAGAGCTGAAGGAATTTTTGGAAAGGGACAGGCTATAAGAGCTCCAAATTTGACGTAAGTACTTTAGATTTTTTACTAGTCTTTGTTAAAATACTTGTAGTAAAATACGCAAAAGTCGCGCTTCGTGGGGCGTCGCTCATACGAGAATCCCGACGGAATCGCGCTCCGGACATGTGGCTTTGCTAGCAGGAATTTTCGAGGACCCTGCAGCGATTTTTCTAGGATGGTCTGGAAATCCTGTCAATTTTGATTCAGTTATTAACCAGAGTACGAACGCGTGGTGCTGGGGTAGTCCTCATATCGTCCATATGTTCAACAAAGGTAATTACAGTTTAAGGGATATAGTCATTTCTGAATAGTTTACACAGATGGTTCTCTGCAGTTTACTGTGTATTTTCTTGTTACTTAACTCGAGATAAGAGAACAGAACAATATTGCAGAAATGGCTCATGTATCAGTGCATAATCTAGTATCTAATACAATGTTTTCGCGATTAGATAACCTACCGCATATTCATTCCTACTCTTTTGATTCTGTGGTCCAAGATTTCCGAAAAAATGACACGATTTTGATGGATAGTTGGGTCTTTGACCAAGTCCATGATTTTATTGAGGAAAAAATGAAATGTGAAGATTGTTGCGATTTTCATGAATCTGGAAATGTGTTTTTCTTACACTTACGAGGAGTCCACACAGCTGGTCATGACTTTAAACCAAACTCATTGTGCGTATTTAATTTCAAAAGCCGTTCTTTATTTATCTTTATTATCTTCTCAGAGAATATAAAAATATCAAATTCGTCGATAGTATCATTCCAAAAGTTGAGAAACTCTTTGAGACGGCATTTCCGGACAAATCCACCGCGTATGTTTTTACTTCTGATCATGGAATGACAAACTCGGGGTCTCACGGTGCGGGATCCAAAAACGAAACTGAAATTCCTTTCATAGCGTGGGGTGCTGGAATTAAAATTGAAGATATGCGAAAAGATATCAGACAGGTTGATGTTGCGCCCTTAATTTCGGCTCTGATCGGTATAAATTACCCCATAAATTCAGTCGTAAGTATTTAATTTTTTTGTCTAAACGAAAAAAATGCGTTCAATTTTAGGGGACTTTACCTCGTGATTTGATTGATACTTCTGAGGAAAATTTAAGTGAGATGTTGTTTTCAAATGTTCGGCAATTGACGGAAATATATTTGGTAAAAAAACGGCGAAGGATGAACAATGCGATTCGTTTCATACCTTATCAGGGTATCGGTTACGACATGATTTCGGCTAAATTAAGACAGTTGGAGGATTTATTAGATGACAAAAAATTTGCAAAATTTGTATGTTTTACTTTGTGACATTTTTTGAAATAATTATATAATTTCAGAATCATGAATGCGAATTGTTTATCACCTATCTGATCCAAGGTGCTGATTATTATCATAATTATTACCAGGTTCCTATCCTAATTGCCGTAACAATCGGACTTGCTGCTTTTATAATTTATGTAGCCATTTATAATATGCCAGTACGACGACACTCTCGACTCACTGCGAAAATCATTCGATTTATAGAAATATTTCTCTTCATTCCGACGTATCTGAACACTTTATTTATCCTAAACGGTGAGTTTTACCACTAGACTTAATTATTTTTTTACTATATAGGATTTTAGTCCAAGCTTTGCCATTGATGTATTACTTGTATTTTCTATTTCCTCTTGGCATGATTCACGCACTTGTACGCCAGTACCCTCAAATTGCAGAAGCAACGAAATACATAAAGCGTTACGGCGTTAAGGATACTGTCACTAATTTTGTTTTGTACATCGCCGGACTTCGACTATTAGTAAGTTACATTTCTGCCACATTCTGTATATAATAATTTTGCAAAGGTTCAAACGCTTCATGACCGTGTGGCTTTGACTGTGATAATGATATTCATGGGCATGGCGGTATATTTCTCAACATCATTGAGAAGAAATACAATTGGACCGCAAAAAATTACTTGGGTTACGGCAACGATATTATTGGCTAGCTTTCCGTTGATGCCGATTATGAGGACAGCGATCAACTTTACTGTTTAGTAAGTACTTTTTTTTGAAAGGGCACGTTTATTCAAATTTTTAGCATGATGGGGTATGTTTTGTGGTGGATGACTATGGATAAGTTAATAGCACGTCAATTAGAATATCCTTTTTATAATTTGAGACTGGTGGAAGTAGTTGATTTGCAGCATATTATTTTTAAAATAACACCATTGTATACTTTGGCGGTGCAGGCTGGTATTGTTGCATCTGACTCACACTGGAAATATCTTGCATGGATTTGGGCCTGTAAGACGCTTTAGTTTTATTACCCTATTTTATTTTTATTTTACTTTAGTTTATCCCATTGCCATTATCCCTTGCTCGTCACCTCACATTTTTGTCCGTCTTACAAGCATTTTTATTGGTTTTGCGCCGTTTTATTTAATGGTAACCACTAACTTTGAAGTCTTGTTTTTGATGATTTTTGTTTTGTGGCTGTACGCTTGGCTAATGATTGAAAGTAAATGCTATGGTCATCAAACTATTTATCGCCTGACTTTTACGGAAGAATTTGAACCTAATCGTAGACCGACTGCTAATGATTTTCGACGAGGCTTCTTTTTTGTATCCTTTTTTTTAACAAAATAACAAAGATTTATCCAACTTGAGTATATTAACTTAACAATTTAATAGTTGGTTATGATCTTCATGGGTTTCTTCGGTACTGGAAGCATTGCAAGTGTCAGCTCTTTTGATCCGATGTGGGTTCGTAGCTTTTTAACTGTTTATAGTCCGTTGACAATGGCAGGGTTAATACTTTTGAGAGTTGTAATACCGTTTATATACACAAGTTGTACTTTCCGCGCTATCAACATTTTCCGTAAGGGAAGCACCCTGAGCATGTTTTGCATAATTTTGATGTTTTCGGATGTAATGCTCATGGAACTTTTCTTCACTATCACTAACATTGGAACTTGGCTAGAAATTGGTACCAGTTTTTCACGCTTTATCATTATGCAGCTGTTTGTTTTGGCACTCTTGGTGTTGTACGGATTGGGTTATTACTTAACCACTATTGTCTACACACTTAGACTAAATTATGTTTTGTATCATTACTAGATTACTGACTCTGACTCGCAAATGTCAGATATTTGTTGTCTATAAGACATCTTTTGTTCAATTTTAGTATAGGTTTTTTGCTCGTTTATATTATTCTAGTTAGTAGGTTTTCTTGTACTACAAGTATTATCATTCAGTATTAGTGTTCTTGCATAAGAGTCATAAGACTGTATTTTGATATTATTTTTGTGTTCAGTTTTTAATAAATTTGTGTTCGATTAAATTTGTTTTTTACACTACCCAACTATAAATTACCCTCCACTCTTAAAACCTACACAAAATACAACAATCACCTGAAAAATTTGAGCAGATTCAAGATACGCCACCACAGCACGATCTTAACAAAAAGAGATTTTTTTCTATGTAGCCCTCTCCAATCTACGCCACTGGTAACCACGGTGCTGTTCGTTTTGTACAGCCAGGTTCCCACTCAAATATTAATATTTTATTTCTTGTTTTTCAACTTAAAATTAAAATAATACGACACAATCTTATTGAAGGTCTTTATTTTAAGACGTGTAGAAATGAACTGAACTAAAAACTAATCTCCCGTGTTTTTCGTGCCTCAAGTGGTTTCTTGTCCCCTCGCTGGGACTGTTAGTTACGCATTCCTGACGTCTGGGAACAGCGATAACCTTGTGTCACCTTGAAAGACTAGATGGTTGGTCTAGCGTCTGTGCCCGGCGCTCACACGGCCATTCTGACTCAGCGGAACTCATGCAAGGCACCATGGGAGATACAACTAAATAAACAGGAAAAAAAATAGACATTAATAAAAAAACTACACTCGAGCAACAACAGGATAGTACGGCCTTACTGCCTCAACACGAGGGGGAGTTAACACTCACGCCACCAACCAGGTGGTACTCTGCGTTCTCTAGATAACTCGGTGAGGGTAACGGATCGGATTACCCTCGGACTAGAGCCAATGAGAACAACGTCTTGTCCTGCATCCTCCAGATTAAAACAGACTAGAGCCAATGAGAGCAACGTCTTGCCCACATCCTCCAGATTAACACAGACTAGAGCCAATGAGAACAACGTCTTGCCCACATCCTACAGATTAAGAGCCTCAAAAACAAAACAGTCCTACACGTGCTTTACGGGCAAACCAATACGCTCGTAATTATCAACTGTGCACAGACCCACAAAAGCAGGCTCTCAAAAACTTAAAACGAGCCACATCATATATTTTACCCACAAAAGCAGGCTTTCAAAAAAACTCAAAATGAGTCGAAACAGAAACTTTTTTACAAAGTTTGGTTTGGTGACCTCAACTGTCGACAGTAATTGCACTGTTTCTTTTGTCCACCCTGGCAAGAAAACCCTATTGGTAGCCCAATAAAGCTTCCCATGGAGAAACTCCCATCCTCCTTTTTTAAGTGTATTATTTAGACCCAAATGAACATTTGGAGTTACTCTATCCTAAAAATTATCGTCACTGCATTCCTTATTGCCTGTGACCCCTGTGAGTCTAAAATATATAATTTTACTGTAGCGCTCCACCCGATCTTTTCACGTGGCATGCCCACTGCGTTAACACAATGAGTTATTTGAAAATTTTGAACGTCTTTGAGTCACCAGAATTTCCTTTACCTGTTATTAGCTTATTTAGGGCTACAAAATTCTAATGACTTTTCCCCCTTTCCTCACTAAATATTTTGTCTTTATCTTTCGGAGGTACCTATAATAGATGAGATAGAATTTTGTAAATGCATGAAGCAGAAGCAGAACTTGAGCATGACCACGTTTCCTTTTGACAAATTGACAAATGGTCCCAAGGGGGCCGAAAACCAAAGCGAAGTCCTTTAGACTCCTTTATTTTTATTAACTAAAATGACTGGGCTGGTATGGGCGGCTTTGAAATATTTTGTTGGAATATTTTGCTTGTTGTTATAATTTGTGATTCAGTATTAGAAGTTCTACACTTCGCTTATAAACAGAAGCTTACCAAACGGTAAGAAATTGGAAAAAGAAACCATCAAATTTGATATTTTGTTTTTATTATTGGAGTATATGTCATCTAATTGTTATTAAAATAGGTAACTGAGGTTTTACCAATTGATCAGCAGTAAATACAGAAAATTAAAGATTTTACGTGGTGATGTTTTATTGTTACACCTCCAGTAAAATTTTGCCTTATTAAAAATATTACAGTTCTGGAAACAATTATCAACTTCTGTTAAATCGATTTCTTTTTATTTGCTTTTACGAATGTTTAGTAAACAAGAAAATAATGTGTCATAGGTCTTTGGAATTCTTAAATCCTATTATTACTGTTACGTAAGAACTAAACTTTTTGAAATCAAAGACTGGAGCAAAGTTAAAAATCAAAGTCATTAAATTCTAGGGATCGTGTTTGTTCAATATATTTTTTTTACAACGCTGTGTAAAATTAAAACTTTCTTTTTTTTAATTTTTATTTTTTTTTTATTGGTAAATCTGATTATCTGATTTATCAACACCATGACCCCCATATATGTATATATATATATATATATATATATATATATATATATTCGTATGACAATACATAAAAAAGTACATAAATAAAATTATAAAGTTTTGAAAGTAGACAACCAAGTTTTAGCTTCTGGCGACAAATCATGAATTTCTGTGAAGCCTCCTTGAAAACTCGTAAGTCGACACTCTTCGACAATATGTTGTACAGATTCTTCTACTTGACCACATTGACAATATGGATTTTCAACAGCATCCCATTTAAATAACAGAATTACATCTAGCATGACCAGTTCTTAATCTGTTCAATTTCACCCAGACCCATCTTGGCTGATCCATTCCAGGTACTCTTATTGTTGGATCTACTATTAGATCTTTATTGAAAAGTTGAACATTTGACCACATGTTGCGCCACTCATCAGAAACGAAGAAGTTTTCAATATTTGCCGTTTCAAGCCAGAAGGGTTTTCTAGATTTTGATCGATTTTCGGGAGCAATCAGGTCAGACCATACTGGAAAATCTTGCGGATGTTCTCTATATTTTTTCCAGAGTTTCTTTACTAAAAGTTTTCTTCTTAGTAGAGGCGGAGCAATGTTAGACAGTACTGGAAGCCATTCAGTGGGAGTTGATTTTAAAGTGCCAGTTATGACTCGCATGGCAGTGTTTAATTGTGCATCTATTTTGCTTGTACCTATGTGAACTGTTCATCCATACAGCACTACAATATACTGCCGTTGAGAAAACTAATGCAAGAGCTGTGATACAAAGAGTTTTGGCATTAGCACCCCAAGTCGAACCAGCTAACTTTAGTAAAATGTTATTTCTTGTTTTCAGTTTTTGTCTAATTTTTTTCAGGTGGAACTTGTAGGTAAGTGAACAGTCAAGAGTGACACCAAGGTAGATCGGATGAAAGTTGTGCTTAAGTGGTATTCCATTTAATGAAATGTTTATTTTCCTATCTTTTTGAGAATTTGTCAAATGAAAGCAAGAAACTTCTGTTTTCGATGGGTTTATACACAGACGCCACTTCTTGAAGTAATCACACAAAGCAGAAGCATCATGGGAAAGTTGTTTTTCTAGTTGATCAAATTCCTTGTGTTGAAAAGTCAGAGCAATATCGTCAGCATACACAAATTTTCTTGAAAGTGTATCAGGGAGATCACTCGTATAGACATTAAAAAGCAATGGAGATAATACWGCACCCTGAGGAAGACCATTATTAAGAMTTTTTACTTTGCRTGATWTTTCGCCAATAAAAACTCTAAATTTTCTATTTGTTAACYTGCTCTCGATAAGACTGACAATCCGTTTGCAAGGTACGATTTTATAAAGTTTGTGTATTAAACCATCCTTCCATACTGTATCATATGCGGCAGTGAGATCCAAAAGAACAACACCAGTTTTTAAARGTTTTTCGAAACCKGATTCAATGTGGGTCGTTAAAGCTAAGACTTGGTCGCAGCAACTTCTTTGWGGTCGAAATCCAGCTTGTTCGGGGGGAAGAACATCCTCAACAATAGGAGAAATGCGCTGATAAATCATCCTCTCCAGAATCTTGTAACAAACACTCAACAAAGAAATGGGCCGGTAACTGGACGCTTCCTGTGGAGATTTTCCCTTTTTCAAAATTGCGATCACCTTGGTCTTTTTAAACTCCGAAGGCAGACGGGCTGAAATTAAAATATCATTAAAAAAAGAAGTAAGCCATTTCAGTGCAAAACTTCCGAGATTTTTGATGAATTCTGGGTAGATCCCATCAAAACCAGCTGATTTTTTACACTTCGTTGATGATATGGCCTCTTCTAATTCATCTACGTTGAAACATCTCGATAGATGTAGTCTGAAATGTTCGCCTTTCTTTTTTGTTTTTGAACTCGACATTTCATCTCCTTCCTTTCTTTTCTTCCTAACTTAACAGATTTTGAAATGTTTACCAAACGACTAGCTACAGTGTTTGGGTTGATCGCACAATCTGACTTAGGCAGATCAAAGTTCGAAGATCCAAGTTTTTGTAAAAGCTTCCAAGAACTGCGACTGCTATGTGTGAAATTTAAATCTTCCATTAAGCTGTTCCATTTTTCTTTTCTCGCCTTATTTAACGAATTTAATACAGCATCGGCATTCTCTGGATTAGGACTGGATATATATGAATTGTACAAGCTCGTTGTTTCAACACTCCAACATGGAATATAACTTTTCCTGAATCCTCGAGGGATTAATTTTTTAGCAGCATTTTTGACTACTCCAACAAATTTGCGGTAGTTCACTGCAATTGGGGAAATCCAACGAAGATCACTATCCACTTGTTTGGAAAACTCAGTCCATTTGGCTTTTTGGAAATTCCATCTAGGTTTTGGAAGAGAAGGAAATTGCTTTATTTCGGTGCCAAGTTTAACAATAACCGGACGATGTTGGCTGCGTGGAAAACCAGATAGTACATCTCGTGATGTTTGTAATGATACTTCGTTATTCATTGTAACAAAACATAAATCAGGATTGTATTCCTTCTTCCATCTGGCCGAATAAAAACTCCTCCTAGTTTTACCGTCAAAAACCAAATGAAGCTTGTTTAGTTCCATCCATGAAACAAGAGCAAGACCATTTTTTTCATTCTCCGCATAACCCCACAAATTGTGACGACAATTGAAATCGCCAATGTAAACAGCAGGATGATAATTCAGCATTAGATTTGCAGGCCACTGATCATTAGGGGGTTTATAAATGTTAATAATAAATATACCAGCAATTTTGACAGTGAGGTAAAAGATGTTGTTTTCTTGTGATTTGGCGATGGATTGAAAATCCTTGAAGTCTGATTTAACATATGTCGCACAACCGTAAGAAGCACTATTGATAAAATCCACCAAGGTATAGCCAGAGATTTGTCCATGGGAAAAGAGATCCAAATCCGACGAAGTGTGAGTTTCTTGAAGTACGAGGACATCCACATGTTCCTTCAAAGCCATTTTCGATAAGAAATCGCACTTATCTTTTGAAATTCCTTCAATATTTAATTGACACTGTCAAATTTTGTTGAATTTTCAAAACTTCAGCAGAACTTCGCAAATTAACAAAACTAAACGATGACCGAGAGGATCTTGAAGATCTGGATCGGTCGTCCAAGTGTCGGTGATTTCTGGGTGGCGAAAAACTACCCATAACCCCCATATAAGCGGTTTTGTTGTATTTTACACCTTTTACGCTTATGACCATTTTTAACCATTTGCAGTAGTACTTGTTATTTATTGTCTTCATTTTTTTTTGCTGATTATTTGCTACTCAGGTTTATTGCAAATAACTAAATTAGAGATTGTAAGTTTAAGTTTGCTCTATTTTGGTCAAGCCTTTGAATGCGATGAATACCTCATCATGAGCAAAAAAAAAATTGTTTCAAGTATTTTTACGTACGCTGTCAAATGAGTAGGAACTATTACGACTGGTGCTTCCTTCCATTGCTAATCTGTTAAGATGTTCATTTGTTGTTCCCTTACGATCAAATTTACCTCATCCGTGCCTGACAGATTTATTTTTCGGATAAGAGATAGTTATTTAAGGTAATATTCGAAAAAGTTGTCAAAATACAACACATTAAAAAAATTAATCTTGTGATGACAGAAAAATTTGCATTTAGGCCCGGTTTCCGGAAACATACTTAAGAGAGATAAATTAAGACCTTGGGTTAACCCATGGCAACCCTAATTAGACCAGTGCAGCGCTACCTTATCAACCATCAACGAGTTAAATTTTAACTGACGTTTTAAGCTTATCAAAATATTATGACGACCTTACTAATTTATGGTTAAATGACCAGTACAATTATCTCCTCATTCGTTAATTTTCGATAGTTCGTCAATCTTACCGAATACCGAGTCACACCTGAACAACATCTCAGAACGGAGCTAACTCCATATCTGTATCTCTTATCGAAATTCCGGAGTTGTACCTTTGACTTGGCAATTTTAATAATCGATTTTTGAAAGACTAGGGGGTTGGTCTAGCGTTTGTGCCCGGCGCTCACAATATAAAGCATAAAATTTAGATAACATGGGAAAATGAGCACCTTCAATTGCAGATGGCTGTTGTAGAAAATTTTTTGCCGATTCCAATGTAATTTTGTTATAATTGTGATAAATAACTACATGAATTATATTGTTGTTTTTTTTTCATACATGCGATGCAAAGTCAGATAATTAGCTTATTACTCTTATTAGTCTTATTACTTCTACATAATCAAATAGAGCCAGAATCATAATTAGAAATTTTTGCGAATGACTTCGCCTTCTATATTCTCAGTTCGCTACACAAGATGAAGTAAATAAAGTTTTTATTGGTAGAAAATTTTGGGGAAAGGAAAAAAATTAGCAAGTAACAAAAAAAACTTGGAAAATTATTTTTTCAACAGAAACAGTTAAACTGCAAATTTTCAACTCTCATAACTTCGAAATTTTTATAGATAATTTTTTTTTAACATTTTTTTATGTTCCTGGTATTTTACCTTATATGGCATTTTTCTCGGGGCGCGAGTTCTGGCGCACCTGTATATTTTATTTATTTTACCCTTAATAAAAAATATTTTATCAGTATTTATTTTACGGAATTCTAGTTTTTTCACTTAATAATATGTTTGGTTGCGTGTCCTATTTTTTAACGAAAACTCCAGTGACGTCAATTCGCGCGAATAATGCACACACGTGATTGGTGCAATAAAAATACCTGCGTACTAATTAAAGCAAATAAAGAGTTTTTTTGTTCTAAAAATAATCACTGATCATTGAGCAAAAAGGATCTAGAAGTTTAAAGCAGTAGCTTTAAATATAAGAGCAAATCTTTTTCAAATTAAATCACTTTCCATTCAGATTCTAAATTGTTCACTTTGTTCTAGCTTTCTGAACTTTTTTTTGAAAATGTTCTAATGCTTTCTCATCACTTTCTACTGATGTTGAATGCAATAAGTCAGTTGCTTCGTGTGCAACTGTTATCACAACAACTACTACCTACAAGCTAATTGAAGCTAATCGTAGAATGTACCAACAAAATAAAACAGTGACTTATTGCATCTTTGTTGTAAAAATGACCACTGATCATTGAGCAAAGAGGATCTAGAAGTTTAAGGCACGAACCTTAAATATAAGGGCAAATCTTTTTCCAATCAAATCACTTTTCATTCAGATTTCGACTTGTTCACTTTGCTTTAGCTTTCTGAACTTTCAGTGGTCATTTTTACAACAAAAAAACTCTTTATTTGCATTAATTAGTACGCAGGTACTCTTTATTTGTTTTAAGTAAACAAATCGGTGGATAGGTCATAATGGACCAGTTTTATGGCCAGCTCGTTCACCGGACTTAAATCCTTGTGACTTGTGAATAATACTGCCGAGTCAATTCGACGAAATTCCGAGATGTTGGTGAAAACTAAAGCTTCTATGGCTCGAAGGGCACAAGCATACATCGATAACGGAGGGAGTCATTTCGAACATTTAATTTGAAGGTTAGTGCCCTTGATCAAGTGTGATGCGTAACTTAAATGTCACTCTCACCTACTACGAATAAAGAATTGGTTTTTGCTTGGCTATCTAAGTTTTTATCTTCTTTCGCTTTTAATGTACGCAGGGAGACATTGGCGGGTACTAGAATTTACGTTCAAACTAATTAAAATTTTATCTGGGTTTACAAAGATTTTTCGAAAAAATGGTAAATAGCAAAGTAATTTATTTTGATGAGTTCTATCACCGTTTAAATTTTCTTAACGCATTTCAATAACATACTGTATATCATTCTAATGGGCAACTCCATCCCTTTAGAATGGTCTTTATTTGAAGGAAATCGGCCTAATAGTTATTGTGTAATGATTTTTAAAGTTAACGTATTTTAAATTCATTTAAATTAGAAAAAAAATATTTAGTTTCAAGTGTGTGGACTAAAATTTTTTTTAGTGCATTTGATTTGTCTCACTGAGACGAACAAAATGATATTGTTAGAAATGGGAAATTGTTTTTTTTTTTATTTAATTTTTAGTTGTTGAGGGATTGTTTGTTCTCTTATTTATTGTTAATAAGATTTATTATTATTTAGTGCAAAATTGGGTAGGATTGGGTAATCCACAATTATTGAATAATTGTTCGAAAATTCTAGAAGCGATTACAATTGTCAGGTGATGTGTTTTTTGATATGACACATTTTCTTTGTGCTAAGGGACGTTATGTAAGTGCCGATAGCCGCTGCCGGTCGAATCGTGATTGCTCAGTATTCACGAGACGCTCGGACAAGTTGCCGCTATAATTTATTGATAATTTTGTGTAATTATTTTGAGCAATAAAAGTGCAGTGTTTTGAGTTCCGTTGTTTAATTTCTAACAATATATAATTTGTCAAGTTGTTATGACATGACTTTTTTTTGTCGCCTTGTGTCATTAGAAATGAAAAGAAGAAAAAAAAACAAAAAAATTGCTTTCAGTGGGATTAGAACTCCTATCCTAGTTTATCAGGCATATTTTCTGCAAAAACAAAGAAAATCGCTACACGGGATGACATTTGAAGAAAAAAGTTAACAATGATTTTATAGAAGATCTCGATAATAAACTTGTCTTTGAATCGAACGTATACAAAAAAAACCAACATAATTCATTTAAGTTTTTATTTATAGTAACAAAATTACATTGCAATCGACAAAAACACTTCTACAACAGTCATTTGCAATTGCACATGCTCATTTTTCTAGGTTTTATAACCCTAGCTCCACAAAACGAGAATAGTGGCACAGATAGTGGGTGAAAAGCGTCAACAGTGACACAAGCAACACATTTTTGGTCGACTGTAATTTCGATCTTGCTAGCTCCACCAGCACTTGTGTTGGCAACACATTGACATGTATCATAACCTAATTTTTTGTTTATTTTAAGAAAACAAAAACATCTCCAAATGACCCGTTTTTCTGTTAAATAAAATAATTTGTAACGAAACATGTTTCTAGAAAATCGCAAAGTTTTCATTTTAATTTCTTTCGGATTTTTTGTGCATGGTCTTGTTCTAAAAGCTGCCTTCGATATCTACTTTTCTAGCCCTATTGATAATGGAATGACCCCCATTTTATCAACAAATAGCAGCCCTGCTAAACGTCTTGTCCTTTTTGTAGCTGATGGTTTGAGAGCTGAGGGAATCTTCGGGGAAAATCAGACAGAAAATGCACCTAATTTGAAGTAAAAATTTGGATCGTTTTTTCTCCAGTAATATAAATATTTTTTAGTAAAATAAAAGAAACGCGTGGTTCTTGGGGAATTGCTCATACTAGAGTACCAACAGAATCACGTCCAGGACATGTAGCTTTACTTGGAGGAATTTATGAAGATCCTGCTGCTTTGCTGAAAGGCTGGAAAGTAAATCCTGTTGATTTTGATTCCGTAATTAATCAGAGTAGGAATGCGTGGTGTTGGGGCGGCCCGAGTATTATTAACATGTTTAACAGAGGTACAAAGAAATTTAATTAATATTAACTCAAATAATTTTTTTTTAGATGATTTGCCACACATTCACTTACATTCATACGAGCCGAGTTTGGAAGACTTTGGCAATAATAACACAATTGGACTAGATTCCTGGGTTTTTGACAAAGTTGAAACTTTTATCCAACAACAAAAAACTTGCGATTTGTGTGAATTCAAACAAAAGAGAAATTTATTTTTTCTTCACTTGCTTGGCATTGACACTGCTGGACATGCATTTAAACCCAACTCTTTGTAAGTGTAATTAACCAACTTCTCTCTATTTTCATCATCATTATTGTAGAGAATACAAGAAAAATATCAGATTTGTTGACGAAAATATTGCCCAAATTGAGCAACTCTTTGAACGTGTTTTCCCCGACAAGTCCACCAGTTATGTGTTCACTGCCGACCATGGTATGACAAACTGGGGCTCACATGGCTCTGGTTCTGACCATGAAACCAAAACTCCCCTAATTACTTGGGGGGCCGGGATTAAAATTGACAAAAAACGTAAGGATGTGCAACAAATCGATATTGCACCCTTATTATCTGCACTTATCGGTATTAATTACCCTATTAATTCATTGGTAAGTCATATAAATTTGAAGAAAAAAATAATTGATCGCTTCAGGGACGCTTGCCGGTTGATTACATTGAAACATCGCAAGATAATTTGGCCGAAATGATGATTTCGAATGTTTTACAATTAATGGAGACCTTCAATATCAAAAGAAACAGAAGGATGCGAAATGCGATACGATTTGTGCCCTTTCAAGGAGTCACAAGGGAAGCACTTGAGTCAAGAATTAATCATCTAAAATATCTATCAAGTTCACAACATTTTGATTCACTTGTAAGGCGTTTCTTGAGTGTTTCTACGTCAAACATATTTTTTTCAGAAAGTTGAAACAGAAAAAATAATTGATTTTCTAATTGAAGGTTCTGATTATTATCACAATTACTACCAACTCCCGATTTTAATCTCAATAACTGTGGGAATTGTAGCGTGGATCATTTATTTAGCAACTTTTAATGTCAGTATTCCTCAAAATACATCACATGGAAAAATAGTCACTTATATTGAAGTATTAGTTTTCGTGCCATTATACTTAAACGCCTTGTATTTATCGATAGGTATGTCCAATATTTATGATAATTTTTAGTGATGTTTTTGTTCCAGTTCAGTCACTTCCAATGATGTACTACGTATATTTCCTTTTCCCAATTTTTATGGTACAAATTCTCGTTCGTCGTCATGTTTATATTTTAGAGGCTTTGAGACAAGTAAAACGTTCGGGTTTTAGAGAGGCTTTGGTCCAATTTTTGGTTTATTTTCTTGGACTGAGATTATTAGTAATTACTACAATAAAAAATAACGTTTTAGTAATTTTCTATTACAGGTGCAAGGATTTCATAATCGTAAATCACTAAGTATTGTAATTTACCTCATATTAGCCTCTGTTTTTTACTCAAAATCGTTAAGACGTCACACTAATCGGCAGCAAAAAACAGTTTGGATTGTTTGTTGCGTTATTGTGTCAATTTTCCCGTTTTTGCCACAAATGACCACAACATTCAATACCAGCAGCTAGTAAGTAACAATTTGCACTAAAACCTAATAATTTTAGTCTTTCTGGTTATATTTTATGGTGTATCGCTGCATACAAATTTATTATGAATCGCTTGAAGTCGAGTAAAATTATCTGTGTGCAATATGGAATGATGGTCTTGACTCCATTATATACTTTATCGGTGGAATATGGCTTAGTGGCGTCAGATTCACCCCTTAAAAGTGTAGCATTTATTTGGTCTTGTGAGTAGTCTTAGTTTGACCATTTTTGAAATTAATTGCATGTTTGTAGTTACCCCAATTGTTGCCATACTGTTTTCACCAGTTCAAGTATTCTCCCGCCTTAGCAGTATTTTTATTGGATTTGGGACATTCTACTTGATGGTCACGTCCAATTATGAAAATTTGTTTTTGTTTTTTTACATGTGTCTACTTTATGTATGGCTGATATTAGAAAATCGATGTTTTCATTGCGAAAACTGGGGTGAGGTGGAGTTTAAGAGGGCTTTTGAAAGAGATAAATCGCAACAAAATGATGATTTTCGGCGAGCGTTTTTCTTTGTATCCTTTCTAATACGTTATTTTACTCTGTTTTTTTTTGTATTCCTTAACTCTGTGACAGGTTGTTTTAATTTTTATAGGATTTTTCGGGACTGGAAACATAGCAAGTTTGAATTCTTTTGATCCAATGTGGGTTCGTTGTTTCCTTACTATTTTTAGTCCATTTAAAATGGCAGGACTGATACTCTTAAGAATAATGGTACCTTTCTTATTTACTAGCTGTGCATACAGAGCTGTGAATTTATTTTGTAAAAGTAATACGCTTAACATGTTTTGTATAGTATTGATGTTTTCAGATTTAATGTTACTTGAACTTTTGTATTATATCACAAATATAGGCTCCTGGTTAGAAATAGGCATGAGTCTTTCAAAGTTTATTATAATGGAAGCTTTCGTTATCATTTTATTAATTTTGTACGGATTTGCTTATTTATTAACTACGACTTCTGTTAAAATGTAATAAAATTGTTTATGCCAATTGTAAAAACAAATTCCAAAAACAAAATCTGTATTTGAAACCGAGCTTTTTGGTATTTATTTAAATTTAATAAACAAGTTTGCCAACCTTGCACTTGCTAAAATTATATGCAGTTTTCTTAATTACCAACTAAATGACCGTTATAAAAATGTTTGAAATATATTACATACTAAAGTTAGGAAAAAATCACTTTTGTGTTTTACTCATATATAATAATTGACAATAAAAGATTTGGTTCAATTTTTTGTCAAAATTATTTACTTTACTCACCCATGCTAAATGACGAACACGATCACTAGTAACTAGAATGACCGTTAAAAATTTGAATTTTAAGAAATTGTCTGAAATATCAATTTTTATAATTTTTTGCAATTACACATTGCTCAGTTTTGCCAAGACCACACACCATTGTGGCTAAGAAATTGACAAATCAGCCTTATCCTTACAATTAAGGAAAAAAATCTGATGACGTGGCAATTTTTTAGGGTTTTTATTGCCCACAGATCACGTATTGTCATTAGCGACGTTAGCTGCGCCATTTTGTAGCGTCACCTTCCTCTTTCTTCTGAACGCGTCGACGCAAGAAGAAGCTCTCTAGGTTTGTACCCTAAAACAAGTGGTGATAAGGACCAGTTTGTCTCCAAAAGCTGAACACATGGAGGAAAGTAAGTTTGCGCATGTTTTTACATTTGCCGCGTACTATTTGTTGATGTTATCCACAAATCTTCACCTGATGAGTTCAATCATAGAAGTTCGCGAAAGAATCTTTTTAAATGAGTTGTTGGTGTAAAAATTTCAGCTTGTCTCTACTGATTTTGTGTTGGAATGAGTTTTTGGATGTGTTTTATCTTTTATTTTGATTATTTTGGTGGTAATTCAAACTTTGTGGAGATATCGGCATTGCAAATCGCTGATATGTTACCAAGGTATATGAGCTATTTCATTACTGTTCTGGTAGATTATTAAAGAATTTTATCGTAAATTGGTTATTTAATACTTGCAGTATTCGCAGAATGAATTACATAACGGTTTTCATTACACTTGGGAAAGTTTACTTTCCCGGTTTTTTCACTTTTTAGTCAGGCTTTTTTTTGCTTAATATAAATGATTGGGTCAGGTTTTTCGGTGTAATTGGGTAAAACAATAAGTGATAAATTTTAAAATTTATGTTCAATGAAAAATTTCGGTAACTTCGAAGGGATTCCAAGCGGGAAAAGTTTTGGCGCTCATAACCTAACAAATGGTTTCCAAATTTGTTAAATAAGTCACAGTTTATACACACTGAGGCGAGAATTGTTATTAAAATGTAATTGCTAGTCAATTTCTTATAAGGTAGAGTCAAGATTTCGCGTTTTTTCATTTTTGCGCCCAAGAATTAGTGTCTGCCACGAAGGCAAAATGTGATACAATTCAATCGCTTTTCAGAGTTTTTTGCGGCGGGTGCTAGAGCCTCGCAAACTCGTGACGGGACCATAAGACTTTTCGCATTATATTATTCTGAGACAAGACGTACGTGTGCTCGTCCAGAACCAGCACACTTTCATTCTGAACCAAAGGATTCTCCATCTACCGAAACTGCTGAAAACAGGCCGGAGCCTGCAGGCGCGGAAGCATTCCCGAATCCTCCTCGATTCGGAGAGCAACCAGGGCATCACAGCGCTAATTCAGGTGAAGATTTTTTATTTTCGCAACCGTCAGACGCCAGCTCGACTTTTTACGCCGAGCCTGATTATTTTCAATATTTTGATCTTCCCAACGCACCCCCAACTGCTGAAGATCCTTTTGAAGCATTTGCAGAACGCTTCGCCGGCTACTGTAGCGGCAATTTTGACTGGAATGAGTCTTCATTCTTCAATGATCGAGCTTTCGATGCAGCATTCGATCGAGCTTTCGATGCAGCATTCGATGAGTTTCTGAATGACGTACCCAACTTTTTTGCAGATTCTACCGACAATTCTTATTATTCTAATCAAAATTTTGAGCCTCAACCAAACATTCCGCAAAATTTTGGGAATAACTACGGTCAACAGGGGGGATTTTCAAATTTTAGCGCTCCGCAAATGAACACCAATATGGGTCCACCGAAATTCAATGAAAATTCGCAAGCGTAAGATATCTGTTTGTTATTGTCATTTTTATTACAGATTGTTTTTGTAGAATTTCTATTAGCAGCGAAGAGTCTAGCGACGAGGAAGATGAGATGTAAGTGTATTTATCGGATTTATTCGTAATGGTTGATATATATATATATTTTAGGGACACCATTTTTATCATAAGTGATTCAGAAGAGGAAAAGGATGATTTAAATAAAGGAAATAAAGAAGATGAACCAAAGAAGACTGATACCGCTGAAAAGAGGTTTGTGTTTAAGTAAGCAGTCGAACTTTCGGAGGAAATTAACTTGTTGTGGTCTTCTGAAACGTTAGCTGTTTTTTACTAGTAGTATGCAATCAGTGGCGGATTTATTTTTTTGGGGGCCATCCCTACATTTTTCTACCATCAAAGGGTAATGAAAAATGATAATTGTTGTTTATGCATCATAAAATAATATACGCGATTAAAAAGTAGGTATTAGTTACATATTTTTTAAGTATGACAAAAATCTCTAATTGTATAATGCTCAGTAGACATCTAAATCGTTAAATTAACAGTCACATTTTGGTAAACATTTTCATCTACGAGTATTAAACAATTAATTCCTTCTTATAATTATTATTTACTATGCGTATTTTTTATTTATATAGTTTATTAACTGGACATGTAAATTATGTTTATTTCATTTTTAATTAAACTATAAAAATCGCCTAATATTTCTTTAACTTATTTTTCATTTTACTTGTTATTATTAATTTGAGCTACCTGATAATACATACGCAATTTCTAAAAACAAAACTCGGTGTTACCGTTTCAGTTATAAATTAGGGAGAATGATAGCGTAGTTTTACCCAATTTTATGGTAAATCCGCCACTACATTGTTTCGTTGACTTTTCTATTTAGTACTAAATCTGTTATTAGCGGACACAATATGATACTTTGGGTTGAATCAAACAAAGAGAACATTGACGGGTAATTTTTAACGTAGTAGTAGATGCCTCTGAAATGACGTTCGATTTTTAGCAGCAACATTTCTGGCGAAAAGAATCCGGGTGTTCCGACCGAGGGGGCAGTCGGGGACGCGGCGTACGGTTATGAAAATTCCGATCAAATTCCTTTGCCAGAATTGCTTGAAATACACGGCAAGCAGTTAGTATCGGGGTTTGAATTTGGGGAGGCAACAAAACGTCGCGCTCAACAAAACATGCAATCTGCTCGTAACAAAGCACAAGGGAGGGAAGAACAGTCTACATCCGAGTCCACTAACGATTCGGTAAGAGAAGATTATTGAAAATGGACTTAGTGAAACGAAGAAATTGCAGAAACCTTCTTTATCGCAAGTTCATAAAACCCCCCATTCTCGCAAACGGCAACGTATGGCTTCGGCTCGGACGATGCGATCGTCCGAAAGAGATTTTAGTAAAGCCTCACGTCAAGTCCCCGAATGTCTTCGCGGCCACCCGGATTGCGTCGAAGTCTGGGATTTCATGATATATAAAGAAGAGGCTTTGCTCAAATTGCGCAACCCAAGGCTTTTCAATGACTTTAAAAGTGTTACTCCTCGTATGAGAGCGATTCTTCTTGATTGGTTGATGGAAGTTGCCGCCGTTTACCATCTAAGAAGAGTCACGTATTATTTAAGCGTTGATTACTTTGACCGATTCCTGTCTATCAGACCTGATATACCCAAAAGTCTCCTCCAGTTAGTTGGTATCACATGTCTGTATATCGCCGCCAAAGTCGAAGAAATTTATCCTCCGAATCTTAACGAATTTTCCTATGTCTGTGATGGCGCATGCCAATCTAAAGACATGATCTCTTGTGAAGTTTTAATACTAAATGTAAGTTTTGCATAATTTTGCACGATTTTTTTCTCACTTTGTTGTTACAGAGTTTAGGTTGGGAAGTTGTACTCACAACTCCTACTGATTGGCTTAATTTATACATGCAATTACACCATAAAAGTACCGATTTCATCAGAACTAAACTGAATATGGACTTCAACAAAGACTTTGTTTTTCCACAATATTCCGCTTACCAGTTCACTCGTGCTTCGCAACTGATTGACTTGCTATCACTTGATCCGGGATTTCTCAAATTTGGCTATAGTGTGATTGCTGCTGCCGCAATGTACTATATGTATGGACGCGACACTGCTGTAGCTGTCTCAGGTTAGTTTAACTTATTACAATAACAGCAATAATATTATATATTAGGTTTCGATTGGTCTCAATTGGAATCTTGCGTCAACTATATGGAAGTCTTTTATATCATCATTAAAGACGCCCCAGATCCGCGTCTGTACTCTTGTCTCGGGGGGCCTCACCCCGAGGAAATGACACGATTTTCAGCCGGTCTTCTCCGACGGGTCCAATCTGGACCCCAAAGTGAAAATTACGCGTTTCAAACCCATATTGCCAGCATGGAATATTTTGTAAGAATTTCTTATCGTAGTTTACCTTTTTTAACAAAGTTTATTTAGGAGACAGCAACAATCTACAGATTGAATAAATTACGACCAAAGAGTGATAGCCCGACTACAGATCCGGAGGATTCTGCAAGTGTTCCAGCAGATGACAACAATCAAATTGTTGATTTGCGTGAAGAACTTGCAAGTTTGGCAGAGTTGACTAACGGGGCTGCACCTGTAGACCACAATTTGATGACTTTGGACGAAATTTTTGAACTTATTTTAGGTCAAGACGGGAACAGGGATTCGACTTAACTGTGTTTTGTATATTTGTATTTTTGTACCTAGTTTAGGTTTGTATTTTTGATTTTTGTTCTTAGGTTCTATTTGTTTGCTCGTTCGTATTTCGTATGTTTTGTATCTATTGTTTATATCTAGTTTAGGTTTGTATTTTTTATCTTTGTTCTTAGGTTCTAGTTTGCTCGTTCGTATGTATTATTTATATCCTACATAGTTACTTTTTTAGACTTTGCAAATAACGTCTCAGGTAATTGCATTGTAATTAAACAGAAATAAGTTTTAATGGCATACGCCACTAAATATGCAAAGGTTTTGTGAATTTTAATGATATAAAATTACAAAATATAATTACTGTGATCAATAGTTATAATTATTGAGATCTATATTTGTAAATGTTTTGCTATATCTGTAAATTTATTAACTTAGATTGCTAAGGTTAACATTTCGTTCGATTTAATCATAAACTTTGAATTTTTGTATTAGCATGAATTAATCAAAAGACTGAATTTTTAAATTTTCTCAACTGATTTGAAATATATTGTTTAGGCATTGAGATCTATATTTGATTTGTAAATGTTACCTTTGTAAATTTACATGTAATGTGTCTACTTCTGATATAGGTCACGATTCAGCTTTAAACATGTAAAATGTTGTAGATTTCTATAAACATAACTTAACATAGTCTTGTAGTCAATAAAAAGACTATATTTTTGTAATATTTCAAATAAATTTTTTTTGGCATTACTTGGACTTATAGTTTGGAAAGTTACCGCTAGTGTCGTTGCTATCGATTATTCGATTTGGTATAACTATAACCTTTTCCAGAAACAGCTGTCTTACTGACATAACTGACTGGGAGAAATTTAAGAAAAACAGCGAAATTCTAGGTAATTATTATAAACACAGCGAATCAAAGTTAAGCTTCAACTTTACACAGGTTATTAAAATATTTAATAAATACGTTCTCTTAAAAATTGTTACACGTGTGCTATAACCTGAAACTTTTTTAGCCGCATCGCAATGGAATACATGCAATACGAGAATATCTGGATCACCAAGTCAATTTACGAGGATGCAGAGACGAAGTATTATGAAAACTTGGCAAAGGTACGTGACTAAAAAACCAAAACAAAAATAAAACCGATTAGAGTAGTAATCAATTCGCTCCCAATTCTTTAAAATCTAACAAAAATCGTTAAATTCATGGTCGTTTAACAGTTGAAAATTGGCAAAAATGTTGTTTTCTGTGAAGGTGACTTGCGTTCACTTGTTTCCTACTAATTGGGTCTTTATTTTCATTTCAATTTTGCGACTGGTTCATTAACAATAATGGTATTCTGTTTGGTGTAGGCATCCGTAACACCTTTGGCGGGTGAAGTTGCCAAGGCGAGACAACTTCTTATTGAAAGTAGGGATTCTTTTAAAGATGTGAGTAAAGGCTTACCCTAACCCATTTACATTCCATACTAACAAATCAAGTGGCTTAATGATCGCCATTGTCTTATGCAACAAAATTACAGGCCCCTGTATCCGAGACTCACTCCACCGACCACGGCGCGATCAAATTTTTTGAGAAAAAAGCGGTCGAATTTGAAAAAAGTACGTTTTGTGCAACCCCTCGAACCCAAAATAATAATTTATTTCGCAGCTATTAACGCGATCGTGGAGAGTATAAAACAGCTAGAATTGCGTTTGTCCAAAGTCGAAAAGAGCGCCACTTGCGCTGCACCTGCACAGGCAGCTAAGGCAGCCCCTGTCAAGGCCGACGACGACGATGATGTGGATCTGTTTGGTTCTGAATCTGAGGAGGAAAATGAGGCAGCCGCTAAACTGCGAGAGGAGCGACTCGCCGCCTACAACGCGAAAAAATCCAAAAGTAAATAAAAAGAATATTAAAATAACCGACTAATTTGTTTAAATATAGAGCCGGCTTTAATCGCAAAATCAAATGTGATTCTCGACGTGAAACCCTGGGATGATGAAACCGACATGAAACAGCTTGAGAAGGAAGTCAGGAAGATTTCGTCCGACGGTCTTCTATGGGGCGCCGCCAAACTCGTCCCTTTGGCTTACGGCATCCACAAATTACAAATTTCCTGCGTGGTTGAAGACGAGAAAATCTCAATTGATTGGCTACAGGACGAGATCACAGCCATTGAAGACTACGTTCAAAGTGTAGACATTGCTGCCTTCAACAAGATTTAAGCAACCCCTTGTACTTTTTTTATTTAAAAATAAAGTGGCCCCATGTTTCATTTCCAAATAAATAGTTAATTTTTCCCCGGTGTTTTATTTTCTATTTCATGGATCACCAATGGGGGGCAGCATTGTGTCCGTTCCGGCTCATTACCCGTGTTACTATGTACTGATAAATGAAAATAGACAAAATTACGCAACGATTGTTTAAAGTCGTGCAAATTTTTTAAAAATTTTAATTTGGCGTGGTTCTTGAACAGGTTGGGAGGACAATTGCGGTTTAATTTAAAGGTGTCGGTATTACAGTTTGTTACAATACCGACGGAAGCTACCGTTGTTTGTTGCAAATGCGAGTGCGGTAGTGTGTGACTGGCGAAAAATGGCGCTTAGGATCTGGGAAGTTGAAGTTTTTAATGTGACAGAAGACATTGTTTGCAATCCTAAATATAATAAAAAAGTGAAACTTAGAGCTGATTATGATCCACAAGGAATTAGCATTAAATTACTGGACGGTATGTATAAAAAAGTGATATTTTTGTGTAGCATCATTCAGGTATCATTATTGTCTTTTTTTATTATTGTCAATATTATGAAATTTTTCGTAAATTATATTTTCCTCATTACTGGGATTACACGACATTTGCGCATTTCAAAAATTGGATTAGTGTTGCACCTTGTCGTTTTTTTTTTGTAACTTTTGTCTTATCTAAAACCAAGCAAATGTTTGGTTGTCTAAGGATTTTTGGCGTTTATTTTAGGTGACGACTCTCATGTTCTATCAGAATTTCCAATTAGTTCATCTTCGGAATGTTGCCGCGTGGGGCCTAAATCCTACATATTTTCCTTTGACAATGAAGCTCTGTTGTTTAAATTCGGTTCCATTGAAGGTAATTGAAGAAAAAACCCAAGAGATCTGTAAATTGTGTTTAATTTCTAGACGCGAGAAGCTTTACAATAGCTATAACAAAAGTCAAGTCTGGAAAAGGTGCATCAGTTTTTTCTGTCAGAACAGAAGACTCATCAGCAACTCAGTATTTCCAATTTTATGGTTACTTGTCACAACAACAAAACATGTTACAAGACTTTGTTAGGACATATACGTATCAAAGAGCAATATTATGTAACTTAGACGACTTTAAGGATAAAGTAATTTTGGATGTTGGTGCTGGTTCTGGTATTCTGTCATTTTTTGCTGCACAAGCTGGCGCTAAGAGGATTTATGCGGTGGAAGCGTCTACAATGGCACATTTTGCGCAGGTAATTTCATGGATATTTCGCTAAAAACGTACTAACAATTGACTTTAGAAATTGGTGGATGCTAACAATTTGTCAGACTCAATAAAAGTTATTCCTGGTAAAATAGAAGAAATTGAACTTCCAGAAAAAGTAGATGTAATTATTTCCGAACCAATGGGTTACATGCTTTACAATGAGAGAATGTTGGAGACTTACTTACACGCGAAAAAATGGTTGTTACCAGGTGGAAAAATGTATCCGTCGAGGGGGGATCTCCACATAGCACCATTCACCGACGATTCTCTCTACATGGAACAGTATAGCAAAGCGAATTTTTGGTAATTATGCTTAATGTCACATGTATTTTAACTAGTGATTTCATTACAGGTTTCAAACGTGTTTCCATGGGGTGAATTTGTCCGCAATTCAAAATTGCGCCGTCAAGGAATATTTTAGACAACCAATTGTTGATACTTTCGATATTAGAATTTGCATGAGCAAATCGATTAGGCACGTTGTAGATTTTTCTGAAGCTCATGAAACTGATCTTCACACTATAGGTTTGTTAGTCGCTTGTTTCTCCCACTTGCTCATGAGAGATTTCTAGATATTCCTTTGGAGTTCCATATTTTAGAATCAGGAACTTGTCATGGTTTAGCATTTTGGTTTGATGTAGCTTTCGCCGGTTCACAACAAACAATATGGCTTAGTACTGGTCCAACTGAGCCTCTAACACACTGGTATCAAGTTAGGTGCTTATTAGAACAGCCGTTATTACTTAAACAAGGCCAGGTGTTAACCGGGCGAGTATTACTTGTGGCTAATAAAAGGTAAAAAAGGCGGGATTGTTTCAAATTGCTTTATTGAATTTTTCTAGACAAAGTTACGACGTTACTATAGACTTAGCAGTTGAAGGAACAAACCAAAGTTCGAAAAATACTCTAGATTTGAAAAATCCATACTTTAGATATACAGGAGCACCCGTACAGCCCCCTCCCGGTATTTCAAACGTGTCACCAAGTGAGAATTACTGGAGTCAATTGGATGCTCAAGGTGTTAGAAATGGTAGTTTTTTAAATTTGTAATAATGTTTTCTTTATTTTTTCTATTTGAAGCTGTCAATATGGTGAATGGGATGTCGGTTAATGGATTGGGCGAAGTGTCCATGGATACCACCCAAACTATCATTAATAGTAACATGATGGCCAATAATCTGATAGCTTTAGGTTTGTTTTTTTGAATGTATTTTCCTGATTCGTTGATTTTTGTGTATTTAGTGGATCCTTCTCATTTATCAGAACCGACTCAGCCGAATATCCATCCTGGTTGTATCTCGAGTACCGGTAGAGGACGCGTTGCTGCTAGTCCCACTTCAACTCACACAGCTCAGTTAATAGGTGGAGCGATCTCACCGTCGTTATTCACGTCACCCAATGCGCAACAGGTATTTTAATTCGTCATAATGTTTTTTTTTTTATTAACATTAGCTAGTAATTTGAGCAACAAAATTTTTAGGGAAAAATAAGGTGCAGAGTATTAAGGAGTTTACGTAATCAGCATCATGCTTGATATTGTTTTATGATTTCTTTATTCTTATTTGGTTATAATCTAGAAGTGATTTATTTTATCTTGATTGTGTAATGTAATTTTAGTTGTGAATAAAGCTGAGTGAATAAAGAGAAAAGGGGATGGTTTTAGTTAATGGTGTCGGGTGGGGTTTTGATGCATGTAGGTTTGCCTCGTCTTGCTTGTGTTTAATTAGCTGAAATGAATTGTTTTCAGCAACAACCTCTAGTGATGACAAATTACCCGGTTAGTGCTAATTTAATGATCGGAGACTATGTTACCCCCGGAAATGGAGTAGCTATGCCTGCATATCGCCAGTAGTGTGTAAAAACGGCACTGTCATGCTCAAAAACTGTTTAAAAAATTCGCTAAAGGTCGCAGACAACTAATTTTTATGTAAAATGTTTGATTTACTTATTTTATTGTTTCGTATCGTGTTTGATTTGGAGTGTATTTTAATTATCGCTTTATCATGTGATTTGTATAAAAAGTTCAAAAGATGTTTTTTCGGAAATACACATGTTTTGTATTCGTGTTTGGGAAAAACATCTTTTTTGGGATTTAGTCCCATGCCTTAGCTTATCATGAATGCGGCAGGGAGCAACTTTGTATTAAACAATCGCATTTTTTTAGTATTTATTACGTCATTTAGTTGAATATTGTGCATCACTTAAGCAATAAATTTTATGCCTTTTTAAAATGTTTTCTAATTAATTTACTTTTACAGCATCACTTTTGTTTTGTATTTCTTGTATTAAAATGTGACAATAGTAATTTAATTGTATACACTCGTCTCTATATAGCAACATTGCATATGTTTATTTTGATGTCCTCCGTCGTTCTATTAATTAAGTAACTTTATTTATATTTAGTAGTGTAGCTTGTTTCTGTATGATCTGTAAAAGTCTTTGAATTTTAGTTTCAAGAAACAGGTTATTCAAAAGTATTTTTGGATATATTTTAATGTCATATCAAAAAGGCATGATGTATGACATAATTGGCAACTGTTTTAAGAAGTGAAACTTATTTATTGTAAATGTTGCTATTTTGTCTGTGATATTTTGGTTACATTATTTAGTGAAACAAGTTTCCTGAATTAATTTTATTGTAGATGTAGGAAATACAGGATAGTTTGTTCGCCTACCGTGTTTGTATATTTATTCTTTAATGTAATCTCTTCATTTAAAAAAAAAGGATCCTTTGTTTTGAATTTATCAAGTGCATCTGATATTATATGCAATGAAGCAGTCATTGTTTACGTTAATAGGCAATGGAGCAATTCTGCCTTACAATACCACGTGCAATGGCAGTGTAATGAAAGCCTAGTTACATATAATATATGCTTCATGTATACCATAGGATAAATTAATCTGTACATTGGATTCATTAAGAACAATATATTGTATCACTTTTGAATTTTATCACTTTTTTCTATCCCCTATTACCTGTCAGGCTAAAAATAAAACAAAAGACAATTTTAATTAATTTATTTGTACAAAAACTACATCCTGGTGAAGCCACACCTGAAAATAAGAATAAAAAACTGAAACGTGTTTACCGCGCAGATTTGAATCTGCCGCCATGACAGTGCATCAACCAATGACATCTTCCAGCGCGTACTATGATTAGTATGATTGTTTCTCGCGGTAAAATTTCTGACTTATGTCACAGAGTGTGCAGAAGCCGTTTTGCAAATCAAAATAATAACAGAAAAACGAAAATATATTAGAAAATTATAACTGTTAATAATTTCCCGTACTGTCCCTGTTGGAACTTGCAAGTTTTCACAACCTGATTTCAGGTAATGTATTTTCCCTTGTGGTTGATGCAACAATGGGGCCAAAAACAACAACTGGGAAGAAACCAACATACCTGCTATACTCGCACTCGTAAATTGGCTCTGTATTCATAATTGGTGTTTTTTGGTTCATAATTGGTATAATAGTAAGCTCCCCCATAGGACCTGGCCGCAGCTCCTGTCAAGGCTCTAGAATTGATATTTAGAATTTTGACTATTTCAGTTATTTTGCTACGAACCCTGCTGCAAATCCGGCTTTAGCACCGAGTCCTGCACCTACAAGTCCTGCTCCTGCGAGTCCGACAACCCCTGCACCAACAAGTCCTGCTCCCACTAGTCCTGCTGCACCCAAGGCTGTGAGTATAAACGGTGATCTTCTTTGTCTTATTACAAGTCGCGTGTTTAACTCATCTTCACTGAGCGGTACGGTGGCTGCGTTGATAACAAACACCAAGTAACACAAAGCTACAAGTACAAGGAGTTTCATGTCGGCTGGCACTGAGCTTGCTGGGAACTGCTTGGGCTGTCTTAAGCAAGGTGCTTATATAACTTGTCCTGAAAATATAAAATTCAGTTATATCCACTGAATTCAAACTCTAATATGTTTACTTAAACATCAGCTCATTGAGAGGACACCAGTCGATGTATGTTAAGGGCAAGTCTTGTTGGTAAATTTAAAAAAAAGGGGAAAATTCCACTGTTTTTTATTTTTTTAAACTAATTTGTGGGAAATTTTGTTAAACTTTATTTATGAAACACGTTTTGGCTGTGGCATTGACCAGAAAGAGTTTCAATTTAAATAATCTAAGGTCACATAACTAATTGTGGTCTAGCTAATTTTCTTTGTCTTTTCTTTTTTATTTAAATCGGGCAAAAATCAACCGAATATATTAAGTGGTTTAATTATTTTTAACTGGCTTTTGTATTATAATGATTTTTTTTTACATTTTGATACAGGAGTAGGTAATAATAGAATTACGGAAATCTGTAAAGACGGAAGACCAAACGCAAGGTTACTGCCTGCGTATTTTTACACCAATTTATGTATTTATTATTTTTGTCATTAAACAAAGAAGGCGAGGAATACGGATTTAATTTGAAATATTAATACAGCTCGACTTGAATTTGTTGTTTTTATTTCCGGGAAATGCGAACTTTTTCAGTGTTTTTTACTCGTCTGAAAATTTAAATGTACTAATTGTCGCATGCGGACATAAAGAGTTTTCGTCCACCCCCGATTGTATCATCATCCAGACCGTGAAACACCCTTTGACAATAATGGCGTGGTCTGTAATTTATGACAAAGCACAAGGGCTCTCTACTTTGTGAGGGTATAATATATTAACACCAGAATAAAAGATTTATGTACTACGTAAGCAATGATTAAAATTAACAATTTTTATGATTTTATGTCTTGCTAAGAGTTTCAGTTGTTGTCAGACCGACATCATCCAATTATACTTCCAGTGTCTGAGATTATTGATCATCTGTTATAATTAATTTTCTCGACACGCATGTACCTACAACTTATACCAGATAGACAGGTACAAAATTTACAATCAACATCACTAACAAACATGTTTAGTAGTATATATTACATATTAGGAGTAATTGTTAAGTTGTTTGTATTTTTGAATGCAATGTACAGCGAGTTTCATTTGTTTTATTTTAACACCTATCCAATTATCCTATTTGCACAAATTTTGAGATAAGATTTTTATTATTCAAGAGGTATTAATAAGTTACGAACAAGAACATCTGCTACCATGTAGAATATTCAGCAAACTTTAATGAACATTGAAATATAGTTATGTAAATGGAGCATGTGCAATAAATGTGTACTTGTGGTTTCAACTGTTTGACTTGTTTCATAAATTAGTGTTTTTATTCCTCTGGCAACATAAATTTTAATTCAAAAAATGAATGTAACAAAGCTCACGAAATGTAATTAAATCTGTCTTCCAATTTACTTTGGGAAGCTATAAATTTCCAACTCCGTTATATATTTATCATAATTTGCAAGCATCCCTGTTTATTGCCAGAATCATTACCCTCCCTCACACACTCATTTCCTCATTAAATTCCAAGGGTAGAGGTACGCCACAATTAGCGCACTTGTATAATTGGTTGCATAACACATCTAGCCTCAAGTAACACATAATCACCAGTGGCGTGCCAACGTTAATGATAATGATTATAACTAGTAGTGACGCACAATTTGATGATATTTTTTGCTTCATTAATTACAATAAAACACATCCAAATTTTCCATAGTATATTTGCCAAGACACAATTTGCAAAAATAAAAAATTACGAATGCGATTTACCGTCGCTTTGAGCGGCTGCTTGAGCATTTGAGGCTGAGCCTCCCCCTAAATGGCTGTGTCCTAATCCTAAACCACCTGAGGAACTATGACTGGATGCACTGGCCGAAGAGGCCGAGCCTGAAAAGCCATTTCCTGTGAAAGTCTGGGATTGGGCATTGGCAATCGAGTCGGAATTTCCGGAAGCGAAACCTCCTGCTTTGGCTCCGGCGTTTGAATTCGAGTTGCCAAAAGTGCCGCCTCCAAAGCCTTTGCCGCCGAAAAAAGGTCCGAAAGGCCCGAAAGAGCCGGTTTGGGTCTGGCTGGTGGCTGAAGCGTCGGATTGGGCCCCGGATCCTCCAGGAGATCCGTAGCCACCGTAACGGCGCGGATCGGCCGAGCGGCCGCTTCGAGATTGGTGGGAAAGTGCGATGTAGACTTCCCCGTCGTGTTCAATGACTGGAATTACTGGAAACAAAGGATTAAATATTGATTTGGTAAATTAGTGATTTTTTAGTAGAATTCGTAATGATTTTTAATGGGTTCGGCCTTGGACGGTTTCAGTATGTTTGTTTTTTAAGAAGTCGAGGTCTTGTGAATCATTCTGTCTAAACTAAATAAAAGATTCGACGATTTTACGGAATTAACTTTAATAAATACATATTTTGAAATGAATTTCCAAGTTTTGTTTAATCAGAAATCGTGAGTCTTTTGTTTGGTTTCTTTTGATACGAATGTCGCTAGAAATGGGGCTTTTGGAAAAACTCGTCTGGTTTTATTTATAGTAATGTTGTATATTCAGAAGTACTTACACTGATAACTAGCAGCTTGAATAGCTACTATAATTGATAAAACAAATATTAAGCACTTCATCTTCGTAATGATGTATTTGTAATAACTTCACGTAATGGACATGAAGAGGATATTTATATATGAGTTAAGATAAATGACTTGTCCCCACCAAAAATTTTCTTTTTGTTGACTTTAGGCAAACTACGGGAACCACAATAAAATTTTTAAGAAAAACAAATTTCATACTTGTCAAACACGGGTATTTTTAAATATTGTTGCCTTATTTATTTAAATTTCACAGATAAAAAGTCATTTGTTTACCTACTTCGTTAAAAGCGACACTTACGTAATAAATTGAACGTAAAAACCAAATTTCATTCGGGATTTACAAATTTATTCAGTTAATTAAAACCGTCGTTAGAAGACATTCTCTAGGGTCTATAAACATGGAGAGTACAGTCATTAAATTAATCCAATGTGCAAAATTTAGAAAAAGGGTGCTCATTGTGGGTGTTTCAAAAATATTTCCGGAACTCGCTGTTAGCAAAGCCCATGAAATGCCGAGAAGACATAAAGGGTGCAAAATGTCAAATGAATGTTTAAGTGAAGACTATAGTTAAGAAATTTTGACTAAATTCGAGTGGTTGAATGTAATTTCCCGGTGCAGTGTTTTGAAACTAATGTAGGTAATCCATCAGCAGATTGACAGTAGTGAATCGTTAAAATAATTTGTTGTGAAATAAGTTTTATATCGTATCCGTGAACTTAGTTTAATATTCATTAAAGACAACTGATAAAAGTTAACAATGGCTGAAGGGGGAGTTTAGTCCTGTTTTTGGGCGGCTGTAATAAACTTTTAAGCCGCTTTCGCTTTAATACCAACTCATTTTCTCGAGCTTTTGCTTTGTACCAAAGATATTATGACGTATGGCAGGAAAATTTAAGAGCCACTTGCTGAAACACGTTGAATTAAATACAAAGAGTGATAAATATTTAAATATTGGGATTCCGGATTTACCCCTCGCATACATTTGTTATAGGTACTGTATTTTTATTCAGCGATTTTCATGCATAAGCGAACATGTTCAGGTAAATTGATAGATTGCCGTTGCAAGACTTGGAAGTGAACTTCAAAGTTATAGATTTGTCGCATGAAGCGAACAGACACAGAAAATAAGGGAAAGCTGAGTCAACAAAGGTTCTAATTAATTTTGACATAATCTTGACTTGTTATGGGCGATTTTAATCTTCTAGATTTCTTATTTAGATGATTTCATTAGAGCAACAGTGAGTCACTCCAGAGAATGCGTTTATTTTCAGGAAACCTATATAAATATGCAAATACTCTCCAAAATTTTTGAGTATTTCTAAAACTTGCATTTAATGTATTTTTTACTGGATTTACGACTGGGACTTTGTTAAAAGCACAGAGAGAAAATTTAAACGCAGATTAAAACTTTCATTGTATCATTTCGGATTAACCGCTCGTGTAGTTTCTTAATCAGTTTTCAGAAGCGTAAAGTTTATCACTCTAGATTTTTTTTTAAATAAATTGTCGGTTTCAATAACAAGCTGACTTTTCATTCCTCTCATAGTGGGCACGTATAATGACGTTTACAAAAAATAATTAAAATTATTAAACAAAGCTTTGACGCTGAAACACTCCTTTATTAAGTTATTTTATCAAAATTTCATTTCGTTAAAAACATGAAAAATTATAATGCGATTTATGACGTTCGGCTTTGTACAGAATAACGCACTAGAAGCAAAATATTTTATGTGGATCGATACCACGAAGCATATTGTTTTTTCGTAGGCTTGTGTGTACGTATTTAGAAAATATGTTCCGAAAATATGAAGTATTAAGAATAAATCAAAAATGACACAAGTTTTGTATTTAGGAGACTAAAGCGATGATATTGTGTTCGCCCACGGCAAACAGTTCAATGAAGAATTAAAACTGTGGACACAGAGAGGGTGTGGCGGAAGTGGTTTTACTCCCTCAAATAAATATTTTTGCTCCCCTGAATGTTCACAAAGGAGTGAAAAGTTTCGTTCTGTGATCACATGTTCGTCAGTGTTTAGATTAAACTTCGAACAGTTGTCGAAACGTGTGAAAACAATGTTATGATTTTCGATGAAGAAAAGCTGCTTTTCCAGCTGTTACTCTTGTGTATTTATAAAGTTACCTATTCGAGTGTTTTACAAGACATGACGTGATCGAATAATCAAGTAAGAACACCCTGAGTGTCGCGCATAATTAGATTGGCGTACAACCTGGATCGCAACTTAAAATCTGACAAAGAACCGAGAGAAGATGCAATTGTGCAAATATTATTTACGTTCAAGTTATTGTATTGTCAAACTTGATGCAAAATCAGTAAGAGGAAATGATGGTATATTTGAAGAATCGTCAATTTTTTTAACATTGGGCAAACATAGTTAGAGATAATAGAGGATTTGCATATATTCCACTCATCTGACACTTGATACATTATTGCATTTTGTTCTAATTTTACATCGAAAGCCCTTAAAACGATATAATGATAAATTATTCGGAGATAATTACATCAAGTGAATTCCATCAAAGGGTCGACCATAAATAGAAACACTTCATTAACTAACGCCACAACCTCAAAGAATAGTTTTTTAATTTAATTTTAACAAACCCAAAGTAAATGAGTTTATTACTGTTACTATTATAAATGCCTGTTTAGCACAAAATGATTTTTAGGTGTAAAATTTATAGACTATATTTATTAAATGGGTAGTATATTAAAAAACAAGTTTCATAAGACCAATCCTAAAGCACGAATTCAAGTTTAAATAACGAGTGGCGCACGAGTTATTTTAAAGAATGTGTTCTTCAAGGTCTTTTCTTCAAGTTTTTTTTAAAGTATTTTTTGTAAATTTTCGTAAAATGTTCCGTTAATTATTATTAAGAGATCGCACATAATGACGTCCCGTTGGTTAATATGTCTATTAAACAATCAAAATGGAGGCAAATTACAAAAATATATTTTATTTTAAATTTTAAATTCATTTATTTCTCACGTACAGTTAGTTAATGTGTTTATCTCACTCTAATAATTCACTCAATGGAAGTTTGTACCTACTGAAATTTTGCCAAGCACGTGCGCGTATGAAAATTTATTCGATTAAAATCATTTATTTATTATTAAAAACAATACAGTCTAAATTTTTCGCCTTTCAGTCATTAACTGTCCTGTTTTAAAAAAAAAATCTTTCTCAGGCGCTGATGTTGCAGGTGTAGATAAATGATTTTGATTATTATCGAATGATTTGAACTATCGAATGAATTATTCCATCACCACCATTTATTCGCTCAAACGATTGAATAAAATAAATGAATGAATTTTAATGAATGATTCATTTGATAGTTCAAATAATTCGATGACAGATTATTTGATAGTCAAAATCAGTCGATTGTGCCTAACACTATTCTAAACGATTAAGAATTTTGCACTTTTCTCGACGCCAATTTCTCGGAACATTTTACATATGTATATGTGCATAAAAATATTATAACGTTTGAGATACATTTTTGCTGCAATTTACAAAATAAAAAAGGAAACATTTGTGAATCTTTTGAAGTTATGACAACATCAAAAATAATTATATACAAAATTCGAATGTTTAATTTGGTTGTTTCATCTAAAATATTAATTTTAGTTTCATTACCATTTCAAAATAATTATGCCTGATTTTGTTCTGGGAGGGGTTTTAACCCCCAAAACCTCCCCTCGCTGCGCCACTGCGGCTGTTCTCCAGTTAGTTAGTTAATATTTGAACACAAACAGATCGCAATGCCTTCAAATTTTTACTTGTGCTAAACAAGTGCACATACATAATACAAACTTAAAAAAATTGGTCGAAATGTCTTGAAAATTTATCTTATTTAAAGTACTTTAAAAATAGATCAAAATCCTTAAAACTTGTACCTTTAGGTATGCATTAAGTAAGCAGGACAAAATCCTTGAAATTTTATTTTTAAAATATATTTTAATAATTATAGAATCCATAGATTTTACACCTTAAAATCATTTTGTGCTGACCAGACGTGTTTGTATGTAATTAATTGACACAAAAGGTTTGGATTTATTTCGAACAAAACTCGTTGCAATTAGGCCCGACTTGCTCATTTACGTTTATTTTACCAGTTGTTAACTTTAAATCTCTGACAGGATAATAATAATAACGTTATTAACACTTTCCCTCTTTGTATCCTGTAGCCATTAATTTAAATGATATAAAAATAGAACTTGTGGCCTTATTAATAAATCATTTTAAAATAGAAATTCTTTGGATGAAATTGTTATATGTATTATAAAGAAAAACTCGAAGTTGACAATAAAGAATTCTCTTGGATCGTATATTGTATTATCACCTTTTTTCATTCGACTATTTGAATCATCTCAACTTTTCGAGTTTATTGCTCGCAGCAGTTTCCTCACTTTCCTCTCTGTTTGGGTTACAGTTTTCATTAACATCAGCAGAAATTGATGGCAAACCAGATCGCTATTATTTTGATTAGTAATTCACTTCTATGTGTGCGAAAAGCATTATTGATCGCCTTTTAACCGCTTATTATCATCATTCTAATTACATTTTCTCCGAATCTGATTATTCCTAACATCATTATGCCACATACAAGCTGTTTAGAAATGCTCCATATCACATCCCTAATATTGTGGAAATCGATTTTATTATTCTCCTATATTTCAAGTAATAAAATTCGAATATTTCAGATCAAAGATAAAACACTGGAATCATATACTTTATTTAAAATTTATGACGGGGAAAAAACTTATCGACATTTCGCTTTGTTAATATTTCATAGACTGTCTTATTATGTACTTATAGCACAAAAGGAATTACTAGTTTGACATCTCACTTTTAAGTAACCATTTTTTATACAATCTCCATTTTTAAATCTTTTTTATTTTAATTTGAAATGAATATTGATTGGTTTTGATACCGTCGAAGTTCTCTCAAATAATTAATAAAATCCGGAACAGAGAAAACCCATCAACAAAATACGATAATATTATTGAGATTGAGTTTTTCCCATTTAAATTTGAAACGAAGTAAAAAATTTGTTCAGGTATTTGCTTGATACCAACGGAGATCAAATAATTAAAAGCAAATTATTTTATCAAATTACTCAAAGAAGTACCTGTTGCTTTTGGTATCGTGTTTCCCGTTCGACTAATTCACATTCTTTTGTTGATCGATTTTAAGACATCCATTAGGCTTTAACCCAGCAAAAAGAGACAGTTTAAGGAACTAAATAGATAGATTAGCTCGAAAATGATCACATTTGGATACTTACCTCGTCTCTTAACTTTTGCGAGTCTGAGAATTTTCGAGGTAACGCTTGCAATAATCTAATTTTATTCAGAGGACGCATTTGTTTGTAATGCGATATAAAATAAGTGGCAATCGCCTTGAAACGTATGAACATCTAGGAATGGTGCATGTGCTCGTAACAGGTGACTGAAGAAAATTGTTTTGACTTACCATCAAGTCTTCGTGATGTGGAAAGTTTGGAGTTTCCAAGCGATTCGTATTATATTTGATGGATTAGGGTTTCGGGGTAAATTTACGCACTAATAACGTTTCTCAAAGTTTTATTTTCGACTCATTTTTCTAATTCATTACACATATTAACATAGCATTTTATATATTTGTGATTTGTATTTTTCTAAACGGTGGTTTTTTTAATAAGTTACATTATTGCTTAGGTAGCGAGATTTAGAATTGCTTTAGGTAACAATGACTAACATTGAAATAAGTACAACAAACAAACGTAACAATTTATCGTTTATACGTAAGATCACATAATTCAGTAAACAGCAATAGAGAGTAATCTGAATAGAGACGAATACATTTAAAATATGAACACTGAAGAGTAAGCGTGTCGGAAGAAACATCAAATCAAGCGCAATAAAAATGACACTTTTGACATTTTTATTACGTTTGACTTTTCAAATTATACATAGGTACACCTGTACGCTAAAATGTGAACTATTTTATTTATTGAGCGTCGTTACTTGTTTGTTATGCCAGAGTTTTTATTTTAATCGGGTTATAATAACTGAGTTATTTTATAAAAATACAAATTTATAATAAAAAATCTATATTATTTAAATAAAATTTTTGGTCCTGAGAATTCTTTTCAGCTATATAACAGATGGACTAAAATAAATCACGCAAAAAGAGAATTGGCATTTCCACTGTAGAAATAGAGTATTTGTCTAATTCGAGAACTTTTTGTTAAGTAAAATAACTGCACATCATTTTCGAATACGGAATAATTTCGTATACCGACCAATTGTATTAAAATTTTCGTTGTTTTTTTCTGGTAAAGTTAGTTCTCAAATTTAAAATAACAAACATTAATATGTCAACAAACGTTTTTGCAATGTGCGGAATGATTGCTTTCAATAGTCAGTAACAAGAAACAATAAGGTACAATTGATAATATGATTTTTTTTTCTTATTACTAGAGTAAATAGCAATTATATAAAATAATATTTTAGAAAGTCTAAAAATTTGAAACAGTCATAAGGAAAGCACTTATGTCAAATAGATTATCATTTGCATTTTACTTTTATTCTATATAGTATATAGGTTTAACATTTCGTGGAAGTACTACATATTACAACATCCATTTGCGGGAAGGTTTGACCTAATACGACATATATTTTTTTGACTTTTTTAAATGATTTTTGCTAAAAACAAATTACGTGACATATTTACCGTCTTCGAGATGTCCATCTTCATCCGACGAATCGAGATGTGATTCCGCCAAAGATGATTGTTTGGATAAGGACTAGAAAAAGAGAATTATACCGAGCGTTATCTAAATCCAAGTAGTAATCACCTGATGAAGTCTACGTCGCGGTGGCGAACGTTTATTCCACAAAGCTTCCAATTGATCAAAATGCTGAGATTGCGCTAGAGAAGCTTGTTTCGCTCCCAAGCCACCCTTCAACACAATTTCAATCAGATTTGAACCGAAACTAAGAAGAAATTTCGAACCTGAGAGTCTTTAATTTGTGGGATTTTCGAGATTTCTTCCATACTCGCGGATACCGAAAATCGGCGTTTGAATCGCTCATCGACAGCTGGTATTACTAAATTCGAGGTGAGATGAGCATATTTCTTTTGCCAAGTGTACGTATCTAAAGAAACTTCCTTCTTTAATAATCTCTTCATTTGTCGTTTCGGAGCCGGTTTGGGATCTAAGCAAGTCGATTTTTGTTATTTTGTATAAATCCTTATAATAAGAAGCTTACTTTCTATTATATCCTTGTCGGGTGCGCAATAAGTTGGGAGTTTGACGTACTTTGCCGGTGTGTTGTGTAAGCAAATAATTGGCATGAAGTTAGTATCTTTCAATAGGACTGATATTCGGGAAAAGTCTGATGTGGGTTCGATGCTTATGATCGGGTAATGCAATTGGAGCGACGTTAGTTGTAAGCCTCTTTTTGTGTCCCAAATGATTATACTTTTGTCGTCGGATCCTAAAATTGACAGTTCGGGGAAAAATCGAACAGTGAGTTAGGTTTGACCTGAGATCGCTATTGTTCCATCCCCGGATAATTTAACGCAAGTAACGTAACTTAAGTGTGCGGAAAGTGTGTATAAATCAGCTCCGGTGTTTATATCCCATACTATAAGGTTATTATCGCACGATCCCGAAATCACTTGACTTTTATCCGAAACTGAAACTGCCACGCAAGTTACAGAGTCGGTGTGGCCGATTAATACCTAGAAATGTGTGAAATAATGGGAACGATATGAAATTTCGGGTCTTACTTGAGAGAGTTTCCCTCCAACGACTTGCCAAACTTTCAATGACATATCCCTAGACCCTGTGATAATGTGTTGAGAGTCTATTGTTAGAACAAAGCATGTTATTTCTTCGGAATGGTTGACGTTATATTTTTCGTCGTCTTTAACTAAAGACCAAATTTTCAGCGAGATGTCTCCATTTGTTGCTATCTGTGAAACGTTAAGTGACACTTTTCACGTTTGAATACCGTAATCGACGTCACTTACTGAGTACTTCATGTTATTTGTAACTCTAACACATTTACTAGGACCAGGATATGTTTGTAAAAGATTTCCGTTATCTGCTAGCCAAATGCATAAAGTGTCGTTTCTGTCACTCGAGATTATCCGAGTCGAATCCATCATAACAAATACTGTCGAAACGGCAGCTTGGTGACCCTTTATGAAAAATGATTCGGGTTTCCTTCTTTGAATGACAACTAACTTACCGTAAACGTTGAGACTAATGTACCGAGAGTTAGACCCCAAACTTTGACTGTTTTATCTTCAGAACCAGACGCTACAAATAATCCATTTGCAGCAAAACTAACCGCCGTGATGGGACCTAAATGTCCCTTCAGAGTCAATACTAACTCTTGACTATTAAGCTGCCAGACATTTACAATATGGTCCAATGCACCAGTCACAGATAATTGGCCGTCTCGTGAAATATCCAAACAAGTTAAAAAGCCACCATGGGCTTGTAGATGATGTTGCGACTTCTTTTTCATCTTTGAAAAACTTTTAATGTGATCGTCGCTTCGAAACGGATAAAATATAACACGATTTCCACCGGCAGTTAAAAGAAAATCATCTTTATCAGTAACCCGAACGGCGCTAATTTCACCGTTCTGTCCCGTAAAACATTTAATTAATTTGGCACTATGAATATCGTAAATGTAAACTTTTCCGTCTGCACCACCAATGACAGCTCTACAGCTGTCTTGAGTAAGACAAATTGATCTGACCTAAAAAGGAGTAGTGACTTTGTCTGGATTTAAACTTACGAAATGTAACCTTTGTTTTATGCTCAACTAAACTATGGAGTTCGGTTCCCGTCGCCAATGTGCGTAAATACAGATTGTTGTCCCTACAACAAGCTAATAGAAAGACCGAATCGGCCGAAACTTCGATCATTTGTATCGGAGATTGTAACGTAATCGTATTAAGCAAAGTGTAAGTTTCCAAAGACCACAAACAGACTCTTCCATCATGACTTCCAGAAACTAAAATGTCACCCGTTGAAGTGACTTTGACGGAAGTTACGGGGCCTCGATGGTGGTCTATTTTCATGACGACGTGTCCATCTGTTAGAGAAGTTATAATGATACTACTGTCCTCTCCCCCGCTGATAATGACCGAATTATTTAGAGCACCGGTTATGCACAAAACCGGTGCGATGTGCTCATGAATTCGTAATTTAATACTGAATGATTTCAAATCCCAAACGATTATACTTAAATCATCCGAACCGGTAAACAAGAACTGGGAATGTTTGGTCACAGCCATACAAATTATTTTCCCCGTATGACCTATAATCACAAATGAAAAATGGATTGATGATTGATAAAGATTATTGTACCTTTAAAGGTGTGCACTAATTGGTTGCTCATTATGTGCCAAAGCTGAGGCTCGGAATCGACTACACAAACAACATGTTGTCCGGAAGGAGTAGGCTCGATAAGTCGCACACTCGGAGTGTTAATTACGCGGGATTGTTGTGGAAGAGGTGGTTGCAGCCAGTCTGTTAATGGAACGACGAGAGGTAAAGTGAAACCATCGCACCAAGCCATGGCAGAAGTAACCAGAGAACTCATCAAACCACCACCGCGTTCTATGACTGGCCTTAACCAAGAGATAAGCTGAGTGCCTAATTGATAAGTATCCCGAGTTAACACATCCGTGGACTTTCTAATTGAATAGTAAACCAATTCGATCTCTCTATCAAGAAGATAACATCGGACATGCTCCAGCAAGCATCGCAAGTAGCTAACCGAAAATGTTTGCAACTGAAACGAAAGCAAGCAATTGGGTCGGTGCTCAACTTTCTCTGAGTTGCACTTACAGCGGCAAGAAGGAAGTCGTAATTGCACATACACAAAGTTTTTAGTTTAATTGTGTCACCAGCGAGCAAAAGATGGATCCAAGCTTCCTCGATATGTCTTTGACTATATGTAACGTCTTTATAAACCGTCGATTGAAATGGAGTTTCCCTAATTTCGGATAAAAGCGGTGCTAAAACTCCCGTATTTCTCAATCTTTCACAAAACGAACCTGATCCTCACCTGGCTCCCCTTCTTCGTCCTCTTCGTCGCAGCTTTCATCGCTGCAAAACTCGTAGAAAAATAAGTTAGCTAATTCCGAATGTGTGCTTCTTAAAGTTTCCTGATTGTGGAGATAACGTTTCCGCACAATCTCTTTAATCGTCACGTGACTCCATTCGATCAGTAATTTTCCACTCATTATTTTCTCCCTAAGGAGAGGTTCTGGAATTGTTTTGTTAATCGACAATGTTTTCCGAATGGGGATTTAATTACCGAACTTTCGCCGGATCGAGCACAGGGAAGAAAAATTAAAATTACCGTCTTCGACATGAATTACAGCCTCGCTATTACTCGTCGGCATTAAAATTTCCAAAAGTTCAGTCTCTGTTAGACCGTACTCCGAACAAGTTATCAACGAGGATATCTTCGCAACGGCGTTTTTCGTAAAAGATTCCTCCAAACTGTCAAATATCGTATTCACGTAATCTGGAGAGAAGCTAGTTAGTTTCCACGAAATATGCACTTAACGACATTAAAATTGCAATTTTTTCTTTTGTTTATTTCGAAGCTCATTTCTACTCATTTCGTTTTAATTCAACAGAAACATATATTTATGGCGTATAATTAGTATCAATTAAATATTTATGAAATCAAAGCGTTTTTGACTGTTTTTTAATTAATTTTTTTTTAAACTGACTATGACAAGCATTTCTCTCATTTTCATCAAATAATCAACGTACTTGTTAATTAACGCTGAACATTTTTTGTGAAAGAACTTTACAAAAGTTGTAAAAATTTAATTGCAAAGTTACTGTCATTTTTGTTTTACTGCTTTGTATTTTTTCAAACAATGTGAAAAAACAAGTTTATTTAAGAGCAAAACCACAAAATATTTTTGATAAAGCACATATAAACAAAAGAACTCGTGCATAACGTGGATGGAAACACTTGAGTTTCCTAATTTTTGCAATTTTAATGAGACTAGATATATTTTTTGCGAGTTCCGTGAAAGGTGAACATTTGTAAAAGCTGAATGTTTGCCTTTTTTGGAACTCGTGGTAAATTCTTTCGTAAACTCCAACCTACCGTCGAATGCGTCAACTGCGGGTATTTCGAGGTATGAGTCTGAATTTTTAAATTTTTCTTTTTGTACCGGTGTCATTCTGAGTTTGTCCAGTTCTGTGGAAGTTGTGCATATCATGTGGACTCTTTTGGGTAGAGTTATTGGTATCCAGCTGAGGGCATTAACAGCGTCGGCGTCTAACGGATTGAGTAAATGTAAATCGTCGATAAATATAACAAGGATTTGATTCATATCCTCGAAATTTCTGAGTAAACTTTGAAACCAGTTGTTAATATACAAAGGGTCGAAGGAAGCGTCTTTTGGTAAGAAACCTTCTGGAAGCTTTAATGCTATGCAAATTTGTTGGCATATGACTCTTAACAGCTCTAAAATATATGAAGATCGAGGGGTCGTTGAAGTAAACCTTATTATTCTAAGAGTTCTGCATGTAAACCACTTTTCGAAGTTTCTGTATATTGTTTGTATAAGCGAGGTTTTTCCCGAACCAGGGTTGCCGTATATCAAAATTGGATTATGTCTAACATTTGTAGTGTTTTGTACTATCTGTTTAACTCGTTCCAAGATTTCCGAATTGGAAAAATCTATTTTGATATCGTCATAACAAAGAGTTAAGTGAGTTATATTTTCTTGAAAGTTCTCCTAAAAGAGACAACTCAATTCAGAAAATGTGTTTATTCAGTTCAATTAAAATGAAGATGGAACGAGAGGACGCAGAATGTTTAAATTCGATATTGAATCGAATCAAATTCCGTCAAACTAAATGGATTGATCATTCCATTAAAAGGATAATGAGGTGCTAGTTGGCGACTATATCGATTGGCCCGAATAACTGCAGTAAAATTCGACTAATGCACTGTCCTTCGGGGAAATAAACAAATTTTCTTTTGGGAAAATTGCCGACGAGAAAATCCCGATGATTGATGAGACTTTTCATTCACTATGAAATGGTCTCTTGACCGGTGACAAATTACCTACCTCGACGATCTTCTTTTTAGATTTCAATTCCGGTTCATCGTCCAAACTTTTTCTAATTAATTCTTTTAATTTATTTAAAACACGACTTTTAAATTCGTTTAGATATGCTTCGTGTTCTGCATGTATCGTATTTATTCCCCCAGGTTTCCAAGGCACTCTAAAATGTATTCGTTTTTTCTTATCTCAAAACAACATGATGTCTTACTTGAAATTAAGATTATTTTCTTCTGGAATAAGTAACCTTATATTTGAATGAAACAACTTTATTTGTTCGCGACAATAATTTTCTATAGTTTTATTAACATGGCTAGAATTTTCCTACAAATTCAAAAATAATAAAAAAAATTTATTTTTGACAATGAATCACCTGATGAAATTGTTCAGTCTCTTCAGGTACGTCCCATTCTCTAAAAACGTTTAATACGTGATGAGCAGTGCCGGGTGCCAAGCCTACAAGTTTTCATTTGCTTAAAAGTTGCTATTTTTTTTGTGTGTGTTTACCTAAAGCAAAATTAAATTGTTGTTCGACAACTGATTTTAAATACGAGCTAAATTTTTTCTTTGTTGTTGCAGGCATACTTTGCATACATTCATGAATTATAGTGATTATTTCTTCTGATATAGCTCTCCATTCTTCTAAAGTTGAGAATCTGAATGAAAGTTTGATTTGGGTTAACCGAGTTAGAAATATTCAACAGTCATCGAAATAATGAACTAGAGTCGAGTATCTATTATTTGGTTAAGTTATCAAAAAAGAACCATGCAATATACAATTGCAGTTCAGACAATAATTCGTTAAAGTAGTCGCGAATAGAGCTTAATTTTGAACTGTAGAAGTGTTCCAACTTTCTACTAGTTTCCTGAAGCTTTTTCTACATAAATGAGATTTTGTAAATTTTATTAATTCGAGCAAAGGTATTAAGGCTTTATTCGTGATTTAGGCGAATAAATAAAGAGAGATCGTTGTTTGGGATGAGAGACAAGGGAGAAAAGTAGGCCGATATACGATATTAAAGTTGAAATAGGGTAAACCATTAAACCTAACCTTTGAACTCTTATTGGATTGTAAAACGATTTAATAATTGTCTCGGTGATAACCGTCGTGAAAGATTAAAAAGAATCGAACCGATATTAACCTGCAGTCTTTTAATATATATTCGTTTCCTTCCTTGAAGTACCAGTTTTCTAATATATCACAATTGAGCCCCAATTCTCCTACTTTATCGAGTAAGGCTTCAAAATTTTCCGATTTCAAACGAGGAGGAACTATAAAAGGTTCGTATTTATTTCCAACCAAACTCTGAAAATACCAATGAAATTATCATAATCGTTCCTCACATTAGAGACAATAACCAAAAAGAAACATCCCCGTGATAATTTATGGCACATTCTTATTTCGTTTAAATGATCCTCGAATAATTTAGCGTCGAAGGTATCCTTTTCCGACGCTCCGAAAAACATGTCAACTAGTTCGACCTTTAAGATAAATTTAGTGCAATTTATCAATTTGATTTTTGAAACGGTTTTACCTCAATCTTTTGTTCATCGAATACCGTTTGAAGTTCTGGACCAACATATTCAAGTAAAAGACGTCGCTCTTCAACAAAATCTGCAAATAATTTATCTAATTACAAAAAGGGCCGTTTGAACTAAAGGGCTAACAAAGGCGAGCTTTATTATATATCAATTTTAGTTTCCAGGGGTGACATCACCGACATCTTTAGACAACAGAACTATAGGACAAAGGAGCGATTATGTGGCTTTTATTAGCGGGTCGCTAGTTGGTTTGATAATTTGCAAAACTGTAATGTGTATAAAGGTGTGTGTTTGTTAAACATCACGAATTAATTTCGAACGTCGCTCCTGAAAACTCACTCTGACCGATTGATTTTTATTCTAATCGACTCACCTGCTTTAGTGCTGGCAATGAAAATTTTAACGAGTTTTGCAGCCGGCCATTTAGAAGTTTTGTGTCCTTGAAGAATTTCGAGAATTGTCTCATCGTTATTCTTCATGATTTTAACGACTAAGCACACTTATTATTTCAACAATAAACTATTAGATACATTAAATCGATTGTCAGTGGTAAAATTTCTATTATCTAAATCATATCATTTTTTTATGGAGCTCATTTCGACGCCATCGCAATCTGCAACAAACCAAATTCTTCGGGTTTTAACCGGTAGACTAAAAGTTTTCCACCTCTCAAAGTAAACAATCAAATTTGTAATTAGCTGGTCTGGTTGCATCAGTAAATAAGAGAATCTTCATTTAAAATCTTACACAACCAAAGTCCTTACAATAAATGAAGTTGGGAAAAGTCTCTGATTTAAATGCTTAATTAAAAGAAGAGAAAAAGCGCATTTTGAAATACCAATCGATAAGTTTCTTTTATGGTGTGAAGTGACACACAGGTTAACAGGTTAAAGCCGAGCTTTATTAAAATGCAGGGTTTGGTTTTGCAATTAAATTTAGCTTCCCCCATTTAAAAAAAATTGGAAAGCGTGTCGCATATCCAAGCCAAGTTTAAATTAATGCGGTTACTGCATTCGTCTTTATTGAAATTGGATTCGACGAAGATCTTGTTGCTTTATTTGCTAATATTGTTTGCTCTATTTGAGTGCATGCTTTTACCATCGTGTTATAATATTTATTTAAGTCTTCTTTTGACAAATAGCGCGGTTAAAAGATATGAATTGTATTGTTTGAGCGTTTCGGATGCCACACATTTTTGCGTTGATATTAAAGTAATATATTTTTATTGCTTCACCATTTAGCTCTTTAAGTTTTATCGACTATTTTGTTTAATTGGGAAGCTCCTGTGTAATAGCACTCACGTTATTTTTTGTTCGTAACTTCTCTTGATTAAATTTCTGTAACAGAATGGAGCTGTTTGTGCTATAATTTAATTTTTAAACTACGTTTTACGTGTGATTCGCTACATGTTGTTGATTTGATATTGAAAAATATGAAAAATGGAATTGAACATTGTGACATTTCATTTGATTGTGAAGCGTCTCTCCAATCAGTCGTAAAACAAAAACTGTCCGAAGTATTGATGGGTAAACGTTTAAATTGGATTTATGTTCATCAAAACTGAGCGACAATAATGAAATAAAATTGACTCTTTTACTATTTGAAGACTGAATTTGTCAAGCCTCTTATTAGTCGATAAAAGTTGTTTCTGATAAAAAAAAGTTCAAAATCAATAGTGGTGTGGCTTGTAATTAGTGGCGGAGAATTATAGCTCGGTTTACACGATATATTTCAGCTGAAAGTAGGTGGACAAGTGAGGCTGGTTCTAGTGGGCGAAACTTTAGCAGTCCATCACGACGATGGTTAAGGGACACGGTGATAATGTGGCGAACTTTTAGGGCGTTTATCATAAAATCTGCAAACAAACTGCATAAAAAATGACTCGCGCGAACTTTACTTTGTTGTAATTGAAATATGGAAGAAACCGTCCGACCTTTAGTGTCATTTTTGCTTGTGTGGACGTTTTCAAAGAAAATTTACATATATTTGCGAGCGGTTTAGGGACTTGCATACTGGAAATATCCATATGGTAATCTCAACACTGTTAAAATAGCTCTCGGATCTCCAAATAAAATTTCCCAACGAATCTCATTATATTTTTAAATTCATATGTGCCAAATAATCCTAAATATTTTTTTTACAATCTTCCTCAGTCCAAACAAATCCATCATCCGGTTGCTTGTTCGTCTTGCTTTAAAATCAATAGAAGTATAAGAGCAATGTCGTATTTTGTTTCATTTGTACTTCTGCTTACTTCTATTTTTCCTGCCACAACCAATTTAACACGATGAAATTATTTACAACCCTGGAGAGCAACTGACACCAAAATGCACTTTCCACTTTCTACAATTACAGGAACATGCAAGCGCAACCCCCAGGAAATTAAACTCTCTTTGTGTCAAGCATAAAAAAATACGTTTAGGGATTGGAACGATCATACTGAATTCCCTCCAAATCTAATGGAAAATTCATACAATTTCTAGTTGCGTGTCAATAATTGATTGAGGTCTCGGCAATGCTTTTAACGACAGAAAACAAATAATGCTACCCGCTGTGTACAATTACGACATTCTGATTGGAAGGTTTGCAAATAAAACTAGGACTCAGAATAAGTTTGCTTTTGTATCACACCAAAGATAATTACTCTTGGCAGATAGTGGTTCACAGTTTCAAATTTTCGAATGAGAATCTTAATTTTTGCAATTTGAAACCGAAGATTTTAACTTGCGAATTGGGGATTAGAATAGCAAATTGTTTTCGGTAATAATTTTTGTGTTGCGTGAAAAATTAAGGGTAATGCTAAGACGCGATTTAAATATTTAGATCGCCTTTCGAAATTTGCATGAAATTTGAAATATTTTCTCGAGCAATTAATTTTCGGAATTGATTAAATTACTTTCATTATCCACCTTTACGTGTAAATTGGTGTAAAATGATAATAATTTTCATGAAAGAAAAATCACATACATATTTATTACGCCGGTAGTCGGTTCCCTTCTGTTCATTATTATTCATTGAAGTATCGGTAGAAAAAAAACTGTTGAAAAATAATTTCTCTTCTCGGGAGATAATACTCGAATTGTCGTTAGGGTCAAGAACGTCGCAAAGTGAGTTTTGTGAACTTTGCCTTGGTTAGAACGGATGCTTGAATCTACCCGTATCGAGAGAGTGATAAGAAGGGTCAGAAAAAATTGCAAAGGCACAATCTGTAATGGAAGACGGCCATGTTGATCGAAAGTCTCACGTTTCGTGAATTTTAACCAATCAAAGCGAGGACAATACCAACTTGTGAAACAAACGATAGACTCAACCTGGGCCATAACGCGAACCGAACTCAAGGAAATCCTGCCGGAGGTGAGAGAACGTGCCTCAGGAACACATTGATAACGTAATAAACTGTATTCCGGAGAGATGTAAGGCTATACTGGAAAACGGGATAATTTACCCAACTGTGCCACTAGAAATGAACGCTTTCCATTAATTTACTTTACTGTAATAAATCCTATTATTTACGTACAATTAAATCGAATTTTTCAAAAAAAAAACTAGCAGGAGAAAAGTTTGAATTACCAATAATTCTAAGGTTTCTAATTCAATCAAATGGAAAATCCAGAGACTTATTAAGAAAGTTCGTTATTACTTTGGCAAGTTACATTTCTGAATTCTTAATTTCCCTCAGAGGTTGCTATGAATACAAATATAACGCTGTGTAGTCACAGTCAAATCCGAATTTAACTTTCATTTTAGATTTTCGGCTTCAACCCCTATATTTTTATTATGATTATTTTCCTTTCTAAATCCCTTACAGACTCTGATTCACTTTGAGTTACAAAAAACCGGTTTTGAGTGAATCAACCGGTTCCAAAAAAAAGCGTTAATTAGTTGTCAATTTGAATCATGTTGGCACTTTCCAGATTAAAATCAAAACAAAACGTTTTAGTTTGTGGCAAGTTCGTATCAGATAAGTCCGAGATTAGGCTAAAAGCGTGAAGTGGAGAGTGAAGTAGAGCAGCTTATGTCACGTAATCGGTTTTCTTGTTATAGGTAGTAAAGCGTTAGTTGTCGCTTGAAATTGGAGATATCAAAAATGTCGATAAGATATAGCATGACGCGATCTACTGTAAAAATTTACCGTAATTCAGTGACGTGCCGATACGTGTTAGGATATCGAGAACCACCTTATTCAATGCTTGTCAGCAGTCGTGCATAGCAGTTCCGATAATGATCCTATATTTCTGTCGAATGTTATCACAGGTGGTGAGCGGTCCTTTCTCCCTAAACGAACCGAAAATCGGGCACAAATCACCGCATCCAACCTAAAAACGACGCGAAAAAGTCATATTTTTCACAGCTCGTTACGAGCAATTTAATGAAACTTTTGGTGGATGCGCTGGGATAGTTAATTTAATCTCCAGCTTTAATGCTGTTTGAGGGGAGTGAAATATTTTGGTGGAGATAAGTGTACGTGAAGTGCATTCCGGAGAAATAATCTAAATATATTGGAGCTGACTTGTCGCGTATAAAAATAAAATTTTCGGTTAGGAGTCAAAGAAAATATTTACTTGAGAATGTGGTTGATGCGAAATTTAATCAAGAGCGGTGAGGGTTGAAGAAATAAAATTTTCTGGCAAATTCAGATTATTTGTTGAGGACAATACCGACATATCTCATTTCTGTCGTTTTGTAAATTACGGTTTTGCCATCATAATGTGTGGTTAATTTTGAAATTGTTTAAAGTCTTTTCTCAGGTGTGTAGCGCGTTTTTCCTTAAAAACTTTCGTAATTTAGAGAGAATTGGAATTTATCGGTGTGTTGCCGAACTTTGCAAAAATAATGCATTTGGAATCTTATAAATAAGGGAAGCTTTGTTTTTGCTGTCATATTATGACTGCCAATAAATCTAATTTAATTGATATTTTTGGACGAGATAGGGAGGTCGGTGTAATAGCGAGTTTTTGGATCGATGATGTGCTATTTGGGTTATCAGGAGGGAAAATAAAAAGCGTTTTGTGATGCCGAGACAAGTTTTCAGGTTCAACGTTAAAACAATACGAATGTTATCGTAATGCTGAAATATGAAACAGACAGGCGTATTTTTGAGTGGGAGCTTTTAAAACCGTGTCAGATTTTGAAATGCTTAAGTTCACTCAACCAGTCAAAGGGGTTGATATTGTCTCTACAACTTCAGTTGTAATTAGCAAATAAGAGACTATTCAAACTTATGCCAATATGAGACCCTCTGTAGATTTAATTATTATGTATTCAATTATAAGCTACTTGTTGAATGGAGATTTTCATCACGCGATGCGTGTTTGCGTGAACTCTGTAGACATTTTTTTGGCCAAATTGGTCGATAACATGTTGAATATGTTAATTTGTCTGTAACGCACTCAATTAATTAGACCTGCTGCGAACTAACAAAGAAAACGCAATTCGCAGTCATTTTAAAAACCGCCATTTGCATACCTGAAACAGGTCAGACATGCGAAAATTTGGAAACGGAAGTCTAATGTTCTGTCTATTGTGTGCATAATTAATCCCCCAAGTACAAGAGTACAAAAGTCTTATAAGCCCCCCCTGACAGATTAGTTCTGCTATGCGTAATAGAGGTCAAATTAATCGGCTTTTCCCAATTGTATGAAACCGGATCGATTTTCCTCCTGTTTTTCTGAAATCATATTCAATAGCGCAAGCACACAACTGACTATTAAACTAAACCAAATTTAAATACCCTCAGGTAACATTCTCGCCCTGAAATTGAGCTAATAGCTGCATAAACTAGGAGGTGTCATACGCTAAATGTGCCATAAGGCAATTAAATTTAATCCTCGAGAGACCAAACAAAATACAATTTACACTACAGAAATAAATTCTTGTAAAACTCTCAGTGACTCGAACTCACAATTAAACTAAATTTTCGGCCGTTTGTTTTTCTTTACACAAAAACGAATAACACCAGTAAACTAAAAGTACTCAATAAATGTGCTATTGCTGAAATAACCGCGAAATAATAACAGAAACAAGTACTTTTGAAGAAAGATATACGACAAATGGCAAATTTTAGAAAAGTATTTTTAGGCAATTGATTGAGGAAACTTTTTCGAATTCCATTCATATTTCTTGATGATGATAAAGAGGAAACAAGCACATCTTTGAGTGGCTGCTAGAAATTACTTCAGGAAATGGAATGTTTGGAAATAAATAGAAATGCTCGATAAGTGCTTGTCAAGAGGGATATATAGTAAAGTTTCCTGAGAGTAATAATATTGAGGAGCAATCCTTTACGACTATTATTAGCAGAATTGAGACAGTTGGCGGAGCAAATTACTTGGAAAACTCTCACCTATTTGATCGAAACGCGAGCATTATTTTCGTACCAACACTTTTCAAAATTGCTGAAAGAGACAAATAAATGTTTTTGTGAATGGCGTCCGAAATTTGTTAAGAATTGCCAAGTTAAAGCCAGTTTGTAAGTTTTCTCATAATTAAAATTAATTTTACAGTTTGGTGAGTTGGTTTTGATTGCGGATGAAACTTTCGGAGATAAAATAAACTAAGCAGTGGATCAATATTGTTATAATATTTCAAATTTTTGGCAATTTGAGTAAAATTACTAGAAGGCTTATCATTTTTGAGGGTGTATGTGATTAGAGTAATCAGTTTACGCATGCTCTTTTTGCGGGCTTGTACCTACATTGTTTTAAGTGGTTTATGCCTTGGTAATTCGGTCGTGAAATGTATAACTCTGCTTGAATAGTGTTACACTCGAATTATGTCTTAATAGCGCAAGCGAAACCTTTACAATAATGAGTTTAATCCACAACCGTTTAGACGGAATATAATAAATTGAAAGATAAATTCGTATTGAGAGCTAGAGCGTCGAGTGAAAAGTTTCGAAATGAGTTTCGCATTTTGGTGGATGCGCCGGACATTATTTGAATATTAAGCGTCCAGTTAAATCGGGATAACGACAAAACCTCGGAAATCTTGTCCTATATCAACACTTCTCATTTTCGTCCTTTGACAGTGAACGCATCACGCGTTACTTCAACGACAAATTAAACTTGTGTGGAGGTTGTATAGGACAGGTGTTCGAGGATTATTGCATCGCTTAGAAACCCACTTCAACTGAATTCTCATTCGCTGATCTAATAAGTGGATGCTGAAATCCAAATCACGATTCTTGACTTTAAACAATACGATCGAATTAACACCCGTAAAATTTTATAGTTTTTCTAATAATAAATAACATGCTAATTAAACTGACATTAACTATAGTGTTTCCAACACGAAAAATGCATTAACGCTCTTTTGACAACTCCTAAATCTGTATTCATAAATCAATTAGAAATGAACGGTTTATGACAAGACCTGTGGTCGAACTCGCATCAATCTCACTTTACTCATCATTTCCCACTTTTGATCGAATCATTTTCACTTTATCGGAAACAGTTTTTCTAAGGCGAGAAAAGCGAACGTTCAAACTAAATCGAAAAGAAAGAAAAACTACTTTACAAATTCTCAAGCAGAAGTTATCTATTACAATAAATCTACTTGGGACCTAACTTTTCTTTTATGACGTTTCCAAAAAAGGGAGAATGATTCTATACGAATCGTAAAACTTTAGATTTTTTATATATTTAAAAGGTTTGTATTATATTATCTTCAAGTTTATCTTTTTTTTTTCTAATAAATCAGTTTGTGATCGCTTTTCTTCTCCAGTTTGCATTTAGCCCAGAATTATCTTACGAAAAAGATTTTTTAAATTATTATTACATTTTTTTGAGTGTAAAAATTTCAGAAACAATTTTTTGCGTGCATTTAACTCAATTTTAAAGTATACAGGCTTTTTCAATTTATGAAATTCTTACGGAATTGTTCAGAATCCGAAGTAAATAATAAGAGAAATGATTATCATGTTTCAAGCTAAATGTTTTGGTTGTGTTTTTGAAATAATTTAAATCGCTCAATTTCCTCTTTGATAAATCTCGCGGAAAATTGTAATTATTAACCGGAAAGTTCGTACAAGTCATGTCAAGATCCTTTATGGACTTGAGTACTTTTAGTAAAATAAAAAAGGGTCCATTAATCAATAAGATTGACTCCAGACCGTTGGTTTGTGTGTTAATTTAATTACATTATTGTTTAAAATAATCCCGAGGGAACGCGCAGTAATTTATTTTCTCACGAAACAACAAACTACAAGTAAAATTTTCGGTGAAATTTCAAAGCAAAACACCAATAAAACATTTGTTTTGCTAATTGCGATCGATTTAATTAGTGCGAAAAAAATTCGAAAATATTTATACGTTCTATTTTCGCCGCATGTATATTTTTGTTTGTAAATGTTATCTAGAAGGATTAAGATGCAAAGTTAAAACATTTTTTGTAGCCGTCAGAGTTTGAAAAAATGCGATACGAAGCGACCGGTTGATTTTGTCGAAGTTCCGAAGGAAAGTTATCAAAGAAAAAACCTCTCAAAAGTAATTGAATAAGCGCGATATTTTCCTCAGAGGAAATGAAATTTTTCCCGAGCGAAAACGAAATAAGTCGGAGAAAAAATTTCTTGTCATCTTACCTGAAATGCAGAACGACCTGGGGCAAAAGTAGCGAAACGATGACGCTTCACGACGCTGCTTTTCGACACTGGCGGCAGCGTCGGTTCCGCTGATGACGCCGTCCGGGTGTTGAAGATACCGGACGGCGCACATTGATTTACGCAAGCGCCACAGGTCGTCTCACCTATCGATACACCTCATGCCGTGAAAACGCAACACCAAATTCTTACACAAAGTCTCAAGAAAAAACAACAAAACACTCCCAAAAACAAGTTTATACTGAGTCTCAACTAGGCAACAACCAAACTCCAGTAACACGAAAAAGTCTCAAATTAGAAGTCTCGAGACTTCATATATGTACTTGTTGCCATAACTTTACCAAACACTTAGTTTGCCAAAACCGGCCTTTCGGCTCTTAAAAATAACATCTTTCTGTTTCATGTTGTGGGAAATTAGTTTAAATTATACCAGGTGAATAAAAAGTATGGAACCAAGCGTTTCGTAAACTAAGCACTTTACGAAAAAAATTATTAGTGTAGCCTAAAGTACAATTAAAATGTGACCATTTATCAAGAATAACATTTTTCCAAATTTCTTTTAGTTTTCGAGTTCTGGAATTTTTTTTTAAATGGCAACCTACCATGGTAATTTTTTTAATTAAAGATTATGATCTAAAAATGACCTCTAATTAAACAGAATTGTTTTTTAGTCAGTACTTTTTTTTAATAAATTGTTAAAGTTGCGTTCCGAGCCCATCACAAAGATTTTCCTAACTTGAACGAGTTTCATGACTTTGGTGGTTGGAGAGCCCGTTTTTTTTTGTGCAGGTGCTTTGGGGTGGTTCCGGATGGATCAAAAAATGTAATAACAAATCATTTTCTTCTATTTTTAGTCCATTCGAAATGCATGAAACAACCACTTCGGTTAAGTTCGGAAAATCTTCGTTATGAGCTCGGAACGCAACAATTAATTAAAAAAAAAGTACAGGCTAAAAAACAATTTTATTTAATTAGAGGTAATTTTTAGATCATAATCTTTAATTAAAAAAATTACCATGGTGGGTTGCCATTTAAAAAAAAAAATAATCCAGAACTCGAAAACTAAAAGAAATTTCTTGATAGATGGTCACATGTAAATTGTACTTTACGCTACACTAATTATTTTTTTCGTAAAGTGCTTAGTTTACGAAAAAAACGCTTGGTTCCATACTTTTAATTCACCTGGTATGATATTCAAACTCGCCTGACTTGAAGCAACCATCACTACACCGCGTCTATTATGCATCTAACTGTACATTTAATTTTTATTGTATATCGATTTTATTTGACTTACGATGCAGTTAAAGTTTATGATGAAAACCATAATCACCACACCCAAGACTACACTTCAAAGCTTAATTATTTATTATCAGGTACAGTTGGTTATCACTGATTTTCATTGTTTAAACGGAGCCAATAAACTTAGATAAGTTTATGTATACATGCGGCGATAATTAAACAAAGTGCTTGCCGACATTCGAATTAACAATACAATGGATCGTCAAATCTGAACGCATTTAAAAGAAATCAATCAAAACATTGGCTTTATAGATGAAGTTTATCCAGCGTTGCAATTTTCAAATAAAATTGCCAATTGTGATTGATTGTTTTTTTTTTTTTCTTTAACTGCAAGTGAATGCTGCAGGGTGAGTTTTAAAGTTAAAAAAAATACGCAATCAATTTGTAAAACAAGATGCATAATACTTGTTTTCTGTGTTTCTGATAAATCACATAAACACCTTTATTTAATTCAGGATTAATACACTGTGTCAATTTTAAAACTTGCAATCGGCAATTTCTCTCAACTGAAAAAGTTATTAATAATCATTCAAAACCGATTTGGTGGTTCCTTGGGGGAATTAAAATTAAGTGACACACCTCCACCCATCCTTGAATATAGTATAAAAAATGAAAATTTAACGTCTTCGTTTTTGAATAGTTGGAAAAATAACTTTACCAAATAGGCTGTTGTATGACATTTTTGAAAAGCTCTTGTTATGAGCTTTCCAACGATGTATCGCAAGTAGGGTCGTATCATTTAAAATTTTCAACTTAAGGTGGCTGTAGCTTGAAGGTGGGTGGAAAAGCGTCACTTACCATGCCATTTTGATTCCCCCTAAAAACCACCGAAACGGTTTTGAGTGATTCTCAATAACTTATTTAGATATTGCCGATTGCAAGTTTTAAAATTGACACCCTGTATATTTATGATTTTTATTAAACCATCGTTAAATAAATACCTAATATAAATTTACAAAATAGTTGTTTTGTTAAACGTAAAGTTTTATCGGTAGAATAATAAAAAAATGTTGTAATTATTTTTTCAGGTTGTACTGGACTCTAAAACTTGACTATGACTTTTGTCTTATATGAGTTAGTCTATCTAAGAAAACTCCACTTAATTTCTTAATAAGAAAATCTGATTAAAAGTCATTGACTTTATAGCTATTTGAGGTTTATAGAGCACTGCAAATCCTGCAATTTTCAAATCTAATTTCCATTTATGAATGATCGCTTTTTCCATATGAATGCAAATGATTCTAGAGGTTGCAAGTTGCAGGCCCCGGCCCAACCCGAAAAATTCGTTTTTTATAAATATTTTTACTGATTTTTCTAAATAATTAAAATCAGATGGTTATTGACACGTACCTTAGATATATTTTTATTTGTATAAACTCGGTTTTTAATTTTAATTAAGCAGTTAAAGAAACAGTGATAACGAAAACAATTTTCAATTAAATTTCCGCCTTAAAAATACGTTTTTTTGTCTCTTGTTTTTTTACGAAAAATATTTTTGCAATTGGTGCATTGTGCGTGCATTTTAAAAATATTTTTGACTTTTTATAAGCATTTGATAAATCAATCAATACTCGTTTATTCAGTTCAGGATTAATTACTTTTTAATTTTTATGTTACAATAATACAACAAAAAATTGTTGAGGATTGCTGAAAGAAATCTAAAAAATCTAGTTTGGGCCACGCTGCATGTAGAAGCGACTTCGTCAATCGCCACATAATCCGCTAATTTCCACTCGTGCTCTGTATTTCTCTCGTTATTTCCCTATTCTCGTTCTCTCCAGTATCATTTACATAACGAATGTGTTCGTTACGAATTTCTTAGTTTTTTAATGAGGGCATTTAGCTCACACCCGCTTATACATCATTTATTAGTTGTACGGTTAAACCACGTAAGCTTCTGCATGTTGATGATTGTATAAAAGCTCTTTCCTATTCCTCAAGGGATAATAAAGCCACACCAGATTTCTCATGTCAAAATCATCCGGTAACGGGCTGTCCGGATTCTCTCTTGTTCCCTTTCACACTGATTTCGCAAATACCGAATTCTTTAATTTTCTGTTTATTCTCAAGCTTTTTCCCCTAATTTGTCTTGCTTTCAACTGAAATCACGCTAAAATATTGCCAAATGCATAAAAAGCAAATCGATATTCATGCGATTTGATTTTCGAATTTCTCCTGCACTCTTTCACTCTATTATAAATTATTTACATGGGACGCTCCGTGCTTGTGTGTGTGTGTCATCAAATATTTATCGAATATTTCCTTTTCAATATTTCAGAGACACAAATTTATTCGAAATGTTATCGAAGGTCTTTCAATTTTAATTTCTATCAACAATTCTACATGTATTTAGTTCTTGAATAGTGAACGCTGACGCCATTTTTTATTATGTTATCATCACATTTATCTTCTCTGTAATAAATCTTGGCTGTGATTTCAAACGGATATAGATGACATTTTAGATTTAGCTTGTTTGTTTGATGAAAGGGTAAATAACAATCACCTGGATGATGAAAGTTTGACGGAAATTTTAATAGTTTTAAACTGCGTACATGTTATTCGGTGAGGCGTTCTTTGATGTTTGCAACAGCTCGAGCAGTCTGAAGTTGAGTGCAGAACTACAAAACAAAGACTCTTAAAACAAAATAAGACGAAACATTTTGAAGGAATGCATAACAAAGCGTTTAAAGTAAACTCATTTTGTTTCATCCTGAAGCGATAAATTTTCAGAATTTTCTATAAAATGCCAATGGAAAGATGAGTTAAAGACAGACTTTTTCTGGTTCGGTTTACTTTAATTATTTTGGGTAAAATTTGGGTATCGGATTCAGTTCCATTGTTAATTATTTTGGTTGAGTAATGCGTAAATGCCTCGTGTTACGGTTTCAGCTGTAGCTACTTAAATGTAAAGGGGTAATTAAGGGTAAGCGAATTAATGCAAGATAAATGGCAGATTGGGGAACGTGAGGAATTTAGTCGCTTTGGAACGAAAAAGATAAACTATTCGAGAGAAATTTGATATTTTTTTTATTGTTTGAAGCAACGTAACGAAGCCCTGATTTCATCGATTCACCGAAGCAAACAGCAAAATTATAATTACTAAGCTCCGATCATTATAAAGTTGATGGTCTGGCGATCCCAGAAGGATTTCGCATGGAATATTTCGCGTGAAAACTGATTACTTTCGAGGAGGATTTTACCTCGATTATTGAGAGACTGAGGAAAGGCAATTGGCCACAGAAGACAAGGGTCGACTCCCATCTGTCAAATTAAAATATCTGTCAGAATTCACAATAATCGGGATTTAAAAGCAACATTTATTTGATTGAAGCGAAAGAAATGTGAAACTGGAAGTAAAGAGAAGGGTAAATAATACATTATAATAAATGTGGCGCGTTTGCGAAATTCAGCGCCATTCCTGGAAGAAACTCGAATCGATTTATTTTCTAGTGTGTGCGGAAAGGATGTATTTTCACTGTTAAGTCAAGATAATTGCGTTCTACCACAAAGAAAGCAATTACATTATTTGATTATTTTTTATTAAAGGAAAGCGTGTGTTTTTGCCGTTTTCGTCTTGTTTTATTATATAAGACATTGCACGCTTTCGAATTATTGAAATTGTTCCTTAGATGGGGTTGCCATAAAAACGCACCCCTTATTTAACAACGCATATAACCTTGTGGCGCCTTTTTTATTTCAACTCCTAATATCATTATTGTGCTTTCCGATCATCTCCTATTTTTCACAGTTTACGTATCTACAAATTGTTATGCCAACCCTTCGATACTTAAAACTTTGTCAACATTTTGCAGAGACTACGAAATTATTCGTTGACATTTTTATTTTCTCCTGCCGGAAATGCACTTAACGCTGCTCTTGCTTGGGGTGAAGACAGACAGATATTAATAATACATTTGCACGTACCATTGTTCCTCAAATATAATTAATGCATTACTAGATTATTGTACAAAGATGCACTAATAACTATGTAACGGGAATTTCACTTCAACAGGGGAGAAAGCAGGGAAAAGAGAATTCTGATAATTAAAAATGTGTTCATGAACTGTAGGGCCTAATTAATCCAAAATAAACTTCACAAAAGTAATTTTATTTGTACAATGTATCTCTAATAAAACGGTTGAAGATAAAAAATTACACATATTAACAATTAACATATCACAAAAATATTTTTTATATAAACCCGAAAATTTTGCGAAAATTTGGCTTAACGTCGAATGCTTCACTTTCATTTTTATTAAGCCTTCCAATTTAACGTTTTTCAATCCTTCAATGAAAAGCTCTAGTATTGTGTATATTTTCCCGTAGTCGCTTTATAGTTAGGTAATGAAAACGTGTAGCAAGGTGGCGCTTTAGTTCTTTGAGTGCAGTTTTTCCTCGACGAATGTAGATGGATTAATTTTTATGGAACTTTCAACAATTTATGACCCGAATACTGTACAAAGCACTTCTCATTAATTAAAAACTTTGAGGTGAAAAAGTTTGTTTATATTATGAAGTTTTTAAAATTACTTTGAATATTATTTTTTATTCAATTGATGATTAAAACAACGCTTGTTTTACCTTAGCTTGGTGACATAATCGGATCATTATCACTTTGTTTTCTTTCTTTATTATTTATTGAGACATTCTTTCACAGTTCGGGAAATCCTATTTTTAATCCCCCTATTAGTTACACAAACCCTACTTTTAGTCCGTTGAGATTCACCCAAACTTTAAAGCCAACATGATAAATTGACCGGAGACCTTTGGCACACATTAAAATCCCAATTTTGAAAACCATTAACAAAACTCCAAATAAAATTACAGTTTAATGTTTACATACAAAAGAAAGCGTAATCTTTGAGTTTATAGCCAGAAGCTGCGCAAATATTCGCAACAGAAAAGCTTCTTAATTATTTATACTGACTTTACGATACAAAAGCCATTTGTTCCTATTGTCCCGCTTGCCAATTAGTTTGTCATTATATTATTCTAATTAAAAATTTATGAATTACTGAAACAATTATAGACGATTTGAGTTCGTTTTTGTATTACTGGTTGCATACGTACAAGCTATAAAACAATTTTTAATTGAATTATAATTATACCGTTTATGCAGTATAAAATAATTGAGCGACAGTTGCCGCATTTACACACCTTTTCAATACATAAATATATACTAGAACGTTTTTACACTGTCAATTAAATGTTAATATTTGAATAACGCGGCATTTAGTTACGTAATAGGAATTTTTTGTTTGTGACGTTGGTAGTGCATTTATTATCATATGTTTACGGTCGGTGGACGAACATCATTAAAAAGTTGCTCTTCCGTCCCAGATGTAAATTAAATAAACAGAAAAAAACTAAAGTAACACGTTTAAAAAAAAGCCATTTGAACAAATTTTCACAATGAGTCATTTACGAAAAGCAGTTTTAGGACGTAACGTTAAACGCACAGGGTATGTAGTTTTTTATTAGAAATTTTCTCTATTTGACTATTTGTGTGCAGCTTAGCCCCTAACCAACAAGACTTTGCCCCCATTAAGTGGGATCAGTATTTTGATAGTGAAGATGATGTTACAATTGATAATGGAACTTTCCATGTTTATAAAAAGGGTGACTCAGGGCCAGCTGTGGTTTGCCTCCATGGGGGCGGCTACTCGGGCCTCACATGGGCGTTATTTGCTGTAACTATTTGCGAAAATATTTGGAAAAGAATGAATGATTGTTTTTAGGTGGAAATTACTACTAATATTGAGTGTCAGGTTATAGCAATTGATCTCAGGGGGCACGGGAATACTACATCAGCCGACGATAGTGACCTTTCGTTAGAAACCCTGTCTCAGTTTGGTTTTTCAATTTTGGAAAAGTTTTTGTTAATTTTTTTTTGTAGAGATGTTGTTGCTGTACTTAATAAATTATTTGCGGAGGAGGAACCTCCTATGGTATTTGTGGGTCATAGCATGGGGGGCGCTGTTGCTGTACAGTGTGCACACATGGTTAAAACGTTGGGGCTTTGTGTAATAGACGTGGTTGAAGGGACCGCCCTTGATGCTTTATCCTCCATGCAAAGTATTCTAAGGGGGCGACCCACAACCTTCAAAAGTGTTCAGCATGCAATTCAGTGGTGGTAATTAAATTATTAACAGAAAAAAAATCCATACATGCTAATATTCTATTTTAGTTACAAAGGGGGCCAAACTCATAATATTGAGGCAGCTAAAGTTTCAATGCCGGGCCAAATAATTAGGTAATTAAATGAAATACAGAAAATTTCTAATTCAATTTCAATTTTTCAGTATTCAGACTGGTAATTTAGCAGCTAATGAATGTGATACAATTGAATTAAAACCGGCTGAGGAGTTGTCGGCTCCTGTGAAAAAACAAGCCCCGGCAACTCCTACAATTGTTGAAGAAGATGATGAAAGTAATTGCTCTGATTGCGGGAAACCTCCCCTCCCTAAATCCGCCAAGACCGACCCTGGTAGTGGCGAAGACGGCCCTAAATACACCTGGAGGATTGATCTAAGCAAGACTGAACGTTTTTGGACTGGTTGGTTTAAAGGATTATCGCAAAAATTTCTCGATTTACGTGTACCGAAATTACTTTTACTTGCTAATATACATGGCCTTGATACCGCCCTAACTGTGGGGCAAATGCAAGGTAAACGCGTAGCCTTGTTTTGATTTTTTCTCACTTGTTTATTTCAGGCAAGTTTCAAATGCAAGTATTATCAAAATCTGGCCATGCCATTCATGAGGACCAGCCTAATCAAGTGGCTGAGATAATTGGTGGGTATTTAGTCAAACAAAAAATTGCCAATGCTAAAGTGGAACTAGTCTGTCCAATGCCTGGTTGTTAATTTATTTCGTTTTTTGTTCGTTTTTTTTTCGTTCGTGTTCTTGTAATAAAATAAAATAAAAAGTGTATTCTTCCTAAATAATCTTTGTTGAATTATTTTTAGATTTAATTAGGTAAGGTATGTCAATGTTGAGTGGGTGTTATGTCACGTCTCTTACATTGATTTTTTTATTGGTAAAGGACGTGGGTTTTGTAATAAAAAACTGATGTACCCATAATAATAAAATATATTTTTCCAGAAAGTCTACTTAAAAATGTGAAATCTAAGTGATCAACATGGTTGCAATGTATATATACAAAACAAAATGCAGAACAATTAAAAAGAAAATCATTATTAAAAAGCTGCTGTCAATAAATTCAAACCTATTTTAAAATAAATAACGCTTTGAAAAAAATGATTACAAAGAACTAGTATGTACTCGTCAATGGTAAAATTTTGGAAAAAACAATCACTTAAAATAAATAACAACCATTTATACATAGTTATGTTAAAAAGTTGAAATTGCCTATTGCAGATTCGACTCGGCCAAATGAATGTTTACACAAAATAAGCATATTTTTGTATTTCACACAATTAGAGATAATAGGTATGATGAGTTAAGTGATCTGTTGCAATTTTTATTGAACACATATATGTAATGACAGTTTTACTGCACGCAGCATGAGTTTTTGTGTCCGTTCTTCAATTTTAGCCGAGATTTAGGACGGTATTTCTCAAGGAAACCTAACTGCTTGGCATTAATTGCACCTCTCCTTTTTCTGTAACAAAAACCAAATAAACAAAACATAAAAAAAAAACATTCCACGAGATGACATACTCTCGAATCAGTTCGACTGCTTCTTCATATTTGAGACCTAATTCTATGAGAGCTAAAGCGACCATTACCGGAGCCCTTCCTAAGCCAGCTATACAATGAACGGCTACACAAGCATTAGGATTGTCATGAAAGTGCTTCTTCAAAATCTTGAACCACGCATCGACGATTTCGTTAGGTGGAAAGGTTCCATCGGGGTAGGAGAGATCGTAAACTTCGATGCCTTCGTTCTTGAGTTCGTCGACTTTATAGGAAGGTTGGCATACCCTGACTACCGCAGTAACTCTGTGCTTTTTCAGTTCCTGTAGTAAAATGGTGGGTTTAAGTGATTTTTGATAATATTTAGGAAGTTGCGGAGCTGACCTGGATGTAAACATGAATTGTTTGGTCGGAAGGTCTATCCGTGATAAGAAACTTGAATCCTTTGTGCTCGATCTCAGCTGCAGCAGGTCTTATGTCTTTTTGACGCATGGCTGTACTGTTCATTCCACAACAAGACACTTTCAAGTAACACTAAATGTGTTTAGAATATCAGAGTATCACTCTTGGAGATCAAATAAGGTAATCTCCTCTATTATGGGCCAAAAATTGTATAGTTATAAAAAGAATTTCCACAAAATTATACTTTAAACTATATATTGGGAGTTTAAAGCAATATTTCAGTCTTTCAAATAAATTAACATAGGATTAATTTGCCTAGAACTTTTGAGTTATGTACACTATTTTTATACTTGATGATATGCTTATGCAAATATAGTAGATTGTAGGGAAGATAACTAAAATAAATAAATCGTTATTTTTAACTGAACCTAATTAACAGCAAATTACCAACTCTTATTTGGCTCTTGTTGAGGTAATTCCAACAATGCTATGGCGATGATGCAAATGACTAAATTCAATGTTTTATATAATCTTTTTTTTTTAATTTCCTGTTAATTTATTTGTGTTGAGCCTGGCAATATTCTGCGCTATCCAAATGGAACTCCATGTATGCGAGCACTGTCTCACCAAGGTACTGAAACAAAACAATCTCAATTAACAAGAATACAGGACGGAAATAAAGATTACAAGCCGATCCATATCCATTTAACCTTCGCTAATTATTATACATACAACGCTAATAAGTGTCTAAACTAAAATATCATCAGTCAGTGGCGTCTTTATAAAATTTACAAAACCCCGAAAAAGACTCAGTTTATGAAGAACTTGTCACACTTAACAACAAATAATAATCACGCTTTCCAAAAAACATTTGAAATGATGCCAAAGCGTTCCTTTTAATATAAACACATACTCATGACAACAACAGAATCAATGTCACCTTCAATAAGCATAATTAGTATTTTTTTGCGTCAACAAAAAACAATCAAAAATCGAACGAAAAAATCGCAACCAACCCGGACTGCCACCAGACACCCTTCTGGCGCTCTTTTCCTTCCACCCCCATGCCATTACGCCGCCTCCTCATATCTAACAAATACAATTAACAAGTGAGGATTTTTCGCAAACATTCCACCAATCAATACTCGCACGTCAAAATTTTCAAGCAGCTTATACTAAGGAGTGAAAAAAAAAACAAACGCACCAAACTTACAATTTCCAATATTAAAAATCTAACTTTTTTAAGGTTTTAAGCCTATCAAAAATCATACCATAAGTTCGCCGATGTGTAACCGTTTGTTTTGCTTTTTTTCTAATTATCACAGGAACTTCACTCAGCTTCACACTAGTGCTAGTGGGAGTCTGATCTAGGTTAGGGAGTTAAAATAGTACTCGGCACTCCTCCTTCCAACCGCGTCATTCTGAATTTTATTTAAAGGGAGTACCCGGATTTTGAAATTCGCGCAATTTTTCGCAACTTCTTACTTACATTTGCTGGGGAAAAATCACAACTGAATTGAGATCATTCTAGTTAATTAAGGCAATTTGCACAATTAGGCAAACGAGAGGGGAAATTAAATTTGAAAACTGGCTCAAGTCGGTCCAATTGGACTTGCTACAAACTGAAAATTTCGTAGAAAGTAAACACTTTCTCCCTAAAGATGAGTCTAGGTGTGACCGGAAACGAGTGTGGCCAATTAGTTGATTTTTCATTATGTAAGTGGCTTTTGTTAAAAATAGCCGTTTCGCGAATTAGTATGGTGTTTGTACACGCAGCATCTCCATGAACAATCTTATCTTAGTTGATAAAACGCGAATTTCAATAAAGAAAATTACATAAGTATTACCTGTCGTAAACATGGCATTTAGTTAAATTTATTGATCAGGAATAGTCGGAGTCGTCTTTGCTGAATCAATTTGACATTTGATCTTTGCGGTCTAAATTCGATTCGTTTGTTCTAATTTTAGTCGAATCGATTCCTTTTGTCACAATCTTGCACTTTTTAATTGCGGTAATGCGATCCAATGTGCCCCAATATTTTTATCAAGCTGATTGAATTCCTATTATCATAACAACTCTGTATAAATAATAACAACTCGGTTTCGATTTCCCGACTTCCTAGTCGGGGATCCCAACAATACCAGTTTCATCAAGTCACACCTCATCAATCGATGAGAAACATATTTAATGTTTACTTAACTCACCGTTTTTCGGTTTTACTGCGGAAGCTCACAAAACAATGTCGTTTTATCTTGACTGACATTAAACAAATCTTAGTGTTCAAGTTCACAAGAAGATATCACTATTGAAAAATACATCTTCTTATCGTTAGCAAATACCAGAATTCCGATCCCTGTTTATTCCAATTCACTTGAAAGATAAAAATAGGCTCAAACTGCTGTTTTAATTAATTAGCAAGTATTCACTATATTATAATTTTTATGGGCTCGTATTAAAAAATGCGTCAGCGTCGCGACGCTTTATAAAAATAGCAGCTTCTTTTTGAGCTGAAAATACTTACATACAATTAGATTCTAATTCAATCGTTAAAAACAAAGTAATAAGTTTAGTTTTGAGAAAAAATGTACATATTTCAGAGATTGCCTTATCACCGGATGTAAGTGTTTATTAATTGTCCTATATGGTGAAAAAATTATTAATACTCTTGCCCTGGATACTTCGATCTGAAAATATTTGAGTTTATTCACACAACACTAAACACACTAAATAATTGAATGCCTTTTAAACATCTAGATTTGGTACCGACTGACGTCCATATGACGTAAATTCTTTGTTTGAATTCAAATATCGATGATTCAGAATCTAATCTTTATGTTATGCCATACATGTCACTCAAATTTGTATTGCTTTGATTCGGTTGTATATTTATATCCCAATAAATCAAATTTCATTACAGTCATAATTACCAACAATTTATGGTAGTGGAGTTTTCCTTTTGACAAAATGATGTAACGGAAAACTGACTTTCCTAGTACCATGATGAAGGCGAAATAATACACTGACAATCGATCTCGTCTATCAAATATCAAAAATAATGATCTTGTTTATATTGCAACAAAAATCCGATGAAAAAAATCAATATTAGTTGCATGCTAGTTGAATGTGGCAGTGAGAACAAAATATTGAAATTTTGTTAAGTAAGCGAATTTTTATGCAGTCAAAATATTTTAACATGTTTCTAAATTTTGCATGGATTCTATGTTCAATATTGGCGTTTAAATTTTAATTAGCCATACACATTATCTTCATTGTGTATTTAACCAGTTCGATTGTAAAATTAAATTAAATTTTTAAACTAAATTAATAAATCCGTTTTTCATGTGTTCATATTTTATGACGTTTTTCCATTTAAACGATAACAATCACCAACTGATATTACCAAACATTTTTATTGTTCATGGTAGTAACGCTCATACATTCACTTTTGACAAAGAAAAAATGTGGAATTCATAAAAAGGTAAAAAGTAAATTTGTTTAAAATACAATATGTATTTTACTTTAAAAAAAAAACTGTTGAGAGGCTTCAAATTTCTGTTCCTGGTATTAAATTGTAATATATTCGAAGAGCATGAGAAAAAAACCTAATTAAATTTCGCTTCCACTTGGAAGAGTAATTAATAATCACATCCACAGAAATTAAAACTTAACAACACGTTAATCTAAAAAATATGTTTAGGGCCTATAATATTGTTTCTGAAATAATATGCGATACTTTTGCACCAATGCTAACAACAGTTTTTAAGCAAGAAATTGTAATATATCAATTTATTTCACCAAAACATATGCCAATTTGAGCTATTTTTAAGCGATTTGAGTGAAATGTCATCAGTTTTAACTGCGTGGCTCGTGTCACAAACTACTCATATCGCAATGAGTGTGTAACACTTGTTTTTCAATATATTATTATATTATATATATTATTATTAATATATTATTATACTATAAACTCTCGAGTAATGTATAAAAAGCAAATAACGTTCAGAGAATTTCAACACGGTTTATTTCCTATCCACAATAATAAACCATAAGAAAAGAGAACAATTTTTAATGGCATTTTATACCTCGATGTCACATTAGACATGTATCAAAGAAACTTCAAATGCATCACTTTTAAATTCTGTTTCGTTATTCTTGATGTTGAATCTATGCTACAAACGCTCTGGAGCACAAGTGTTGTTAAATGTACCTTAACGCAACTGGTTTCTATGGAGTTACATTAGCATGATAACATGATATAAAATAAAAATAATGAACATGTTTAACTGAACCAAAAAGGCAGAAATAACAAATTTTCTAGGCTGATTTTGCGAAAAAAAAATCAATTCAATAAAATAAATAAATATAATAACTTCAATAGAAAAATTAGCCAAGTAGAAATATTTAGAAACAAAGTCAAGTACTTTTATTACCCTCACAGCGGTACGTAAATGCTCTTACCATAAATATGTCGAAATCCATCACCGCAGGTAAAAATTCTACATTTTACTGTATTCAGAAGAGAATTGTTTGGGATACTTCTATGAGGATTAAGCTCGGTAGCAGACCATTTCGGGTTTACCAGAAGCTGATGACACTCATTAAGTGATCACTCTGTTTTAAAATATTTCTAGAACTACTTAAAATTCACATCAAAGGCATGATTTTGTGTTTTTTGGCTTCAATTTAACAAAATCCGTGTAATAAAGACCGATTCTCGTTACATAATAACCCCAAATAAGCCGGCATAGTATTGTGACTTCGTCAAATTTTTGTAATTTCCAGTGGAAATTCTAAATTTTTGACAAGTTTCTGCCTTCTGGGTCCAAATAAAATATTTCAAATTTGTGGCGAGAAAAATAAAAATCTAAGTAAATTTTGATGTGATGTGAGCAATTAGCGTGTTTGATTTGTTGCGAGAATTCCATTTGCATAAATTAATGCATAGGAAATGTACACACACCAAGGCCGTCCAACATGGCAGGAGTATTTACTCAAATAAACAATTTTCTCATTGTTAATAATTAAAAGCCCGGTTTATCCTAATGAAATTTAGCCGTGCAACCGTGCGTGCTATATCGAAATTGGAACTTTGCCCAATCGAAAAATGGGAGTCTTCTGGGAATCGCAATGGCGACAAATTTGCATTTCTTCTTATAATAACTGTAGCTTTGTCTATATGTGCAACGAAGGTTTGTTTATATTGATGTTTGTCAAATTTTGGCAATAGTTTTTGGTATCGGCGCAAACTCCGCATGAAGGGTGCGCGAAGTTTGCGCGTGGAAGTTCGTTGAACCCTCCGAGAAAATCGACCAGCAAATACATAATGTTACTATTTTAACTTGTGCCCTCATTTTGCAATGTTAGGTCATGGATACATGAATGCTTAAAAAGGAAGAAAAATGCGACGATTTGCAATAAAAGACAAATTCGGATCGTCAATTATCACGTTCTTGTGGTAGTTTCAAGTAGCAGCGACTTTTTGAGGACCCTCAACAACAAACAAAACAAATCGGTTTTAAAACAACAAATTTAAGCACGTTTGATGAGTTATAGTGGAAATATTTGGTTTTTTGAGTGATAAGTAAACATCGGAAGTTGAATTGAGTCGATTTTCCTAGTCACCAGCCAGAGGAGGTGCTTCGACGTGATAATAAAAGAAGTACAGGAATTTTACCTGGGACTGGGATAGTCTCAGTCACGCAGAGAAATTGTCGATAATTTCACTGCATATTGCAGAATTGCTCTTTTACCTGCAATGTCAAATGTTGAAGGTTTAGAAAGCGGGTCATTACCAAATTTTGTGCAATTATTTTGTCAAAATGTTCCACTTCCGTTTTTTAAGTGGGCCATAGAATTGTTGGAATTTCAGTACGAGATAAAGTCAAGTTCCCACACTCCGAATTGCGACCAGACAGAGGGGTTGGGTGTCTTGGGTTTTGAACCGAAGGGCATCTACCTCTTGTCTGGCGCGGCTTTTATTCGGCACGCAGACAAAATTAAAATTGACAGGTGTTGGACTGAATTGTGCATACTTATAGCAAAAGAAAAATTCGATAATTGGCTTAATTGGAATTCGACAGACTTTCACTTAATTGGATTTAGAGTCTCGTTTATTATGATTCCACGCTGCAAAAATACTATACTTGTATAAGATAATTTCACGATGAGATAAATACTGACTGATTTTCGGTTAAATTCAACCAAAATAACTACTTCACCCCACAAAAATGACGTTAGTAACCACGTGGTCACTATAAAATCGTACCCAAGTCATTTGGTACTTAATAAACCGAAATGTGATGCGAAATTCTGGTCCCTAATCCCGAGTATAAAACCGTGCGATTAAAAAAGGCGACATTTTAACATTTGGGTAATCATTTTGTGACCTCTGTGTAAATTGGAACGATAATTCTGTATTTAAGTACTCCTAAATTAAAAAGTCCCTAAATTTTTGCCACTCCAAAACCCCGATAAAAATATTGCAAATTCAAAATAAACTGGAAAAAAGTCGAAAACTGGCACAAAATTCGACTTGTTGGTTATGCGAAATCCGTTACGTTCTCCTTCATCTGATCGTTTTTTCACTTACCACAATAGCCATACACATTGAAAATAGGGTTGACTTGTTAACTTTTTGAAATCCACGAAATGTGGATAGAACGGTAATCACGGCACAAAAGCGGTTTGCACAAAACTAGTTAGAAACCTTTTAATAGGCTGGGCAAGATGGTTCTCGGGCAAATTCGACTGACGTCAGAATCACCCCCACTCTCGTCAATATGACGACAAATTTGAGATGACGTCACTACGCCTGCGCTCTGTCGCACATAAGCGCCGGCATAAGTGCGTCCTTGTCTGGTTTTGGGGGCTACGCAAGTACATTCTCCGAAACAAGTAATGACTATCGACCGCCCTCGCTTCTGAGAAATGCCCACTCGAATTTTAACTCTCAGTCAGGAGTTAGGCAACACGTCATGCAACTTATATAACGTTTCTCATAATTGTGTAATCTTGCCGATCTAATAAACATTGCGCAAGGAATAAAATTGCAGTTCAAACTCAAACAAATCAACTGTCAACAACAACGTTTATTAATAAAATTTCTTACAAATGTTGGGTAACAATCTCAAATTTCAGCGGTAATAATTTGTATGATCACAAGAGTACATTCGTGATCATACGAAACTAGAAAGCAAGACTGAAATTTAATTCTAAGTTTGATATACGATATGTTATTTAATATAGTGGGCCTTTGATTGTCGGTAATTAATATAGTAGAGGCGTCCTGATACAATTGTGCTGATACACATGCGTAGTCATGACCTACTCTAAGCTCAGGTGAGAAGTACCGTGCGATCAGGTATTATGCGACTCAGGGGCTCCAACTGGCGCAAATCTAGCACTGTAACTTGATCGTTCGGTGATAACAATTAGTAATGAAAATGATACTAAACAAACGATGAAATAAAACAAAAGAACCTTTTAAAAATTGTATTAAAAATGGATACAGTGTGACAAAATAGAATTTTTTGAAGCGACAAAAACCTTTAACGGTTATAATTCAATACAAATGATTGAAAAAAAAAAAATAGAAAATGTCTTGAGCATTGTAGACTTTGTTTTTGTTCAATTACATAACAAAGTATCAAAAAACCACAGATGTGCTTTAAATTTATTTAAGATATATATTGCACTATTTATATAACATAGGCCTCTATGATTTAATTGAATTTAAACAAATTCTACATGTGTGTATCACCGTAAGGGCAATTGATTATTACTTTATTTAAATACACAGAGTTTTAATGATGTGGCACTGTTTTATTGCAATATTTAAATATAGATAAAATTAAAACTAAGTGTAATAAGTACACAGCTAGATCTGGTAGCAACTTATTGAATTGGAATGTCGGTCATAAATAATTTCTATGCATAGGTCATCCAAATAAAAACATTATTTACATTTAAATTGACCAAGAGATCACATTTCTCCTAAAACTAGTATCATTAAGTAATTAATAAATAAAAAAAGTAAAAAATAAACTGCCTGTTAAAAAAAAACTACGTTAGCAAATGTTTAAAAACTATATATGTTTTTAAGGCAGGAATCACTAAATATGTAAGTGCATAAGTTACTTAAGATAAGTCAGTGTGTGGCCTGGTTTGCTCTGAATCTTCAACAACTTCCTGGGTGGGATTTCCATCCGTACCTGTAAGTAACTCATTTTTCGTTTCATTTTCATGTTTTGGTGAAGTGGGGCAATCGTAAGTCGAGACGGAGCTCAAATTTCTACGATGACCTGCCTCAAAGTGCGGCTTTTCTTCAAACACTACAAAGTTTCTCATAACAAAGATAACAACAAGTTGGATTTGATTACATTTGTCTAGGCTTATAATCGAGCCGACTATTTCATTCGTGGTGATTCCGCCCGCTTCGTCGAGATGTTTCCTCCGGCGTACTAGCCACCAATCGACCAGAAAAATCCCCAAGGCAAGAATTTTAATCCCAGCACAAAGGCCCACATATCTATAGCGGAATTGTTCGATGTCGTATAAAAGACATCGTCCACCTTTTGAGCCGCAAGTGCTTTTCCAAAGCAGACAAGTCGAGTCGATCAAATTACCGAAGAGAATTGGAGCCGGGATGTAGCCAAACAAGCGAAATATCACAAACTGCATTCCTAAGGCAAATGAGCGCTCTTCCTCGCTTACGGATCTTAAAAATTCTGTTAGTTGACTTGTCTCGTCTCATGGTTTGGCTTACTCACCTTAAAACTATCATAAGTAGCGGCATTTGCGTTATGGCTACTATGAACGTCATAAAGAATAGGAGTATCAAAAATGGATAAATCGTGTGACAGGATGAATTACAAGGACCGGCAGTCGCGACAGGAACAACAGTAACTTCAGCATATTCACTGTTTGTTCTCGCTGCGAGATTTACGGACGAAGTTGTTCCACTCAGGCTCATGTTTCCGTGAATACCTGAAACCGCCATATTGGCAAATGGACGACTTGCTGAAAACGTGAAACACTCACAGGCACAATTGGTATAATCAGATCTGAGTGTTGAAGTACATCCGGCATGACAAGGGCTAAAATAAGTCAAACCGTTGTTGCCGCAAACTGGTTCGACGTCATTCATGCTGCACTCGCATCCAAAATTACACGACGATGTCAAATTCACTTGAAAAGGTTCGGCATGAGTACTATTGAAATAAGGAATTGTTGTCCCAGCCATCTTTAAATTATCACAACCCAAGAAAAACAGCAACACGTAACAAATTAAACAAATGATATTCGAGATTAGGACGAACTGAACGGCGCCCTTGGGTCGTAATTCCATTCGTTTTAAAATGCAGCCTCCCATAAAAATTCCAATACATGCACCAGGAATTGCAATTGATCCTTGAATAAATACGTAATAAAATCGCTGGAAAATTTCACACCATACCTGTGAAAACACTCGCTTGGCTTTTTCCTAAACTAAACTGCGTCTCGAGATACTTTGGTAAAAACACAACAAACCCTGATACAATTATTAACTCCATACATGCTCCTAAACATGTAACTATATAAATAGGATTACACGCAAGACGCCACATCGAACGAGGAATATCTGCGACAAAATTATTTTACAACAATTCTCATCGAGACTGGCAACAAACCTTTAATGTCTTTGCCATACCCTGAATCATTTTTAGTCATTGGTGCTGCTGCATGTTGATTTGCCCCTGTAGCATTGCTACTACCAGCAGCTGCAGCTTTTTCAGTCAACCGAATTTTCTCTTTCTCATGAGTCAAAACCTTAGGAAAGGAGAAAAACGGAATCGATACGAAAATAAGCATAAGTCCTCCTAAGAGAAACCCACCCCACCACATACCCACCCACTTACTGTCACCAGCATCTAAAAAAAATCTCAAATACATAACTCTCAAACTGTTGATATTTACCAATCGATATTATTTTCGAAAAGGAATCCATGTGGAACGAGAGCAAATATGCCCCCAGTAAGAAGCCCAACACTGGACCAAACGCGGCCATACTGTACATACAGCCTGAAAATGGGAAAAATCGATAAAATGCGGTTTACTTGTTTGACGTTAAATTTCATATTTTCATTCAAAATCTATTTATAGCTAACTATAAAAGGCATTTAGAAATGAATTTGCACCACAGCGATGACGTCACATGCACTGCTCGGCGGTCTGACCTTTACTTGGCAGTTTCTTACCACAAGCCAATTTTGTTAATTCAAATTTTCATTTTGTATTTTTTTCTCCAGTGTGGTGGATGCGTTATTTTTTTGGTAAAATAACAAAAATTTATCAGGTGTTTTCACTAGATAACGACCAGTTTTATGGGGTTTTGTGTACACTTAGGTACTAATTATTCATCATCGGACTGTTTCTATGGTTCCTTTCAAAAATTTTAGAATTTATGTGTCGCTGAAGTTTTTCACACAAGTCATTTTTTAATTGAATATAATGATTCCGCAGACAACAGAAGTGATAAAAAATATATCTTAAATCTCTTTGAGTTCCCAATTCATTATCTTGAATCGTTTCGTAATATAATTTGGGTGAATTTGAAATAAAACTAAAGAGAAATAAGAAAATGTTGATACTTTTGAAACCCGGTATATGATTTCAAAAGTGTGTGTGAATCTACTACGTAAACGCAGTTACGATTATTCATTATTTATTACTTAATATCACTAACCTTACTGTTGACCCACCTCAAGATATTGATAGTAAGGTTAGTCTTGCGTTGCTTATCGTCAAAAAATATTTTTAATTTAGGTCCCGAGTGAATTGTTCTGTTTCTGATTAAATTGTAAGTGTGTTTTAAAAAATTGGAACCCCGATGTAAATATTAAGCACAAAGTTTTTCATAAATAATTGAAACTATTGTTATCAAGAATATGTTACTTAATCTCAAAAATTCGATGCAATTCGCTGTTGTCTTGTGTCAAATGCAGCAAAGCCATCTACAGTGTGTTCTAAAAAATGTGTGGACGTCGTTATTGAATTCGAATTGTTGGTTATTTTAAGTGTAGTGAGATTTGGCGCGATAAGGCAATGTCAGTTTGCGAAAAGTGTGAAAGCTTCCGGAGAAATGCGAAAATGAATAGCAAGGTCGTTAGGGTGCAGGTGAATCAATAAAAGTTTCATTAAGTTGGTTGATCAATATTAGTGAACGTGTAGCGTGATTATAATTTATGAAGGAACTATGACATTTAAAAACGCAACTTACCTATATAAATAGAAGAACTTTCGGGTCTGACATGATCATCGACGTAAGTTGTTCCCAATGTAAATAATGGCGAACCTCCACAGCCTAGTAACAATTGTGCAAGTACAAATAACAATACTGGTCCAGTCGTTGACGGAGAACCCTGAATGCAATTATCCCCCCGTAGGTTATTCGGGGCTAAAGGTGGCGATGACAGACCGGAAGAGAGCCTCCCTAAACCCATATCTTCTTCATGAACCGAAATAACTCGACACATATTCTCGTCTGTATTGTTTATAACAACTTCACCAACATTTTCGTCACCGATAAAATGCGGTACCATGAAAATCAACGAGCCAACACCCATTATAACGGCACCCACCCCAATCCAAACCGGGATATGTCGCCGACTCCCCAAATAACTAACAAATATTACAGTTATCACATTGCCCATTTCGTACGATGACGCAATTAATCCTGAAAGACTCGATGGAATCTCAAAACGCTTTTCAATGGTTGTTATCACAGAATTGATATAGCCGGAGCTTAACGCTTGTTGTAACGTAACGAGGAATGATAAAAGAAAAACAAAACACTGCAAAAACACAATCAGAATCAAATAATATAAAACCAGATCCCCCACCTTAATTCCTGCATATTTTTGAATAAAAGAGGGTCGGCACTTAAGGATTCCGCATTCTTTTGTATCCCTTAATATCACAGGTGGTGGATCAGAGTATGTCGTGGCATGTGCGGCTTTATCTCTACAAATCCAATATTGGAAAAAATACTACAACATTACCTAAAGCAAACCTATCAAAACCAGCTGAAGGGTTACGACTGTGACACTTTATGACAGTGTCATGACAAAATGTTGTCGAACATTTTGTGTCAGCTGTACCATTGTCTTCAGGAACACTTTCCGAGTAAAGTCCTGTCATGGCATACATGGACTCCTGTCGGCGATGGCCCTTGCAATGGCTGGTGGAGGCATCGCCCCCACCCGTGGAGGTAGCACCTGTACTTGCACCCGTCATCTTCGCGGGACTCGCATCAACTCAATTTACCCATCGCAGCATCTGCAACACCAGAAATTAACACCAATTCAGAAGTTTCTTTCGCCTTTGATGATATTAATAATTAACAAAGATTTATTTTTCATTTCGCGTTTGCTATGACGATTTTGTGAGAAATTGTTGTGCATCCACGTATTTCATTGAAACTAATTTTCAAGCGATTTGAGTACCACATACGTCAAATGTCATCAATTTTAACTTCAAATACAATAATAAATTCAATTTAAAAAGCGCTCAACAGAAAAAGAAGTAAATAATAAAAAACACGCATTACAATCTCGCGTATTGTGACACTCGCCATTGCGTGGCTCGTGGCAACGAAAATGTTTTTAACACTTGTTTTTTAATATGTATAATACCTATGGCATTATGTATCCATTGAAATGATTCATTTTATTTCTGGTTTTCTAAATCCTTGTGGGGCTAACATGTTTAAAATTAGTCAGACCAAGTTGGCTGTGAAACGACGACAGATGTTTTTGATTTGGCGCGCGCCGGACATTTTTCAAATACTCGTTTCGGTCTATTATTAAATGAGACAAACATGCCTCAAAGCTTTTAAAAAATTATTTTCAAGTGCTTTTAAAAATAATTGGATTATGTCGCATTGGTTATTAACTTATTAAATAAAAGGAGGCCAAATTTTACATATGGGGAAGGAATGTGTGACAAGTAGAGAGAGTCGGTTTTGTGTTTTCTAATTGGCTTGGAGTTAGACCTGTCAAAAAACCATAGCACACTGAATCTTTGTTGTAATATCTCAAACAAAAGTGAAAGTTCGATACAACATGCAATATTATTTAAATTAATTAAATTGGCAATACTGTTTTTCCTTTCATAAAATAAATTGAATGACCTTGCACTAATAAAGTGTTATTATTATTTTATTGCACGTACGCAATAAGGAAAAAATGTGATAAAACCAGAAAAACTTTCTTTGTCTTGAAACTTTCACGATTAAATTCGGTAATAAAGTGGCATAATAGTAGTACAAGTGGAATAATAATCGTGTCCGCTCCAATGAACAAAAGGCAATTATGTTAATATGAAAGAAAAACTGTAAATATTTAAAATTTGATAAGTTTGAAGTATTGAGTAAGTCGACTTTCTCCGGCCGTTTCTTTGCGTCAAAGTGATAAGGCTTGATTATCTCGCAACACACGACAACACTTCTATCATTTCAATTGCTTTTTGTGGATTTATTTGTGAAACTCAGACAGGATCACCCTTTCGTTACAATTAATTCGGAACGGTTGTATTTTTTAAGATTAGTGGTTTATTACGAGTGATTTCTCAACCCAGACAATGCTATTCTTTGAAATAATCACTCTAGTGGGACGATTTGTTCAGTTATGTTAATAACCTTTGTTTCAATCTTAATCAGCTTTGTCCCGCTATTGCCCTATTTAACCGCGAAGTAGAGTTTGCAAAATTCATCATGGTCATCTGCTACAAAATGAACTGAATTCCGTACCCGAAAATCGATAGAAAAAGTCACGCAAGCAAACTTTTCACATTTCAAGACACAATTTTCCCTGTCACCTGGCTCGGACATGAAAAAATTCTAAAGGGCTTTGCAAGTTTTAATTAATCATTGATTTTAGCTCCAGGTGATGGGCGCTTGAATAGGACCGACTTAGATATTTATTAGCAATTAAACAACATGGAAGGTTATTAATGTGGTCAACGTGCTCACGTTCGAATGATTCATATTATTATTTAAACCCAATTTTCCCGTGTCAACTCTTAGTTCGTCCTATTTGACTCGGAAATATCTCATACGTGAGGTACAGTTCAAACAACAGTTAGAAAGAAGAAGGTCAAAAACGATAAGTTCGCTTAACCGGATCATTTTTTCAAATATAGGAAAAAAACCAACAATATTATAAACCAGTCATTACGCACTAAATGTTAAAAGTCAACTCTTTTACCGCAACTTTCAAATGTACACCTACGTAAGCGCTCATTGCAAGTAAACAATTTTGTTAAAACAATTTAGCAAAAATATGGGCGCATACTAACCTTCATGTGTGAAACTGAAATGTCACACACGACCACTTCCTATAATTTAAATTTTGCAAATTTATTTAATCCTGTCCAATTCAAGATATTTAAGAAAGGTCAAGTATCATCAACCAACTTGACTGGTGTCTGATTGAAAAAATGATTTAATTAAAGGTCATCAATCTTTAATAATGGAATAATGAACCGAATTTTTGGAACTAGTGACCTTGAATAAAATTGCTGAGGAAAACATCACGGAGTTTTCGTAAAAGTGCGTTTATCCAAATCCTAACAACGCAAAACTTCATTAATAATGGATCAAGCTTTGTAGAAAGTTTGACGTGAAAGTATTACGTAACTCAATCAATATCAAAGGACATTTTGATCGCACCAATTAGAAAATCTGTGTTTTTCGGTGACACCCCCACAGTGACTATGAAAATTTAACAAGTGACCCTTTCGAGATTGGATCCCCGAAGCCCAAAGCGTACCCGAGCAAAAAACTTCATTACAATGGAACCGTTTATGCATTTTAAACTATACAAACCACATTACATGACAAATACTAGGCCAGGGCTGGTTACCGAAAAGTGTTTCTAAACATATCAATATGAAGTTTCTGGAACGTATATTGATCCGGATTTATTTATTTAATGTATGGATTTGTTTTTCCATCAACTACCATAATTAAATCAGAGAAAAAACAAGGTTGCTTGTCTTTTTATCACACAAATTTGACCCAGATTGTGGCTAACATAAACACAAGATCATTTCCATTAACAACATAGGGCCCAAAACAGAGCCCTGAGTGAAAGTTTCTCTAAACTTTACAGGGTGCAAACAATCCTACCCTTTTACGAACTGGTGAACGGGATTCAGTGATTATCTTTGTTTGAACAATCAATAAAAGCTAACAAAATTTAATTAAAAAGACAAACGGAATTTCAAGCACTGGATTCGCATATGTTTGCTCCAAGTCAGTCAAGTGCAGGTGCGAACTTGTCAATATTTGCCTCTGTGTGGGAGATGTATAATTAGAAAATTGATGAAACACCCAACCCTCCAACCAACTCTCTCCTACTATTTTTTTATTATTAGACCCAAAACAGCCGAATTCGAGTAAATATCAGATGGAAAGTTATCTTGGGAAAAAGATTGTGCAACACCAAGCGAAATTCGCGTTTCTGTTTAGTAAATTAACTCGAACTCAACTAACGATAATAGCAACAATAATAAAAAATCTTACTTGTGGGAGGTCAATGCATCCTGAAATTGCTCCTGATAATCCAGGTCTGTATCAAAAATATTTTTATTCGATTTATCACACTAAACACACAACCACAGTTTTTAATTGATACATTTTATAGATTTTTTCCAATATTTATTTATATACAAGTTATTTACCGCACAACACGGAGACACAGTTGAGACAACACAGCTGTCTGTGCACAAGTCTGCACAGACAGAAACAGAATAAGACTAGAAAAAGACAGAAAAGAAAGAACAAAAGAGAAACGCAACGATGGTGCTGCCACAGGCGCGAATTTTCCCAGAGTTTGAAAGCGGGACCTGCTATTGGCTGGAAGAATTTAGGAAAATGAAACACTGATTAAAATGAACTAAAAAGGCGCCGTTTAATTTCAGATTAAAAAATCAATATACAATATATTATTTCTTTAATATAACATGCTAACAAATTATTAGAACTTTGTAGTATAACGCATGAAAACTTGTTTCTTTCAATAATAAATATTCTTTTCGATTTAAGTACAACAGAATATATGCAAATTCGTTTTTGTTTCTCTTAATTACCAGGTATCCTAGACTAATTTGTGAATAGTTTATGAACAAAAAATATGGCTAACAGATTTGAAAAAAATCGCTTAGTAATTGAGATCCCAATTAAAACTAACATCTAGCATGTTAATTATTATTCTATGAATATATGTAGTATAGCCAGTGCATTACACTTATTAAACACGTAGTTTAAAAAAATTCAATTGACACATACTGCGTTAAATATGGCAATTTTTCGGTTTTTTGAATGTATTAAAAGAAGCAAATTAAAACCTTCACCAGTCATAGATGTCTCTTGAAAGTATACCCAAGCAATATTATCCATTCATGAATGAAGTTACAGAGAACTATGTTATACACCTATACAATTATTAATAAATAATCTTACAGATCCATAACTTTTTATGAGATAAATTCCAACTGAATTTACGGCACACACAGAAAATCACACCTGGTCTCACCCTAACACTTATCAAATACATATGAGTATATTTTTAAGACACATACTATTTATGTGTTGTCTTTTTTAGTGTGAAACAAAATGTATATACCAGAAGCGAAATAAACAAGAGATTTCTGACCGATTCAAATTAAGCAAATATATACAAAATGTTTTTTTGTTTGGCAAGTTGCGTAATACTAAGCTAGAATTATTGAACGGATTTATCTTTCGCTTTAACGCCACTCGTGTTAGACTGAGGCTTATCACTTTTTTTTATTTCCGGTTTACTCCCCTCCCCCTTATCACATTTCTTCTCCCTCTTTTCGTCGTTTGTTTTATCACATCTCTTACATTTCTCCTCTTTATTGCAACCTTCTTTATCACATTTCTTCTCCTTCTTATCTTTCTGTTGCACGTTTTTGCTTTTTTCGCTTGTTTTATCACACTTTTTGTCGTCTTGTCCGTTATTGGTCGGTGAGTCTTTCTCTTCAGCAATCCTCGGTAATAATTCCCCTGGTCCGGACAGATTCAAAGACAAACGACTATCGCTATTTGCCGTATTGGTACCTTCAGTCTGCGAATTTGTAACTTCACTTTCTGTCTCTTTATCTTTCTCGGGTTGAGGGTTCGGTCGCCACACTGTACTCCCACGTGTTTGCGCTTTAACTGGCGGGGAATTACCCGATACGCAAAGCGGAGAAATCGAGCATTTGCTTTCGGCACTTCTCGGGTGCAGTCGGTCTGGAGAAAGAGCCCTCCGAAGTAAGGGCGATCCAGGCTCTGCGCCTTTAGGCCTAACGAAGCCCTTTTTCGACTGATTGCATGCTATAGGTGCAGTACCGGCACTAGGGCTATAGGACTGAGTCGTGTTGGAACTTCCCGGCTGATGACCCACTGGGAAAGCCAAAGGGCTTGGAGATCGAGTTGGAGAAGCTGGGAGAGGCGAAGGAGAGGGAGTGCGAGCCAACGGGGACAAAGGTATATGGCCCACAGATTTGCGCCGATTTGGTACAGCAGTAGTACAAGAAGGACTAGCTGCATGAAGGGCTTTAGGGCACGCACTTGAATGTAGTTTGTGTTTCAAGCCGTGAAGAGTTGAAGGGCGCTGGTAGTGTTGCTTGCTGCGATTAGTGGCAGGAGTTACGTTTGGTGAGCTTGTAGATGGCGTTTGTGAGGATGAGCTTGAATCAGAGAGAGTAAGATTTGAACGAGTTACAGTTGTAGGAGTACGAATTGGGCCCGAAGAAAACGAACTGTCTTGACTACGGGGAAATGATTGGAAACTACGACTGGGGGTTACACTTATCGGGGATTGAATTGCTGCAATCTGAAATTAAAAAAATAATAATAAAATTCCGTACTGTAACTCCGCAACCTGTTGCATCTCAACACTAGCTCTTTTGTTGCTGATTTTACGAAATAGTGACGTTTTTCGTCTTTTATCGCTATCCCTCTTTTGTTTTCTTTGTCGGTGTAAGCTCCTCTTAGCTAATTTGCTTTGTCCAGGTTCCCTTTTCCGTCCACCTGTCTTAATTGATGTTTGTTCTAACGGTGTAGCCCTCAAACTGACATGTTCAGACCCGTTCAAAAGCAACTGTAACACTTGAGTATGATAAAGCCCTTGTACAGTTTCACCATTAATGTGAGTAATTAAATCAGCTGGTCTTAAACCGGCCTCAAAAGCCGGACTCCCTTCATCGACGGCCTAAAAAATAAACCACGTAGATACACAAAAACCACAAAACAAATGAAATACCATAACCAAGTGATGCATGGTATATACATCTGTATCGCCGTAATAAACACGTATCGTATGAACGGTAAATCCAAAACCTTTTGGACCGCGTCGAATTATAATCGGAGGTTTCAAGCTCGTTACTAGAGGAGATAACTCCCGACAAGGTGAAGCATCACGTGAACTGGCAGTACTAGAACCACCCCCGCCACTAGGTGAGTGGATATTATGTGTAGGTGCTTGGAATTCATCCGAGGGTATCATGAGTGACAACCCTGAAGTTGACGCACTTTTAACAACCGACCGACTTTTATGCTTGTTTGACAATTGGACACGGCCTAGAGGCGACAATTCGCGATTTTCCGACGACGAGGTCCCCGTTTCTAAACTACTGTGTTCATCTTCAACAGAGATTGAAAATTTAGGTAAAATATCACGAGAGTGGCCGGTTTTACGTCGTCTCTGGATTTGGGGAGAAACATCATCGCTGTCGGTCTGAGACGACTCAGGAGTGCTGATTGTTTTACCAAAATCGAGAGAAATCTGAAATTTCAGGTTTTAAAAATTATTTATATCCTTGATATAAAATGTCACCTTCCGGTGTTCAATTGGGACGACTTCCTGGCGTTCGCGTTCAGGTGTTTGAAGACTGATTGGAGCTCTTGGACGTAATTTGAAGTCGGGGACATCGGGAGTGTCAGGTGTTGTAACAGTTGTGTTTATTTTAATTCCGTCGGAGGAGTTGTCGGGGTCCGAACTTGATAATTTCGATACGTTGGCTTTGCGATACTGAGGGGAACATGAAGAGAATAAACCGAATACAGGCGAGTCGTCCGTATCATCGGTATCGTCCTCAAGTTCGTGGTTGTATCTATCAATGCGGCCTGGAAAACTATCTTTAGAAGAAATTTAAAAAAGTCGGGAAAACCCACTATCAAAATAACTCGTATCTTCGTCATGTTCCAACTGGGGAACAAATTCGGCTTTTTGCCTCAGTAACGAATTCCAATCTAGACCGCTGAAATAGACGTGTTCTTTGACTTCGTGAGCACCACCTGTACCTAATCTATCACGTGGGGAATGTTGCAACAGGGCTGTAATGAGATCTTTTGCTTCTTCCTGAACCGGCCAATCCTCATTATCCGGCCATTCAATATCATCTAGATCTGACAATTAGAAACAAAAATCAAACTACAAAACACATACCTTGAACAGTATGAGCGAAAAGCTCCTCAGGTGTGTCACCAAAGAAAGGGACACAACCTACCAGAAACTCGTAGAGAATAATACCCATCGACCACCAGTCAACAGGCTTGCCATATCCTTGTCTCAATATTACTTCAGGTGCAATGTATTCAGGGGTACCAAAAACTTGTTTGTCGGAAAATTGACGAGCTTCGGTATCGACATACCCCTCATATAAATTTGTGGCCACTAGAAAAAAATTATTTCAATTTTCGTGTAGGAGCAAAAACCATATGACTTACAGGACATTAAGCCCATTTTGCTTAACCCAAAATCGGTTAATTTAATATGTCCGAGTGCCGTAATTAACAAACTAAAAAAAAACAATGAAGCTTAATAAGTTTAATAATTTGTTTTTTACTAACTTATCCGGTTTTAAATCCCTGTGTACTATGCCATAACTGTGTAAATATTCAACAGCGAGAACAGTTTCCGCAAAGTAAAATCTCGCCATATCTGAAGGCAGTGGTCCTATATTTTTAAGTAAACTAGCGCAATCGCCGCCTTCTACATACTCCATGACTAAACATAAATGTTTTCTTGTTTCAAAGCTACAGTACATACTGACAACAAACGGATTATCAGCAAAACTGAGTATATCACGTTCAGCAAAAACCTGCTCGACTTGGTTCCGCAGGATTAGGTTGTTTTTGTTAATTTTTTTCATAGCAAATCTTTGACGGGTCTGTTTATGTTTGACTAAATAAACAGCACCGTAAGCACCGTTTGAGATTAATTTAACAACTTCGAAATCCTGTTCGTTGGGATTAGAGAGGGACTTTTTTGTACTAGGGGTTGAAGTCAAACAAACTGACGAACGGGAAGATTGGTTCGAGGACCAATTACAATCACGGAGTTCTTCCTGAAGCTCGGCTATAGGGTCTCTATTGAGGCCGAGCTTTTGGATTATGTACTGAGGTATATCTGCTTTGATACCTTGCACAACCTTAACTTGGCCTTCCGCGGCCTCTAAAAAATGGTAAAACTCCTCTGGATCAAATTCTAAACATTCTAATAAACGAGCCGGACGCGAAATAATTAGCAGCAACTTTTTTATAAAACCGGTGACTAGATTAGCAGCTTCTTCAGACTTATCTTTTGTCTACAGGAAAAAACGAGTCAAGGATTAAAGAGTTAACAATTTGTTACTTACTTCAGTTAATAGTCTTTCTAGATTTTCCGACATTTCATAGAAATACCGACTTGTGATTAATTTTGACTGTGATTTGTGTAAGCAATCGCGAGCCATTTCCAACACTTGGTGATGAACAAAACGTACTATAGGAAGATAATCACAATCTTCACCAAAATCGAACGTTTTATTTTCTTCGATGTAGTGATTCAGACGTTCCTCCATTTGTTGTGTAGCTTTCGGAAATCTTTCTTTGTATAAAACGTTCATCATGCAAATTTCGTTGTCCATGACAGGAGATCTGCTAGGGCTACTACAATATGTGACATATACAATACAAATCGTGAGAAACAATTGCCAAACCTGAGACTTCTAGATCTTGGTCTGTGTAATGGAGACCGATGACTTATGGGATTCTCCTCATAATTCCCTGCCGATAATGAAGGATTACTTTCATTACTGGAGAAATGATGAGTCAAAATCCTCATATCATCGGACGTAGGTACATGTGGTAATTGATGCAGTCTTTCCTGACTTGAACATTTCGACTAAAACACCTGTCTCAATCATTATCTTCATCCAATCATTTTACTTACCGACATGTTGGAACTACCAGGTGTAGTCCCATAACCCGACGATGGTAATGACGCAACTGACCACCTCCTCCCATCTCCTCGACATCCAGCAACGATTCTAAAAGAAGCGCTACAAAAATTTCAACGAAAACTATTCCAATTATCGCATACCTCTTTATCGGCGCGAAGGGAAAGTTTATAAAACTATTATGTGTCCGGGGACTATCAATAGGACTGCCACATATAGGTGACTGAGATCGTGGTAGTACAGGCGAAGTATTTGCTACAAAACTTAACCGATGAACTGCAGCAGGACGGCTATTTCGACGCCCCACATTCACATCCTTCTAAAAGCAACACTTAACAAAAACACCAAACGACAACGAAAGTACTACCATATTAACCGACAATGAAGGAGCCGATTTACCCAGAGCTGAACTTATTCGGACCAAATTCGAAGGTGTCGACTGATGATCTGGATTAGAAGAGAAGTTTAATATGGTAAAAACAAGATTCACACTATTTGATTGGGGTCACGTGTTGAGAAATTGTATTCATTTCTCGACAGTGAATAATACCATCGTCACAGAAACCCTTCAATTGAAGAATTTTGTTTATTAATAACCAATTTTTTGACCAGCTTGTGTCACACCACTGCTTTAGCAATAATCTTGACCTGAGATCTCATTTTGAACAATATTACTGTGTTATCCAGTCATGTTTACAAACAATGAATACGAAATTGTTTTTATTGACTATTGTTCTACTATTTGAGTGATAAGAGCGGAAATATGAAAAACCATGTTTGTGGTTGCTGTCACAACACAGACGCCAAATTGGTTATCAGGTTTATCAAGGGCCAAAATAGCCAATTTCCAAGGGCGAATTGAATTACGCTTGTTTTGGTTTGAAATAGAAAGAGGAATGTGGTAAACAAGCGCGAGGTGACTCGTATGGGGCGCTGGTTAACCTGGTTGTGCATGCTTGTTGGGGGGTCCGGGGGCTATCGGAGGCCCCTTGGTCCTGTCGTGGGCCTGTCCGACGTCGTCGAAGAGCAAAACTCTGGCGGAGTTTGAACGAGCCCGCGATTTAGCTCCATTGTTGTCCTCCATCTATCACAACCGGATCCAAAAATGAATATCATGAACTCAAATAAAACATTGATTCACACATGGTCACAACACGGTATCTCTACAACGGCACGAGTCGGGGAATTTCGACCAATACGGGCCATCGTCTTGTTTTTACGAATTTTTGGCCCATTCGAGTGACATAAATAAAAATACTTCGTGGATACGTAATCTGACAAAAGACTACAAACAGCTGCAGCGGATGCGCGCGCATACCAAAACTTGCTTTCATTGTGGCTTGCTAAATCCAAGAGTACAACCCTGACATCATTTGGCAAAAATATGACCAAAACTGATGCGTTTTTCATTTGTTTGCCCAAAAATAGTAGTTTTGCATTATCTCAACACACAAAGGACGAATTTTCAACAAAAATGCACCCTGTGACGTCATTTTATTTTTTTTTGACATGCTACACAGTGGACCAAATAAACACTGTCCGACTACAAATAATACTGGCAAAAAGTGTACAAATCTCACATGCATTATCTAATTATCTGTGTCCATGTTTTTGTTTAATTTGTTTTTTAATTGGCCATCAGTAAATCAAGATTATGACATAAGCACTAAAACAATAAATAAATCATCACTTACCTTACCGATAAGCAAACGAATTCGATAAAAAAACTAAGATTTGTGTGTGATACAATTTTTAATTTTATTTTAATATTCACCTTTGACAACCGAATTGAAATCCCTTAAATTTGAATTTACAAAAAGCGCCATTCCCTTATATTGCATGTCACTGCTCCACTATTTAAATTAATGATCCCAAAAGAATTGTTGCATGTTGTAGTAGTTATTTATATCTTCTTACCTGCCGTATTTACTCATTATTTTTTAATGTTAATTCCTGATAAGCCTGATGGCGTATTGTTGGTTGCCTACCCAGCACTTCGCTTAAAAAGACAATGTTTGTAATAAAATATTGTGTTATAATTATCAGCGAATAAAATTCTGTAACATCATATTTTTCTTCAATTTTAAAATCATTCAGGGTCGTATTCGTGTTTTTGCAAGATTCTGCACCGGCAAAATGAACAATCAATTCTCAGAAGTAGTGGTCATAACTACAACCATCCAGTGGCGTAACAAATTTATAGTTTAGGGAAATTTGTATGTACGCAGGTAGGTACTTGTAAGTCCCTTCCAGTGAATTGGAAAATTCTGTTGTTGACCTTTAAATGTTATAGTACTTATAGTTATTTGTAGTACAAGGGAGGAAAAGATACATTTTCATCTCTAGTACAGATGGAAGTTACTGCCCGAGGTTTGTCTACTACCTAACAGTAGTAACCATCAAGAGACGAAAAGACACTTTTCTCCAGTGTATACATAAAATTTTTCCTACGACTCGGAAACAAAAACTAACCATTTCTCTCAGTGGCGTAACTACCCGCCCGCCTAAGCCCGCGGCCGCGGGGGGCCCTTGGGATAAAAGGCCCTTTCCAAATTAAAAATAATATTAATAATAGTAATAGTTTAAAAAAAATTAGAGCGACTACATGAATTATTATAGGCCAATGCAATAAAAAATAAAAAACTGCAGAATATTCTCTTCTTCAGTGTAGAGCCAGGCGCGATACGCCGAGGCCGAACGCTGAGGAAGACAAAACATTTCGAGGAACTGGAAAGAAATTGTGTTATAATTTATTTCAGTTCGCACCATATTATCAGCTGTTAATAATGCTATTTCCCGCGTCAATTTTAAGTTCGAACAAGCATTTCTGATCGTGCTGTAATCTGTGAAAACTACTTGTTTTAGACTTTAAGTAAGTCAGTAAGTCTTATCTTTTATACAGTTGCGGAATTAAAATTTCGGGCAGTATTTATCTGTCACTGTAAAATGTTCATTGACAATTATAAACTTTTCTGTCGGTGACGCAGTCAGTTTGAATTTTTCGCAAAACCAAAAATAAAGTTACTCTTTTCAATAAAGTACACTGAAAAAGGAATGTCTTAGAGACAGATTGCCGAAAAAAAATCATCATTTTGATGACATAAACATGACAAGAGTAAACATGTATTTTTATGACGTCAAAATTAATCTAAAAAAATATGAAAAAAGCAAAAGCACTTATTGGTAGTGCTTAAAGAATACGAAAAGAATAAGAGAAGAAGTTCGTCGTTTGGCATCACTTGTGAAAAATTTGTATATTCGTATTCGTATTTGCAGAATTTTTAATACTAGAGACTACTAGAGACATAAATGCTCTTTTACTCTATTTAACTCCCGAACCGGAGAAGAGAGGGGCACCACAGTGGTCTTTCGCAGGGGGGTCCAAATTTTCTAGTTACGCCACTGATTTCTCTTGATATCCCAGTATCGCCCTTAAATCTAGCAGCAACTTTTCTCGTTTCTATGGGAGAAGTAAAATTTTTACCCCTCTGAGGGGTAATTGGCCACTTTCCTTTCTGAAAGTAGGGTGAAAAAACTTACTTTCTCTAAGAATCGCTGAAAAAATATTTAAAAATTTGTACACAAAAGTAATAAATACTAACCTACGTCACCACCTGCATAGTGGTTGTCTCTGAAATGAAATATATTTTTCTTGTGGATGTAACTTCTAATGCTCATGTTTTTAAAGTATATTTTTATTGGTTTTTGAAATATGTACATAATTTATTGTTGAAAATAAGCTCCTTTAAAAATTTAACACACGAAAATTAAAAATAGGTTGTACTACGAATAGAAAAATGAAATTTTCACTAGGTAGGTACTTTAAAACAGAAAGTACAAATTTTAAGGCTGCATTTTTTTACATATTGCAACCACAATATAAAAAATTAAGAAGTTTTGTAAAAGTAAAATAACACGTATTGTTATAATAAACATTTTGCCTAATTCTGTCCTGATATGCAAAACTCCCGCAAATGTCAAAACCGCTGAGCTTAGGCTTCTAATAGTAGCATGCTTCTTATACGTATATGTATAATGCGAGATATGAGAATATGCAATTATTACAACTCTAGATTGATTTTATTGCCTTTTTGCTTAGTAAATGAGTAGGTCTCAATGTCAGTTAAAGGAAACCAGTAATAACTGTTTTTTTTTAATTGGTTTATGGGGTTTTTGCTTTGTAATGCAGAATTGTATACAAAACCTGAATGTTTAAGTACCTACCTAAGTTGCTGATGTTAAGAAAATTTTTTACATATTCTAGGTATTCGCAAACTCACGTAATCTATTAAGTAACATATTAAATGTATCCTGTATCAAGTTTGTCAACGTTCAATCGAGTTCTCGGAACATTTTACATGCGTTTAGTAGAGAGCTTCTGCTGTGTTTATTATATCTGCATTATACGATTTTTAATGTCATGGGAGTGGTAAATCTGGGTAATTTCCACGAACCAACCTGCTTGTTTGAAATTGCGGAAATGGCTGTAATTATAGTTTATCAGTCCAAAAATGTTTTAATGAAATATTTGTTTAAGGAGTGTATAATGAGTAACAAAAATTGAATCCTCATTAGGTGTAATGTGTTGTGAATTTTGATTGTTCGTTTCAATTCAAATTATAAAGGTCTCTAAATCATGCGTCATACACGTGGTCATTTTTAGCAATTTGACTTTGAAAAGGATCGCATTATTAGTTTGCGCGAAAGAAATTTATCAATTAGGGAAATTACCGGCCACTAGTGCTAATAGCAACTTATCAAACAATTCTTTCAAAGAATTTTCGTTATAATTCTACCACTGTCTGGAAAAGATCACTCGTGCAAATTGATTCAATTTATGCAAATCGCTGATCGTTTGTGCACGTGCATAGTTTTAATGCAATTTTATAGAAAAAGAGTGCGGGAAATTGTCGAGGTGGCACATCGGCGTCTTTTGTTTATCTTCACCCGTAATAAAGTCAATTGAATAATGGTCGTATTTTCACTTCTATTTATAACAGAAGAAGCTGTACAATTTGATTTGGTACAAAAATAGTTTTGTTTGTCCCAAATGTTCTCAAATCAATTTCCCACACTCATAGAAAAGATGAATTGGCCTTGCAGAATAAAACTTACTGTAATTATATACCTATTAACAAGATATAAAGTCGTAGGAATTTTTTCAGGACCGAATTAAGGACAATTTAGTCACGAACAAAAAACAATTCGATTTTTTATTGATTGAGAATAATTATAACAGTGAAAAAATTTAATTACAACTTTTTCAAAAATGGTGCATTCAATTGAACAATTAATTTCTTTAAAGATTGTATCTTGTTAATGAAGCCTATCAGCCTTGCACACGAGGTCTTATATTTAGTAAAATCTCCAATTGCGCCTTTATTTTCTTTATTATATTAGGGTTAATATAATCGTATTAACATTTTAAAAATAGATCGTGTGGAATATTAGTCTAAATAAATAAACTTAAGGTCAATCTATTGTTACTTCCTCATGTTAAGTTGATTTATTATTTTTAGGGGATAATACAGCGCGATTTGGCTTATTATTCAAAGTTCATTTCAATAAAGCGTCCTTCAGTTTAGAATGCTAATTTATAATCTTTCCCATCATATTAAATCCGAGCTTTGTGTTACTTACCTGGAATTTGCAAAATTTCGGTCATTCACCTTCCCTTAAATCAGATTTTTTCATTGTGAAAATGTCATGGCATATTCATAATTTCCGGAAACGTTATGATTGATTGAAAATATGCCCTCACTTGTCGTACAAATGTCAATGTCCAGTTCAATAAAACGCTACATTTTTTTCAAATGTTTTATTTTCACACAATTATTTATCAAATATATTTCAGCTCGACTTAATCACAGCAAATGCTTTATAATACATGTAACACATTTATGTACATATATCATTACATTATGCGTATGCAGAATTTGGAGTTTCGCATTTTCAAAACTTCAATTCCTATAAGACACAAACTGGTATCGAATTAATTCGTTTGTTCTACTTTTGGCAATTTTGAGTGCTTGGAGGTATCTAAGTAATAGTCTATAAAAATGTACGTCATGAGTTTCGCTATTTAACTAAATAAATAAAACTACATATGGTTTCATCACTGAGAGAAAAACGGACCCTAAAACCTGGTGTGATTAAATAATCTGGATTTGGGCATATTGTACATATCACAAAAATTTGAATACATGATAAATCAGTACAATAAATAAATAAATAAATCACTCAAGTTTTCGGTTCATGTGATAAAAATCTGAACCTAAGAAACATTATCTTTTGCACTTGATGCCCAAATCCGTATTTACAATCGATCGGTCTTAAAGATATGACTTAGATATCACATTTTAAAAGAATAGGAAGAAACAAGTAAAGAAGAAAAATCGCCACTATTCAAGCACAATCAAGACACCGATTCAGAAAATTCAAATTAATTAAAATTAATTACTTGTACTACTTAGTGTCAACGTAGGCACTTTTGTCGTTTGCTTAGTCGAAATCACTACACTAAAAATAATACTAATTAGCAAGCCGACAAATAAGTCTTTTTCTCAGGAAGCATAACGGCCAGTGCGACGATTTCGTGACTTAATTATTACACAATTGTCATTCACTCACATTTATCTTGCACTCTTCGCACGTCGAGGGATGCTCCTCAGCTCGGTGTATCGCGCCCTTGAAGGTCTTGATTTCCTTGCATCAGTTTGCTGCTGGTTCCGGCGTTTGTAGATGCACACTCTGTGTAAAAAAAATTGGTAAATTATGGCTTCGCCAATGACAAACTCTGTGATGCATGTGATTTTTGTAATTCGAGACCAGTAATTATGTTATTAAGCTGTTAACGGGACAGACAGAAGGTGGGTTGATTGTGGGAGTAGAACAATAAAATTTGACGCCTGATGTCGCTGACATCGAGAAAAATCATGCGGTAAAAGGATTATTTGTGTCTATATTCGCATGAAATTTCAAGGGCACCAATTAATTTTAACTGTTAGTTTATATGCTTCATGCAAGACTACTTCTGTTATGTAAGAATTTTATTTTATTTGTAACACAAAAAGTGCATTGTTATTGGACAAAGGAAAAGGATGCGGGATTGTTTTTATTGTATTAATTATAAAATCTTCTTTTTATTAAATATTACAACTACATCAGTCTACTTCATGCGCAGATTCTCGACAGTCGGTTAATTAAAATAACAAACAAAAATTGCACAAAGTTACATGTCGATTTCTATATTTGGTCTTTCCTACCCTACTAAGTAAATTTCATTATATAACGAGGAACTCAGCATAATACTTTAAAATATCAAAACTAAAATAAATAAAAATCGAGATTTTGTACCCTGAGCTAAGCAAAGTCTCTAACTACTGGTACGAATACAAACAACAATCACATTAAACATCACGAGATTTGAAGAACCCCTAGAAAATCAAAAATCCTGCAACAAAACACAAAATTAGGTCCAGATTTTCGACAGAGGTCATCGACCTTACCTCACCCTATAAATCCTGCCGTTAAAGATATCATTAACGCTATCAAAACAGCGGAAATTTGACTAAAACTCGATGAAGATTGCACATCTTCCGACGCCTGGTACACAGGTTTTGGTGTTGGCGGTGGCGGATCCTCCACGGTGAGCTTATCTGAGTACCGGTACAACAAATCCATAATAATTCCATTCGTCCAGCCAAACCCTAACTGTGTTTCGTACTCGCCGCCTCCGCCGTGCCCCCCCGGTACTGTCGCATCGTACTACAACCCCAAAAATGAACCTTTGAAAAAAACACACTGAGGACAAACCTTTTCAAACATGGCGTCGGTCTCTTTGAACGCTTTGTAATTAGAACGCACCCACTTTTCGGCGATTTCAAAAGCTAGTCTTTGTGCGACGACATCGCCCGTGTTGTTCAATCCAATAATCATAATGTGTTGCAATGGCGGCCAGGCATTGGGGTAGTCCCATTGCTCACCCGTGTGTTCCACCGTCGTGGGGATACCACCAGGGTATAAGATATTTTTATTTTGCAAATACTTCAAGACTAGACGCACGATTTTGCTTTTATCAGTTTGGTTGTAACAGCCAGTCCAAAGTGGTGCAACATTTGTCGGATAAAAATAATCGCGTTTCACTGAATTTGACAAGTCATAGTCCAACCAAGTACCAACTTCTTCGTGCCATAGAACAGCAGTCACGGCCTCCATCCACTCTTTCGCAATTTTGTTGTAATATTGGACTTTGGCCGGTTTGTCGAGAAGAGTATTGAATTCGGATAAAATGACTGCGTTCCAGTAGATCATCGCGTTCAAGTCCACTGGGACTATAGACCGGATTTTAGTATTGGTTAAATTCCCTGGAAAAGAAAATGCAACAAACAATCAAAATGAGAAAAAAACGCACCTTTATTAGTCGCATTTTTAATAAACCAGCGACTTGAAAAATCCCAACCGGATTCAGCCGCGGCTTTCAATTCCGCATAAAAACTTTCCTTCTTGTCGTTATCGTCGAAAATAGCAGCACCTTCCACGTCCTCCGAATAAGATTCGGGCCGAGGCCCTTTCGACCGGTCGCCATAGGTGGCAAGAGTGTAATTCTTGCCATCGAGAGTGACAGTTTTGTTGTGTTTGGTTATCCAATACTCGAATTCTTTCTCCATTGTTGCGATATTTTCTTTAATGAAGTGAGTATCATTCGTGAAGTCCAAATACGACTTGATCATTGGTACCATTAACGGAGGCTGAGATCTTTGTAAATAGTAAATTCGTCCCCCGTTGGGGATGTGTCCATATCTGTCAACGATGTAGAGAAAATTCTCAAGCATTCCTCTAACCGTGCCATACATTTCCGATAAGAGGAGTCCTTGTACGATCCAGTACGAGTCCCAGTAGTAGAACTCCCGGAAGCGTCCTCCTGGTACTATCACAGGGTGTGGAACCCAAATAATACTGTACAATGATTGATTCAGTTCGACTTCCTTTTTCATTTTCCGCCCCAAGTCCTTCCAGACTAAGTTCAGCGATAATGCCCATTGTTTAAACTCGTCGTCTTGGATCCCGTCGACGAATTTTGGATGTTTGATCCAGTCTTCGGGGTCCCACTCTTCGAACTCTTGGCCTGCCGGTTCAAAGTTATCATTGACGAAAGCTCGCGTGGCGTTTTTGGACGGTTTATTGTTGTTTATCACCATGAATTCATTGAATTTGATCAGTGTAATATTTGGTTCAAAACGCATTTTCATGTCGACAAAGGTTTTGGAATCTTCGTAGATTTTCTCCATTTGAATTGTGTGAAGTAAAGGGCCGTAACAGTAGATATCGCTGGAAAATTTCGCATTTAGAGCCAACCTGGCCGATTTTTTTAAACTTGCATTGTGCCTAATTTTGTTCTACTATGCAAGATTATAAGGGAAATGCTTGGACAAGGTCTACTGTCAAGGAGAGAATCAGTGCGGAAGGGCAGTTGCAAGGTGAGACCAACTTACCTGTTGCATGGTGGGGATAGAGTATCATCACAGATGCAACTTAGGGCCAGACTGAGCACAAACGCACAATACACTACTAATTTCTTCATGTCTGTTATTTTATTTGTACTATAAAATTTTCAAATTCAACACTAAACCCGGTTAGTGGTCACACAACACCAGTAGCTTTGATTTCTTCAAAATCACTCTTACTTTCTTGTGTAAGTTCTTGAAGGTAATTTATTTTTCAATCGATGGATTCTAGCTGCTCTCTTAACAACTGACTCTTCCGGATCATTCCTGTGAATATAAAATATTTTTTTGCCAAACACCAATTTTACGACATCTCGCGCGATGACTTAAATATACAACCGCAACATGCGTGAACAACCGACCAACTCACTCAAATGTTCAACTGCTCAGCAGGTGATGCTTATACAAGCATGACGTGCACATACGTCAGCGACGTGCCCCCACATTCTTGACGCTGATTCGTCCAAATAGACACACCTACCACAATCACGTGGTCGGACAATCACTAAATTTTAGATTAAGTAACTTTGCACCCTTTGAAATAATTGCGAAACTCTGAACTTTGAGAAAAGATGCAACTTTAGATTGCAACCCGATAAACATCCGTTACGATTTATCTAAGGTACAGGTACATAATTCAAGGACACGTGACGTCAAAACCGGCAGTTACGTCACAAATACAAGAACTACGTCATTCTTAAAAAATTCTGAGATGGCCGAGCTAAAAATACAAATTACACAACTGTCTTCTGGGAGACATGATTTGCGCTTCTGCATGAAACAAGTCTATAAAAATCGACGTAATCAACTTCTGGACGATTTTATCTTACAAATTATGACGACAATTAAAAAATTATTTAAAACAAGAGCTGCACAAACCAAAAAATACAAAAGTACGAATTTTGACTATTCAGTTTTGTTACCATAAAAATATGTCACTATGCAAACATATCACTCAACTTTTAAGTACACTTCCATTTAGCAACTTGAATTCTTACAATAATAATTAAAAGATCTTACCTGAAACTCCAAAGATAACATTTAATAAATACCACAGTAACACCAATAAATTTCTCGTTTGTGGTGACTTTTGCTTATTTACACAAATGTAAATCGGTGCATATATTTTATTTAACTGTTGGAATATTGTGATAAAAAAAGTTTCTTAATTTAACTTCTTTTAATATTATCAAAAATAATTTTAAAAAATATAACGCACAATATTTTTTTTTTGCAATTGCAATACTTATTCGACCCCTTTTTAGAAAGACATATTAAGTTCTTAAAATCACTTGAACTTAAAGTCCATTACGTCTTTACTTCAGTTGTAATGTCAAAAATACCTCAAATATTTTATTACTTACCATATTTTGTTTTTTGACTTCTTAAATTAATGCCAAATTAAACTATTTCAGTAAATAGAGTTTCATAATTATAAGACAAAATACATATTCAAAATTCAACAACTTGAAACATTTTGCAAATAACAACTTCGAAGATGCACTACTTATTTTACACTTTTTATTCTACCATATATTACCACTTTCGTAATCAGAGCCTCTATTATCAGAGTTTCGCATCAATTGAGCCAACTATCTTTTTAAAAGATTATTCGCGAGATTATTCGAGATTGGTTCGAAATTTATCTATTTTATCCAAATAATGGCTATATCCGAATTTTTGTTTATCAGAGGCAGATGTCATGTCGCCCCAATTACCTCGAAAAACATGGGCTCTGAGTACTGTACATATGTATATAAAAAAAAATATTGTTAAAACTAATAATAATAATTAATAAACTTAATAAGTTTATAGTATAGTGTTTTTGATGATGCATCAGAGCTTTAAAATGGTAATATAAAATATTAAAATCGGCAAGAATTTAGAGAAGAAATCAAAACCTGCTACATAAGATATCCAAAAAATATATTGCTTTCAAAAGATGTACTTTGATGTATAATTTACTAAACTTTGTTTTGTGCACCCTTTCAAAATTAGAAAAATTATTAATTACTACTTTACAGAAGTATTGCGTTTGGTCGGAGCGTCCAAAATACCCAAAAATGACAAATAAACAAATAAATAACCATTGATTTTAGTAGAGTATACAATAATATGTATGTTATAATAAAAAAATCAGCTCCTTTGTCGTTAATTTTTTTCAGTATTGTTACTTTAAAGAAATATTTACGTTTTAAAACACAACAAACATGTAACTAAAAAATAAATAAAATTTACAGAATTATTGTGTTCTTTGCAATTGGTCAAAAATTCAATAAAATAAATGAAGACTTGATTTTTTTTTCAGATCACTTTATTGCGTTTCCGGATTTTTCGGAAGACTCTGTATTAAAATGCGGTTTTGGGGTCCCTGGTCTATCAAAATTTAAATAAATTCACAGAAGTATTTGAAAACAATTCGTCGCCTTGAGGCTTTGATAAAGTGCAACTACAAAGGCGCTGATAGAAATCTGAAGGTAAGTGCGTGAGGAGTCTGCAAAATCGAAAGAGTTTTAGGAATATTTCAAGGTTTATAACTCTTCCTATAATTAATAAATATCAGTACGTAGTGGAACGCCTTGACAGAAAGGGGGTCAAAATAGATTTCCCCAAAAAATGTGGAATTTTGCAAAATGTTCGTGTCAGTAAACTTGATTCACTTTTCAAGGATTCGATGTATTGTAAAGAGAAGGTCAACAATAATGTTTATATGAACTAATCAGAACAAATAGAAAAAGTTCGTGTGAAAAAAACAGTGTTTGAAGTTATTTAGCTTGACAAATATAGTTATTGTTAGGTAAAAATTCATGGAGAGTGCACGTGATTGCAAACAATGTCTTTTCGAGCGTTTAATTAAATAAATTATATCGTTTTAATCGGATGATCACGAAAAAATCAGGTCGGGTCAGATTTTTGCGTGAGCGAAATTAGTGTAATTAATCGTACTTGTAATAATTTCGAAAAATTTAAGGCAACTTTGTAACCAGTTTGGTGCGGTTATGTGAACTGATTTTCTAAGAGACATTTCAATTGGGAAAACTCGAAATTCCTTCTTGAATACAACTAATCATTTTTCCTTAACAAATCATTAATTCGTTGGAAACTTATCGTAAAGATCATTGAACTACAAATTAGTTGTGAATGAATTTTCTCGTTTTAGACGCTAATTTGCACATTGAATCCCCAATACGGCATAATTTTCGCATTCAGAAAATTTCCGTTCTTTCATCTAACTTGATAAATAGAAGCAGCGGTCTTTACTGTCCAATTCTGATGAAATCGATAAATATATTGCAGCATTACTGCATTTTAAATCACTTTTATAAACACAACAAACAAGATTCGCAAAAAAAATACAAAACTTACTTTTTTATCACAGGCCCACTAATAAGTACAAAGTAATAAACTGAAACAATAGCAAGGTCTCACTATAAAAGACATATCGTACAAATTGTAAATTAGCGATAACTGAAAATTTTATTTTTCGTGAAACCGAAGGTAACCAATAAGATAAGCAAATGCCGTAATCTTTTAGACTGTTCAAATATCAATCAAACGACGAATTTTTTCAAGAGAGTGGAAAAACTCAATTATGGAAAATTACAATAATTACTTTAATTCTACCGATAACCTCTTGCTAATAGCAAACCAAAGTGCCCTTCACAGTGTCTTTCACTGCGATAAATCGTGTCACGAAAATTCGGGAAGAAAATTTAAGTATGCACTTGTCGTCGATGGGGGTCAAGTCTGGTGAACTTGGAGGTTACCCTATAGGAAATATTCGTCCCGAATTGAATCAAACTTCCTGTATGCAAAAGTAATCGACTAATCGGCCACGTGCAGCGATAAAAGCAACGTTTTAATGAATATTGTAGATGTGTAGCATAATTATGAGATTATTTTGGCTGCTGTCATCGGAACAGCTATTTTTGACATCTGAGAGACGAAAATTACCTTAATAACAATTTAATTTCACAAAATATTAGTCGAAATTCACACCTGGTTCAAATTTGGCACCGATTCTAGCCCCAATTAATTCTAATTCACGTGGCACGTGGCGAATTTTTTTCAAAAAATAATTAAAACCACAGGTGCGTCAGCTAATAATAATAATTTGTGGAAATAATCGTTTTTTACAGCATTTTAGCCAGTCACGATTACTTCTAATGCATTTGACGCGAAGACGGATATATTTTCGAAAAACTAGTTACATTCATCACAAGATGAATCAGCTAATTTTACAAAATAAAAAATTTATAGCCCGTAATTAATTTGATTACTTCGTAGTAAATGATTGTAATTGATTTTGAAAAGTATCAAATATGCATCTGCCAGTGTCAGTCTACTAGATTGATCTTGACCTTATACTTGTTTATTTACATTTATTAATAATAAGTTGAAATCTGAGCTTCCGGCCAAAAAAATTGTAATCTTCCTTATTTATTTACATTGTGTTTACATGTAATTGTCAACCGCAAATCATTGGGGACATTATTAAAAAAAAAGCTGACTCACAATGCCGGGAATAAAACATTTGAAGTAATTATTCGCAGACGACCGCAGAAATTTTTGCGCAATTCTATTATTTATTACAATTAATTAAAAATAAATCGGGACAATTAAACAGAAATTTGAGTGCACCTGTTATCTGAAATAATGATGAACTTAATTAGCATAAAATAACAAGTTGTTGTGATAAAAGTGATCAAGGGTTGTCGATAGTGGACTTTGTCCGATCTCGGTAATTCCACAAATACAAAGGTATCAGGCAAGTCAAGTCAAGGTCTGCGACATTTGGGACAGAATTAATTAATGTAATTAAAAAATCGACCGCGTAAAAACTAATGTTGGTCTTCAACGAGTACGTACTAGTTGATTCTGGTGTGAAGTACTTTGGTAATAAAATTAAATATGTAATTGTCTGAAATGTGCAATAAGTTAGGTTTATGAGAATTGTGGACAAAGAAAGTTTTAACATCTTCAAAACAGTTTATTTACTCGTGAAGTTTGGACTTAAACAAAAGAGAATTAATCTTTGTCAAACACTGCAATGATAACAGGATTTACTACTTTGGAAAATCGTCATGAGGTTGTTTTTAACTATACACCTTGCTAGATAAAAGAAAATGTATCAAAATCAATCATCGATTTAAATAAATGATTTGGGCTATATAAATATTTACGAGACTAACCAATGTCGAAGAATTTCATCGATTTGCTAAGTAAAAGCCAAACAGTCATTTGCATAGTTTTGTTACACCAGGTGTGAACAATTTGAAGAATTCCAATCTTGCGAATAATCTTCAAGTGATATATGTGCAAAAATTACGCAATTGCCCTGATAATAGAAAAATGAGAGCATTTCCCGTGCTCCGCAAAAATTTCGTCCAAATTATACAGTAAACAAGGTCATTTGTACTGTATAGTTACTTCCTCAAGGACTGTTAAAAACTTATTAAACGATTTGCACCAATGAACGATATTCCAGTTATTTAACAAAATTGCGCAATTACAACGATTTGTTGTGGTTAGTTTGTTGGATGTTTAAATCCAAAAAGCCGAAAAAAAGTAACAAAAGAGTACAGTCTACTGCAAAAGAAAGGACGCGACCTCAAATCTCAGACGGGCCAGAATTGTGACACTTCCCCCCACCCAATCTCACTCTCCTTCGTGTAGATAAATAAAAATATTAGAAAATTGTGTTACACCAACCACAAAATTATTTGCGGTGTCAACACGTGACCCGCCAAATGTCAAAATGTTGATGCCGAGGCCAAAGTGGATATATTTCGGGTAATTGTCACACTCCCGATGTTTTTATTAAATTTTGACTCCGAAATTTTTGCTCATTATACAATTAAAACCAGTCCAACAAAATACGGGAAAACCAAACCAACACCGCTTTAAAAGGCAAATAAGGTGTGATCAAATTTAAAATCAAAAACAAGTTGCTCGTTAGATAACAAGTGAACGCTGCTAGGGTTTCCATGACATGAACTAAATTATATTCCCAGAAAATTTTCTACTGTTATTAACATGACGTCAATAATTCGATTTTATTTACGACATCAAAACAGATTTGCAACTCTCCAAACCATAATCGTGAAGTTTTTTTGTATACGAGACACCACAAATTGCACCCATGATTTATTTATAATAACCGCTCCTTTCTAATAACAATGAAGCGATTTTGGCAAATGTCCAACTTTCACATAAAATATAGCTAAAATACGAGACCCTGGCCCTGACAAAGCTTCGATTACATTTTTATGGTCAATGTCAATGATTACCAAAATGTTAATGGTATATTTTATTTAATTGTTACGCCATCTCTTTACGCTAACGTGAAACTTATTTGCAAAATTTCACCATGGTTATGTAACACATTATACACGTGCGTGGGTGCAAATTGAAAATTTTACAAAATTGCATCATCTGCGGGGGTAACGACCGCAGTTCCAACTGCTACCCTTTAGAAAAAAATCTAACTGTATTACGACTTGATTAAACATACAAGTGCGCGTGCATCGGGTCATTCGCACAAATTTATCATTAATTTAGTTGAGGTAATAATATGATTGCAAAAAATAATTGTCTTTTCCTCGGTCCAGAAGTTTAAATGAGATAATTGCCTCATCCGGAGCCTAAAGGGTTGCATGTATCTCATCACGTAGTGTTCTGAGCGCAACATTGCGACGGATTTCGGTAACCTGTTTTTTATGCAACAAGTGCAATTTTCTGATTTCCTACCTTGTGCTGAATTGCAAATATTTTGGAACTTCACACTCACCAACACGATTTTTTTAATGAAACGGTTTACACACAAGTGGTCCATTATATCGCATTTTGTTTACTTGGAATAGCCATTATTACACGTGCTGACCACACACCTTACCTTAAAACCTGCACGTCTTATAAACAACTCGTGTTTGTATTAATTGGATTATTCCATTGTAAATGCGATTTTTCAGTTTTTGGAGGGAACCTTGAGGAGGGTAATTTACCTCCAAATTACAGTTTATATTGAAAATGCCAAGAAGAGATGAATAGGTAAACGAATTGCGAAACAAAACCTAAATTTGTCTCCACTTACCGTTGCCAAATAATTCCGAAGCGCACACATGCGGCTGTGTCGATTGAAATAATAAATTTGAAAAGAGATCAAAATTAAATAGTTTCTCTCGGTTTTGATAATGTAACAATTATCAAGTCAAGTGCATGGTTAACAAGTGTAAATCAAGGCTAGTATCCTAGTTGAATTAGTAATCTCAACCTTTCAGATTTTTTCATTCCAATGGGAGCAAAATTTTGCATTTGAACAAAGAGATGAAACGGAAGTGACGTCAACGCACGAGCTTTTTCAGGATTCGTTACATTTTCTCAGATTTTTGATCGACATTTATGTGGGTTATATAAACTCAGTCAGGTGATTTTTCTTACAGAGAAAATGTTACGGAAAAATTACATAGGTAAGTTGTAGACTGGCACAGTTCGGTGACTGTTTTAATACAGTAAGTAAATAATAGAAAATTACTTACCAAAACGAATACCTCTTCAATTTTTGGAAAAACTTTGTTTTTGATCTTGTTATGTATCCACGGGCATGATGAAATCTGTAGTGCGTGCACTGCTTTCTTATAAATAGACACATGAGGGGCGACGTTTAATACAGTAAATTACAGACCTGTTGTCTCATCAGTGATAAAACAATGAATTTTGGAGGGTACACTCACACCAGCAGTCGATTTATCTTCCAGCAGTGAGAGTTGAATATGTTAAATTTAGCCGCGTTCAGCAAGTCAGTCCAGCCAACATAACGAAACGAATGCAATTTCTAGAACCCTGCACTGCCTAAGGATAATTCTAGAAGCCTAATTAGAGCAAATTCAATCAAAACTATCCAAAACCGCGTTAAATTACTAAAATTAAGCTAAAATACGGAATTTTCATGTTGTGTAATGCAACTTGACTTTGACAATGACAGAAATGTCAAACCCAAAATTTGCCACTTACGCACAGTCACCACACTACTAAACTAGCGAAAATTTTGCTAAAATTCTGCACTACTCGGTTTTTTGACTTGCCTTCGGTCATTTTGTGGGGAATTTAACCTCAAATCTTACGTCATGTGCAGCGCTCACATGAGTGCAAGCACATGTCATCTATCAGTGCTACAACCCTGGCGAAAGGGTCAAAAATCCCAAGTCAGCAATTCAGAAATAAGTTTTATTAAAATTTCAATGGAATGTATACAACCCATGTCCATTTACAAACATGATAAAATTACAACTTCATTGCTTCTTGCACGTATTTAATGATGTGTTTGCTGTTAAGGCCGTAGTAGTCCAAAAGGGCGGTGGGGCTGCCGGAACGGGGAACTTTAGGCACAGCTACGTGTTTCACAGCGATGTTGCGCTCTTCAGCGACGGCCGCAATAACGGCTTCGCCGATACCACCCTCGTAGTAGTGGTCTTCAACGACGAGGATTCTTCCACCGCATTCTTTTGCGTTTTTAATTATACCTTCTTTGTCGATTGGCTTGACAGTGAAGAGATCCAAAACGCGGACACCAACACCGGCTTTAGCCAATTCGTTAGCGGCCGAAATGGCCTCCTGGAGAGTCACGCCTCCGCCAATAACCAGGAGTTGGTCATTGTTGGACTTTTTGACGACGTTTGCTTTGCCAACCTACACGAAATGATTATAGTATGGCACAAACCGCAATTTCGAAAATGCTATACCTGGAATACATGGTTGTTGGGATAAATGACAGCAGTGGTCGGTCTGTTGGTTCTGATGAAAGTGACTCCTTTTGTATTTGCAGCCAATTCGACCGCACGTTCAGTCGAAACAGCATCAGCAGGGTAGAACACAGTACTTCCAGGGATAGTACGGAACATAGCTATATCTTCCAAACCCATCTGACTTGGGCCATCTTCACCTATACTGACACCACAATGAGAACCGCAGAAATTAACATTGGTCTGGGAAATAGCACCCATACGAATCTACAACTCATTATTAGAAAAGCCAATATGCAGAAGAAATTAAATACCTGATCATAAGCACGTGTTAAGAAAGTAGCAAAAGTGGAAACAAAGGCAACTGTGCGGTCACGACAAGTAGCACCAATAGCAACTCCAACAAGATTCTGCTCGGCTATAAAACATTCGATGTATCTTGTGGGGTCAAACTTTTTAAGGGCTTCTGAATATGTCGAATTTTTCATATCGCCATCAAGGGCAATAACTCGGGGATTGCTTTGTGCGAGCTTGACCAAAGCAGTACCGTAGGCTACTCTAGTTGCAATACTATCGCCCATTTTGTAAGATGGAGGCGATGATAATTTAATATTGCTGATGTCAACAACGGGAGCATCATCAGTGAGAGGCTTTTGTGGATGGATTTGCAAAGGCCCTGAATTTTTAACAAGAGATTTGAGATGTTGGAGGACACGATCGGCTTGGTCTCCCAAAGGTTTCCCGTGCCAGTTTTCCAAATCTTCAATTTTGGGGAAATTCTTCCCTTTGAAAGTTTTCGCAATGATAGCAGTAGGTTTCCCCTTGGTGTTACACCCCACGTGAAATGCTTTCACCAGCTCTTCAACATCGTGTCCATCAACTGCCACAACATTGAAACCGAACGCTTCCAACCGTTTCCTGTAAGTGTCAATATCATGACCCAGAGAAGTGGGTTCCGACTGCCCAAGACGGTTAACATCGAAAATAACGCAAAGATTATCAAGTTTGTAGTAAGTGGCAAAATGAAGCGATTCCCAAATTGAACCTTCAGCGCTTTCTCCATCCCCAACAAGGCAATACACCCTGAAACCCCGAATGTTTAATAACACTACATTTTGAGCAATAACCACGTTCCCGTCTTACCTATAACTGGCCTTGTCGAAATTTTTACCAACGTAGGCCATCCCGCAAGCAATGGACAGCCCTTGGCCCAGAGATCCTGTACCTACATCGATGAAATTCAAGCGAGGAGTTGGATGACCTTCGAGGTCCGATCCCAATTTCCTCAAATTTTGTAAATCAGCAACGGGGAAAAGACCCGCCTCAGCCCAAGCTGCGTACAACGCTGGAGCGGCATGACCTTTAGAAAGGACAAAGCGGTCACTCGAGGAGTCTTTGGGTGCTGATATTTTGTATCGCATAGTGTTGAAAAAGAGGACCGATAAAATTTCGGCGATTGACGAACATGATGTCGGATGCCTGCGAAAATTATTATTATTGATAGAAGCTCGGAAAATGTTTTTTTTTTTAATGACGAACACAAAACTAGTCGGGATTACTTTGGGAAATTCGATAGGGTTTACATACGATAAGCTTATCTATGATTGTGTGTAAACATATGTAAATGATTTAACCGCCAAAGCGACAAAAAAACGATTGTAATGCAGTAATGAAAATACTCGATTTCCTCCATTAGATAAGCTTTATAAATACATGAAAAAAACGTAAATAACAATAAACGGAGAAAACACTGACAATTAAAGCTGTTGCTTAACCGGAGTTTATTTACTATATTAATTATGTAATGGTATGATTGTGTAGGTCACAAGGATCATTGATAATTTCGTTGGAAACGGAAAAATGTAAGATTGTGGAAAATATTTTAAAATCAATTAAATCTATTCTTAGTTAAATAATACGTTATAGAAGGTCAATAATATTAATTGCACTAACACAGAGTACAGAGTGCTATTTGCCTATATAAATTAAATTAGAAAAAGTTCTACGTCCTCTAGGAAAATCGTATTGGTCCAGTTTTTGCACTTACCCTGAGTTGCATGCCGATGTGGAGGTGACACTGTGAATTCTGATTCGATTGGCAATATCTTGCAAGACTTTGATATCAGCTTGAGTGATTTGAGCCGGCATTTTAGTAGTAATAGAAACGAGAACTCAAAGGAAACTAAATAAGTGTTTGAAAAGTAGTTGCTTTAAATAAGTTAAATTATCAGTCAGGAGTGCTTATCTCCCTCTACGCAAAAACAATCGGAGGTAACACTGTATGGTCATTGGAAGATAATTTGAATCTTCGCCATCTACGTTCGCGCCTCGGAACGACCAATCCGCGCAATCGTGAAATCGTGGATAATGATATTTCAATGATTTTTCCAGACTTACCCTGACTTTGCCGTTTGCGTGGAGCTGACCGAATGGATCCGGATTTTGTTAGCGATGTCCTTCAGTTCTTGGACAGCTTTTGCTTCGAGTTTATGGTATTGATTTGCCATTATATCAGAGGACATCAAGGGAAGAAAGACCGGTCAGGAGCTAACCCGTTCACTTGGCACCAGCATGTAATCAACAAGTGGTTAAATGGCAGGCGTGCACACACCTTGAGAGGCAGCCAATGCGGACCTCGCTAACATCAAGCTATGTTACGTACATTGACGCTATTGGAAGCTAAGCCAGATAACAATTACGTAACTCTAAGACATTTCTAAGCTTTTTTAAACGAAATTTTCGGCTCGGGGACTTTCTCTGAGACATTTTTTCGGTGCCCGGTATCAAGGCAATCTTGTTTCACCTGGTGAAGAGCGCCCATAGAAAGCATGCGCACACAATTTTCCAATAGTCCAAAATACATACTTTTCATATTTTTCCATGATAAATACACAGAAATGACCATGGGTCAGTTTTTGGCGCCAAAATCAACTCGAATCAGTCGTGTCAGCAATTTTGTGACTTTCGGGCTATCAAATCACACATTTTCTACATGATTTTATTTTCCATAACGATCAATATTATCTACGCTTGTATGTTATCGAGTAACCCCAGCAGAGAAATTATAAATAAAAATCGAAAATAACGACAAATTGAGATATAATAACGCCAAATCATTCCAAATTTCTCAAACCATCGACGTCTTTGTTATCAAGTAACCCCAGCATCCCAGCAGAGAATTTATAAATAATCAAAAATTACATAATTGAGTCAAAATTTAAATTTTCAAATTTCTAGTCATTTAATTTATTTACTAACATAGTACATTTTGCATTATTTATTGCACCATTGCAGGATGACATAAGGGACAATAATAGAAGTGCAATTACTGCAATGAGAGCCCATCCTTGAAAAACGGAGAAGTTCCGTATTGCTGACTCATGATATTTAAAGGGTCTCTGCCCATAGCAACGCTATAAAATTATTTACATCTGTGCAAAAATTTATTACCGACAATTAAGAATGGCGCATTTTGCGATTGATGTTTTGCATTAATTAAAGAAAATAAGTTTCCAGTTATGTAACAACAATAATAACTCTTCATTATCATTTGCAAGGCCATTGCAAACTACATGTTGTGTGTAATTATTCACGAGACGAATTTGTTTTTAATAGGAAAACATGCTACAAATAGCTTACCAGTGTCTTTCTTCAGGATTTAGTGGCGACTTAGAATTTCCAGCAAAGGTTGTTACCAACCCCTGACTTACAGGCAACCAATTATACACTTTTTTATTAAAAAAAAACTGATTTATAGTTTGTGTCAGGCAAATATGCGCATTAAAAGTAAGACACGATGAGGTGTCAATTTGAAGACGCTTAATTAAGGTAATTAAAATGTCGAACACATCAAGTTGCTTCAAAATTAACCTTTTCAAAATTATGAATAAGAAAATGTTATAAATAATTCTACTGTCATTAGAATAATACTTATTATTCAAACTTTGTGAATTGGAGCTAAAACCTGTGACTTTCTCGGAAAACGCTTAATCATAACTTAATTAAAAATTTATCACACATGATTTGCATATGAAATTAAGATTATTCAGTAGTGAATAATTTAAACACATTTCGGTTGAGTAGATGAACCCGACACGAGGAAACTCATAATTTTATTACCATCTAAGCATACGTAAAATGTCAGAGGAAATTATACAAAAATTGGAAGTAGTGTCACGACAGAGTTTTTCGAGTTTGATGACATCACAAACTTTTATACTTAGTAAACTTTTATTTTAGAGATATTTCAAATATGCATTATTAAAAATAAAATCAATAAGCTGATGCTTTGAATAAGAAAAACAGAAAGAGATACTGAAAGTAAATTATTATAATTTTAATAAATATTTTTAGAATTTTAGGAAGAAATGAATTAACAGTTGTTTTATTGTTAAAAAATTAAATTGAATGGTTTTTATTTAATTTTCCCATGAAACGAATTGTTTTCAAGATTTCTAAAATTTTGTTGGGCAATCGCGTCATTGATCGAGTGGGAAAGGAAAATCTTGAATCTATTCACAACAAGAACAAAAATAAGTTTAGTGTTAACATAAAGTCACTGTCACGTATGAAATAAATAGTTTAAAAAATAAACATGATTCAGATAAGAATAATTTGTATCAAACTGATACTTTGAATTTTTCGGCGGCCCCATGCGCATCCTGAAACAATGAAATGAGGATTTTTTTTTATTCAGTCTTTTCTGTGGATTTGGCAAAATCGGTACGTTTTTTGCGCAAGGGCTTGAAATGCGTGTCTTAAATAGAATTTCCACGTAATTAATATAAGGTAAAATAGAGCCGTTTGAGCACATGGAACCCAGGAATGCCCGCCATAATCCCAGTAGCTTGCTATCACTATTGAGCGTTCTCTCTCCTCCCATTCCCCCCAATACTGTAATGGCGTCTTGCTAAGGCGGTGGGTGGTCGGCTGTTATGTGAATTTGACAGTGTTATATTTTGTTATAGATATCACTATCTGATGTGTTATCATCACGTAAAGAATTTTTTTGAAAAAAATCAACAGTGTCGAGCCCTTACCCCGAATTGAGCGAAATCTCGATGCAATTAAGTTGTGACAGGTCAATTATGGTATGGCATATCTTGTTTTTCACATGTTACGAATAAAATGAGCTTTAAAACACCACGGAAACCAATTTTCTTGATTTCGGACCTTAAGGTGAGTTTATTCAAGCATTTGTCATTTACTTCTGACACCTCAAAAATTATTCCATCATAACTAACTGCCCCATTAAGTGCTTTATTATACTTGAACCAACATTGTCATTATCATCCCAATTCAAGCTAAATTTCAAATTGTCATACCCTAAGCCCACCAACAAATCAATCCCACATATTTCCCATACCAGAGTTACATGGAAAACTTCACTCTTTTGCTTATTTACCTCAAAAATTAACTGTCCTCGTAACTTAACGTAAATAAATCATTAAAATTACTACCAGATACCACTTTTAGATTATTCAAATGACTATTTATCGTCAACGTTATGACACATAGGAGTTGATAAAAGACCATTGCTAACATGGCACGAAAAGCAGACATTGTACGTACAATTAATGTAGCCGTTGTGGGGCTGTCTGGCATGGAAAAAGACAAGGGGCACGCAGGAGTCGGAAAGTCTTGCCTTTGTAACCGCTTCATGAGATCACACGCGGATGACTACAACGTCGACCATATCTCAGTCCTGAGTCAGGTAACACTTGCAACCAAAAACGCATTTTGTTTAAAACAACTACTTTGACATTTGGCAAAAATAGTAATTGTTTCGAGCTAACTTTTTTATTTATATGTATAGAATTAAAACTGTATTTGTAAACATTAGAAATCGGAAAGCAATAAATCATTTAATGTTTTGATTGATATTCTGATAAGATGAGATTCTTGCAAGGTCGGTAAAGTCGAAGATTGCGACTTTACCGGCTTTCAGCTGTTGCCACGTTGTTTGCAGTGTTGCCAGTTTTGATTTTTTAGACGGACTTCAGCGGCCGTGTCGTTAATAACGACCATTTTTTATACTGGGGTGAGGTGATTAAAACATCAGAGGAAGGAATCGACTACCAATTTAGTGTGATTGAGCAAACTGAATTTATAGATGATGCGTCTTTTCAGCCTTTTAAAGGTTGGTATTTGTTGTGAAAAAAAAGTTTTCAAATTTGTTTTGTAGGCGGAAAGATGGAGCCTTATATAAAACGGTGTGCGGCAACAAAAATCCAATCGGCGGAGAAGTTGATGTACATTTGCAAAAATCAGTTGGGCATTGAGAAAGAGTATGAGCAGAAAGTTTTGCCGGATGGGAAATTAAATATAGACGGGTTTATATGTGTTTTTGATGTCAGTATTGTGCCAAGCAGATCTTTAGAAAAACAAGTAGAAATAGTTGCGGCGATCTTGAATAATTTAGTTAAAACTAAAAAGCCTGTTGTATTTGTCACAACAAAAAACGACGATGCTAACGAATTGTTTGTCCGAGAGGCCGATAAACTGATCCAACGGAAAGACTACAAGGGCGCAGTACCGTTGGTTGAGACATCTGCTCACGATAACGTTAACGTCGACTTGGCGTTTATGTTGTTAGCACAAATAATCGACAGGAGTAAAGTCAGATCTAAGATAATCCCTTATGGGGAGGCTGCCCGAGCTCGCAAGGAATTGATGGATGTAGCCAGCGAGGCCTTCATGAGACTCATAAGGCTCCACGTGACGGACTGTCGAGCCCTTTGGTCGCACACCGTAAAAAAATTAAACTCGCATAAAGAGTGGATTTATTTCGTTCAATTATTCGGTTTAGATGGAACCCAGAGATTATTTAGGCGACATATTAAGAAATTAAAAGACGAGCAACTCGCCAAGCGGATTGCACACTACATGGAGATGTTGCCTGATGTTTTACACGAACTAGTCCCTGATATCAACACTTTAACTGATAGGTAACAAACCGAACCGGCGATTATTTTTGTTTAACGATTTTTGTTTTTCTAAGTGATTGGCCATCTGTTCAGCAGTACCTGAAATCGCACCCAGATTTCACCCAATATTTTTACGAATGTCCTGAAGATATGCCATGGACTGAGTGCGAACTAGAGTCAGATAACGAGGAGACGCGAATTCCGTTCGATGTTTTAGAAATAAGTGACGCCGAAACTGTCTTCAAAAACCACATTAATGTCCTTCAACAGGAGCAGAAGCGACTAGAGTATGATATATTCATGTTTGTAGGGACTTGGGTGTTTGTTTTAACATAACTAAAAAAATTTTATTCATATTTATTAACATATTCACTAATAGCTCTTTCTTTTTGTTTTGCTGATTAATAAAGGATGCCAAAGAGGTGAGAGGTGCTACTCCGCGTAATTTCTTTATCGCAATGTTCATTTTGTTGTAGATGGAAGAAACAGTTTAAGCAGCTACTTGAGGATACTGGTTATGTGACTCCTGGAAAACATTTATCAGAAGTTAGGGTTTTGTTCATGGGGAGGGAATGTTTTGAAGCCTTGTCGGAACACGACTGCCAACAAATCTACGATGCACATCAAAGGGAACTAATTGAAAACGCCAAACATAATTTTCAAGTGAGTAAACCAGGGCGCGGAGCTTGCAAACTTATAACTATAATTCAGGAACTTCTTCTGGAACACGCCGATTTATTCTATCATTTTAAAAGTATCGCACCAACAG